GCCTCCTCCGGCTGCTTGCTGCCAACTGTTGTTCGCATGAAAACTTGCGGTCTTCCTTGGCTGCTGGTTTTCACTTCCAGCCTCCCATCTTCTGCTTTGGCGGACACAAGGTGACAGGTCAGTCTGTCACTCACATCGCCCCGTAGCTTTGATGGTGACGCTGCTAAGATCTCCTCCACTGTTGCAGCTTTGGTTGCAGTACGAATGGGCGTTCCTGAGGATGTGGATGGATTGAACGGACATGATGTGACATGACCTCGTAATTCATGGAGGCGAACGGTTGCTGGGCAACCCGACAATGCTGGTTCATGGAAGTCACAATGTACACCCCACTTGCTAACCATATTGCACACTAGCTTGCATGGCTTTTGCAGTGTCGCCAGTGCCATTGGCTGTCTGCATACTGGACATGTATTGTGACTCTTCATCCACGTGTGCACGCATGTTGAGCAGAATATATTTTCACAGCATTTGGCTTGAACTGCTCCATTTACCACTTGCAAACATATCATGCATTCCTGCACAGCTCCACTGTCAATAAACCGCTCTTTCTCTAATGCTGCTTCAGCCCGATACATAGGCGCTGCGTGCGCCGAAATCTCGTCCAAAGTAACTGCGGATGTTTGACTATCAGTGGTGTGTGCTATTGTGTTGGTGTCACCGCTGCTACTGCTGCTGGTGCGTCTTTGCTGAGAGCTAGGACTGCCTTCTGGCAGTTCAGCTGATGTTGATGCCGTTGGTGTCTGTCGTTTTGCCGCTTGGCCACGCAGTTCACTGACGGCTTTCCGTTTCGGTGGACGGCCGCCCTTGGCTCGTACAGCATCACTCTTACATACGGCACAGTTAGATCTCGTATGTGGTTGCCATGTAACTGGACCATTGCAGCCCCCACTACAATACTTATATGTGTCATCTCTCATTGAACGTGCAATAGCAAATTGACAAAGTGAGCACATGTACTGGGGATGCACGTCAGGGGAATCTTTGGAAACATCAATTTTAAAAACTTTGGCGATCTCTTCAACATAATTCTTCACCGGATATGGAGTTTTGTGACTAGCACTGGCAAGTTTTTGGCCACCAATGCGACACACGGATTCAAGAATACTCGAGTGGTGCTCCATCGCAGAGCAGAAAGCAACAAACAAGGCTAAAATGTCGATGCGCGATCGAGACTTCCTTTGCGCGATCTGGGACAAGAGCGCGATTTTCGAGCTATAGAAGGTCTCTAGGGCCACCAAAAACACAGCAAGCAGCTGCGAAAACTCGGCGCCGGGATGTAGGCAGCAATGAAAGTAGAGCAGTTTTGGGAATCGAAAGAACAAAGGACGTGGAGGCGACGTGGCGACAGAAACCTGTCGCCTCTTGGGAAAGACGATCCAAAAGGCATCAATAGAGAGGTTGCGCACAACGAAAATTCGTTAGATTTCGACCGTCCGGGTTCGAGTAACGAAAGTTGCTCCGAAGATCCGTCCAAATGTGACCGAAACAGAGCAAATCTACGAAAATATTTTTCGTTACCTGGAGTACTAAAATACTGATATTTTACAACTCCCTATCTTGACTCTTCGTACCCGCGCGGCTGCCGCGTCGACCCACTACGAAAACGTTCACGCGTTGTGCGCAACCTCACGGTTTACGAATATTCGTTAGCTTTTTTCGTTAAAAATATTCGTTACGGCGCTACGAATTTTCGTTGTGCGCAACCTCTCTAATGCGTTCCTTGAAGCTTCCCCTGGACGAAAATCGCGGTTGTATGGTAAACCGTGTCGATGGGAGACGATAGGAGCCAAAATAGCCTGGATACCAACGTGAAAAATGCAATTCTCAGCTATTCTCTGGGGGCCGTCGCGTTCAAAAATTCAAAAAGTTTCAAAAAAATGACGCCATTTTGAATGTCCGATTTTGTGATCTATGTAACAGCCGTGAGGGGTGGCTTGCAACCTCGATATGGCTTGTTCCAGGCATGCTTTGGAGCCATCGCCTGTTGAAACAGTGGCGGGAAGCTGCCCTGCAACTGTTCCAAGAGGAAATTAATCGATCCGAGAAAGCGCGAGTCCGCGAATCTCGGTTGAATATTGAGTATTTCAAGCCTTTTCACGACGAAGATGGAGTTCTTTTTGGAGATGGACGTCGCGGAAAAGGACATGGTGTCCGACTTCTGGCGTCTGGTGAAGCCAGGGATCATTTGTCCAGTCAGGTCGGCAGCCTAACCGTCGGTAAGCTTGTGTTTGGATCCCGTTCTGCTCGATGTGGTAGATCACAAACAATTTGATATCGCACAAATTGATCTCAGCATCGTGCGTACGGTATTTTATATTCAGAAAATCCCAAAGTGTCTCTGTGTGGCCGTCCTATGCCACGAGAAACTCCAATCAGGCTCCTATGTCCTCTGCCTTCATGATTGAATGTCCACTTCGTTTGAACAACGAACACAACAATCGAGGACGGCTTTGCAATGAAAAATACAGCTATACTGGAGCTGAAAAAAAGAAGAAAAAAAGTGCACAGGATGAGACTCGAGTACACGCATACTCTCCCAGGAGGTGAAACGCAAATTTTTGTGAAAAATGCGTGTCGCCGACTGACCAGTAATTTCGCCTGACGATTTGGCCCTGTATACAGGTTTTCAATCGTCCACCACACCACAACTGCGCTCCGACTCAGTCTCCAGCGATGGTGGTGTGCTGTGGCAATGTGTCGAGGACGGCTGGAGAGCGCAGTTGTGGTGTGGTCGATGATGGAAAAATGTGATAATAATTATTATGTCCGTAGTGTGTTTTAAAAGCATGCGATTCCCACTAACACAATCGGATTGTCGTAATTTTACAAGTGTCAACCGCACAACTTCAAAACAATCTGATTCTATAATATTTTGGCTGTTCAATTTTGGCTCAACCGGAACCCCCCTGTAGAGATCTCTGGATCCGCCCCTGACAGAGACCACGTTTTGAGGGTCCCTTGAGCGGTCGTCTTAGACAGGTTTCACTGTACCACCCAGGTCACCCGGCACTAGTAGTGCAAGTAGTAGTGTGGAGTCATACGAGTACACGTACATATGCTGTCCCTTTGAAAAAACGCGGCCAAGAATTCAAAATTCTGCGGCAAATTCCGCGGGGGAAAAGAGGGGTTTTCTGCGGCATTTTCTGCTGTAAAATCAAAAATCTGCGGCACTTTCTGCAAGTTTTTCACCCTCCTCGGAGAGGATATGACAACTAGTCGCATGAAGGAGCACTTTTCATACTATCCTTTGCAGTCACGAACTGAATAAGAGTGAAGAATCTTGGAGAGACCTGAACTGGCAAGAGAAATGTGCTCAAACAGATCGCAAAGTAGTTTTTCTGCTGCTTTCTGAGTAGTAATTTTAGTAATTTACCCTAAAAAATTCAGATTCCGCGGGCAAAAGTTTGGATTCCGTGATCTCCGCGGATGATGGCAACTTCTGCGAAATTTGCCGCGGCCGCGGAATCGCGTTTTTCCAAGGGGACAGCATATGTATGCATAGCAGATGCAGACCAGTGGAATGCAACTTTTGGCAAGCATGCAAGCCTACATGACCAGCCACACTGTACTGAGAAGCTAGAGAAGACAAAAAAAAAATAACTCAGAACACAACCGGTCGACTCCATTGTGGCTGAGTAGAGTGACCAGACAATGAATAAACTCTGAGTAGGCTGATGTCGATGGTTTAGCCGTTGACCAATCTGTGTTGATCCGTCACAGTAAACATAATGTGGATAACAATGGCGTGCAACTGTACTCTGTGTGGGTTGCTACGGTCACAGTGAAGGCATTTGTTATCCTACTGCTCACAGATGCTGGAACTATGATCAATACAAAGAGAGTACACACAGAGTGCACGTGGTACAAGCCCTGGCGTTGCCGACTCTCTGGTCCAAGACCGTGCAATACACGCCACTGTACCCACACGCGGGGCATCAGCTCTGGCCGGTCGTCGCAAAAGTGTTCTGTCGTCCCTGAAACGAACATCGTTCATTTCATACTCGGACCCCCTCCCCTCCCTCTGAAACGAACACAGCGTGTTATGCCGGACGACGAAAATGGCATGCATGTACATGTCATATGTACAGTGTCAGTCGACTTGCGATTTTGGCTCGCACCCCCCCCCCCCCCCTGAATCATGTTCGTTTCAGGGACGACAAAAAACTTTTGCGACGACCCCTAATTTCATTAGGCTAACTTTCCGTCTTAAAGATTCGGCTCGAGTTGAGTTTGATGACAACCGACAAATACAGGTCCTCTCTCATTATAACGAGTCCGGTTAGTACATAAACCCCGTTAGGCCCCTTGCACACTACATAGAAAATCCCATTTTTGTTGCGTTCCTGTAAAAGTTACCATGCAAACGGTCTGCTTTTCGCGGGAAACCTAAAATGTTGCGCAAACATATTCAGCAAACTCCGGACGGGTATACAAAGGCGCGTTTTTGTTTTATTTGCATTTCTGGACTGTAGTTTGCTTTGCACCTTCCGTGAGACTTCTTGTCGTCAGCTCTTTTTTTCCTTTCGATTCGATTAGTAAATAGAAATCTGAAATCCCCTGGCGAAACGTGGTCTATACAACTGTTTACAGGTCCGGTTACAACATAATCCGTTAGTACATAAAATTCGTTATAACGACCCTTTGCCCAGGTCCCTGGAGTGCCAAACCCTCAGTATAAGATAATATTGACCATGCAGGATCAAGGCCAAACACTTAGGTTAAAGCAGAAAGACGAAACGTATTACATCTATGTATTCGTGAATATGGATGATCCTTTGCATCCAAGGAAGAGTTATGTTGGAGATTTTCAATTATCTTATAACGAGTTGAAGCATCGATAATTTATGTTGTATCGAGGGTAGCCCCGGTAAGTACGAAGTAGTGCCTATTTCACCTTTAGCTGCAAGTCCTGCTACAAGATAAGTCTCGTTATAAGATAACTTTTTCGATGGCCCAGAGATTATCTACTAACGAGGGAGGACCTGTACTCGTAAATGAATAATTATAGAAGTTCACATCCATCTCACCAGGAGATAAGCTATAAATACGACAGTAACAGTGCAAGTATTAAAGCCAGTTAGCACAAGCACTTCAAGTTGTACTACAAAACAATGGTAGGATCTACTCACCCTAGTGAAGGCATTGCCGTCTCAGCAGGATGCTAACAACAACAATCGATTCAAAGTGCAGATAAATGGGCACAAGCCATGGGACCGCCTGAAGTAATAGCGGAAAAACTTAAAATTGAGACAATTGTGAAAATAGACAAGAAGGAAAGCTGTAAGCAGGGCCGTGCGCGTCGAAAGGCTTGCTCACATACCTACAGACTGCCCGGGCACAAGGTCAACAGAACATGGACGGCGAGGGAGCAGGATGATGATAGTCTACAAGACACCTTTCTTCAAGATGATGTTGCCATACAGAGCAGTTTCTCTGTAAGAACAACAGCAGCAACCGCAGCAGCACGAACACCACCATCAATGAACCTGCAGTCAAATCAGTCTAAAACGAGTACTACCCCATGGCGCACCAAAGCCGGTCCATATAGATGGGTGTTCTTTCAACTTCAGTGAATGCAGTACATGTAATTGCAAAAGGCCGGCTTTGTTGGAGCTCACAAACATGTTACAGTACGTTTCAAAAATATAGACGCGTGATTTCAAAAAACCGTTAGGCCAGCATCTATACCACATAAAATCTGTGATCACTTTGTGCATAAAAATTTCGAAATTGGGCGTTTCCTATCCGATCGCTTAAAAATCTATATGAGAGTAATTGCAGGAAGGACCTGAGCATTATCCCGAAAAAATTCTCAAAAAGCTCCAGCCAAATTAAAAATATTTCAAAAATACCATGCGTCTATATTTTTGAAATGGACTGTAGAGATCCTTTGGACATTTGCGAATATATAGTCAAGAGCAGGATATACTGGGACTGAGTGTTGTAACTGCCTTTTCTTCTCCTGCTCCCAGTCCCGTGCCATCTCCACACTTATACAAAGGGACGACGATAACTACATTCAGAAGACTACATGTATATTTGTGACAAGACGACGGAAACACAACTAGACATGATGAACTCGAGACGAAGACTGCTTCTCACACCACAGCAACACGCGCATGCACCAACATGACGTACACACGACGTACACTAAATAACGTACTACAACATGACGACTAAATAATTTCAGTCAAGAACAGACATTACTATGAGCATAAAAGGCATGTAGAACGAGACACGAGCTTGGCAGAATCTAACAAAGAAACTCCAGTCACCTACACACTCACCCAGTGTGCACAACTGCAAAGGCTGCCTTTGCTCTGTCATAGAAAGCAAAACGCTCAACCTCCTCCAACTCCACCTGTGACAGAGCGGAAAATAAAGAGATCCAGATCCCAAGAGAGAGAGAGAGAGAGAGAGAGAGAGAGAGAGAGAGAGAGAGAGAGAGAGAGAGAGAGAGAGAGAGAGAGAGAGAGAGAGAGAGAGAGAGAGACAGAGACAGAGAGAGAGAGAGAGACACACACACACACACACCTTCTTCCTTCCTTCTTCTCCACTGCCATGACTGGCTAAGTGGCCCCATACGGGGCAGCTCTTGGATTAGCGCTGTCTCCGGGAAGCGGCACCAGGACCCGACGACCGACGTGACGGCGCATTCCCACGGGTTATACCGCCGTCCAGCGAGAGCCTCCGCGTTCAAATGCCTCCCTGCATCTGCCTCGCAAAACGACAGCAACCCCTTCACCACGACGAGCAGGCTCATCCCCAGTCGGTGTTGGACGACCACTTGTCAAAACTAAGCAATCTCCGACAGTATATTGATGAGAGCCAAACCAAAGCGTCTCCTGGAGGCCAACGATGTCCATTCCATACTTTTCGAGCTGACGACACACAAGGTCAATTTTTCTCTCCTCGCGAATATTCGAACAAACTTTCCTTGATTTTTTTGCTTTGGACGCCGTATTCAAATTTCCGTCAGTGTCGACAAGAGTCCTGACGTTCCACGTTCCCAGAGACAGAACAACCTTTCGAGCCGCTGGTGCACGCGAGTGAAAAGACTCTGGGCGAGGGTTTGCAAGACCTCTACACCCAGGCGAAAGAGGGTCAGCGCGAGTGGTCACATCCGAAGTGGCCATGTCGTCAACGCTGAATTTTCCTCCTCCGCGGCAGCAAGATGAAGACTGCCTTGTCTAACACCGCGTCACTAAGTGTTTTCTACTCACCAGGGCTGGCCCTGGCAGAAGCCAGGAGCCAGCCCGTGGCCCTAAACTCACTACGAAGAAAGAAGAGTTCGGAGCTCGGAGCACACACACACACAGAGACACACAGAGACACAGAGAGACAGAGAGAGAGAGAGAGAGAGAGAGAGAGAGAGAGAGAGAGAGAGAGAGAGAGAGAGAGAGAGAGAGAGAGAGAGAGAGAGAGAGAGAGAGAGAGAGAGAGAGAGAGAGAGAGAGAGAGAGAGACGCATACAGGATCATTCCAGCAGTCTAAAAATCAAGTATTACCGTGACCTTCGCACATTTCACAGTAACACAACACGAAATCACCTAGCATGACACTTTTAGAAAGGTGCACTGATCTGTTTGACAAACACACTAAATTCTACTGTAGGTTTTTGAACCGTTCTGTTCTTTGGTTTCCTTTCATCATCATGAAGTACTCACACACCTGGAAATCTGGGTCACTCGTACTCACAACTTCTCATTAGACTGGGCACGGACAGTTCTGGTAGAGTTGTATCATGACTCATTGCATTGCAGAAATGAGTGACATAAGCTTTATTACCACAGAAATGTTCAGAAGGGTAAGGGGGATGGAGATGGCATTGCAAGATCATCAGTGCTCTCCCGTCACTAACCTTCTTTCCCTCGGCCTCGTTCAGCAAAGTTCTGTACGTGTCCCAGACTGGCGTCTTCAGGCCTTTCTCCACATCGGATGGTACAACAGCCATCACGGCCGCCTACAACATGACACGGGTGCAACGCAGGACAGGATGAAAACTGACGGCAGTACGGAGTAAACAACTTAGCACTTTGCACATCAAGATACTTCAGTACTATGCTATCTTGGCTGACATTCGCATGGCGATCAAGGCTCAAACCTGCGGGTTACACATAACTCACCGGCTTTGGGACGTACGCATCGAGGGGCAAGAGCTGCAGGACTGCTTTCAAAATGGCTGGAATGTCATGGCCTAGAGAAAAGAAAGGGAAACACCGACGAAGGCATTGCAGTTGAGCCACATGTGCACATACTACCGTCCCAAACCGGGAGCACAGAGCTCCCTGAAGTGTCACATGCTTTGCAAGCTAGTCCAGCTACCCTGTCATTCTAAAGCAGATTATTTTCAGAATGTCAAGGAAGCCTGATTAGTATGCTAACTATGAAGGTATTCCTGCCCATACAAGAGACTCCAGAAAAGCATGTTAGCAGGAAGTTCTACCCCACATTGATTCGGTTCGGAAGTAGAGACAGCAGAGTTCCATAAATAATAGAATATAAATATGCCAGTGACAGTATTGAACAACCAAATTGACAGGGTAGCCAGCTCATACCCAACAATGAGCTGTGCCTGGCAAGAGATAAGGTACAAGTAAGAAAGATTTCATAGTACATACACTTGCACTTTGGCAACAGATCCAGTGCATACAGTTGTAAAGTTGTGACTTCAACATTGATTCCGCTATACGGACATTTTCTATGCATCTTTGCATCAATGCACTTTGTTTTCTATGACAGTCATGCAGGTTCTCTGCATTGATGCGTAGCATACGGCTATGGTAACAGCACTCAGTGTATAGGCACCCTGCATTTTATACAATTCCCTGTTCGGATACGTGTACTGATTGTCGCACGTGTTGTCTTTGCGTATGCCATGATCTGTCACCGTAACATACAAGTACAGTCATGGTATATAACTGGGTTTAATGTGGTTGTAGTCAGGAGCACTGTGTGTGTGCGTCCTCGCCATGTAACATGCTGTCGAAATCGAAAACATGTTAAGTACAGTCATGTAGTCATGTAACATGAACCAACCAACTAACCATCAGCGCGAACCATCTCTGGTCCACTCTGGCACACAGAAGCCGTGGGGAAATTGGCATCAGCCAGCACTGGCAACACATCGTACATTGTATACATTCCAGGCGCACACGCACACACACACATGCACACACACGTACACGCACACACGCGTACACACGCACGCACAGTACTAAAAGTCAGAAAAGGAGTAAAGACAGCTTCAACGGGCCATGTCCATGGCTTTATTATTTACCTAATGCAACCCAGGACTTCTGACAATGCACATTGGTGATGCTGACGGCTACTGCCTACTGGACATCAGCAAGGTCTACCTCAGGATTCACGTGTGGTGCCCAAGTTGCACTGCTATCAAACCATTGTGTGGCAAGGCCAGTCCTATGTGATAGAAGGATGGGCTTTGGGCTGTCTGTAGCACCGAAGGCCATGGATATGATATCTACATACCGAATGTGTCTACCGACAGTGTGCAGCAAGAGTTGGCGAAGTCTTCATCAACTTTGAGAAAGTCTGTTCAGTCATGGTGCTACTGGATTCACGCACTGCACTTATCGCGTTCAAATTTTCTCCTCGAGGAGCGATGGAAGTTTTGTAGACGTTTGTCATGTTTACTCCCATTTAGTAGAACCAGTCACTGATTATTTTATTTCCATATCTCTCGACTCTGCCGCATACCATTTTGAACTGTCTATCCACAGCGAATACAACAATTGTAGTGTCAGTCTTCCCCACTGTCCGTAGCATAACCATGCACGTACACTGGTAGGTTGTTTCTCTCCATGTTATAGTGTGCTAGTACCAAATTATGGTTGCCTCCCTGCTATCTCGCCTCTCGCCTTTAAACCTTTCAGCATACACTGGTTCCCTTCAGCGCAAATATGAAAATGATAATACATGTAATAACAATAATGCTATTGGACATGATTTAAATCAGAGCACGTTTGCTCCAGGCCCTGAGCTCCACGTGGATAGCAATGATTGGGCAAAGCATTTGCAATTAAACTTTATGTACATGTAGTACATTCTGAAACAAAGAGAATGTCCAAGGTCTGAATGCTTTCCAACATCCTATGGGATGATAAAACTTATGAGAATGACTGAAAGAGAAAGTTGGAGATTTCCCAGCCATAACTCCAACTGCTCGTGATTCTTTTTTACCTCTTATAACTCGTGTGTGTGTGTGTGTGTGTGTGTGTGTGTGTGTGTGTGTGTGTGTGTGTGTGTGTGTGTGTGCGTGCGTGTGTGTGTGTATGTGTGTGTATAGATTTTGACATGAGTGGGACATTCAAAATAGCACAGCTAACAACAGGTCAGAAATTCACCCACCGATTTCATCTCCGTGACCCATCCTGGCCAGCACGGAGAGCAGCTGGGGAGAGAGAATGCGTGGAATGCCCTTCAACACAACCATGTTTGTAGCTCCGGATGAGGAAGTAAAATAGATTTGAGCAAGAAAGGAACGAAACGACTCTCGATCTCTAGCTCTCGACTCAAGCAAACGTAACAGACTCAGTTCAACGACGTTGGCATGGTTGGTGTGCACATGGTGCATGTGAGCAGCAAAGCCACCAAGGCGACCTCGCTAGCTGGCTGGTTGCGGTGTAATATTACAACTTCGCAGAGCTTCACTGGGTCGGGGGGGGGGGGCGGGGGGGATGTAAAGACGCGTTCGTACCAGGGCCCGCGGGCCGCAGGGGGTACTAGTACTACTCCCTGGTTCGTGCCAGTATGACTCAGTATGAGTCTGTACCAGGTTGTGACTCGTCTGTCCATGGATGCATGATATGCGTGGGCTCTGGTAGTCTGGGCCATGGGCAGCGTTGGGGTTGCTGGATGGACCAAACGTGCCTACTGCATGCAGTCGACTAGACTAGTCATGCACAGACGTGGTCGTTTTGCTGCATGCATGGACCGGTACTTGAGCAAAGACTTTTACTTCAGGGATCGCACAAGTACAAAAAATGGGACGATGTCGATGGCGGGTGCTCTGAGTCTGGAGCGTCACTCGTCTTTCGTGCCTTCAGTCTAGCCCGTCCATCCCTGCCAAGGAGTTCCAACCGCTCTCCCACCAGACCTACATCACAGGGCCGAAGTAATGAGGACGCCCTGATCCTATACCAGCCTATAGTATAGGCCTACACTGGGCTCCTTGTATGCAGGCTCCGAGTAAAATCATTTTGTAAAATACAAGAACTGAGCTTACCAGTTTCAGTACGAGCCACCGACAAACTACTAACTCAGTCTCAGGTTTTCCCAGTCTGTAGAGGTGAGCAGCAGATAGGATTGCACAGACAGTGCACTAGTGCCGGATCTGCGTCGCTGCGCAGCGTGTGTCCATGCACTCCAGTTCGCTAGCCCTTGAGATTTGGAATGTAGAATTATTATTGTTGATCGCGAGACAACCGTACACCAGAAGTTAGTTCGTGTAAACTGTAAAGCAGAGCTTTCCGCTTGTCACGGCATCTTCCAGAGGAGAATGTCGGGCGCAGAGCTGGTAAGTGCAACGTCTTCGACGTCCGCCACATCCGTGTCAACGCTACGACAGCAGCTGGAGCACGAGCGACGAACTCGCCAGCATGCTGAAACTCGATGTCGCGAGCTGAAGCTGGAAAACGAGCGATGCACAATCCGTTTTCACGAGCTGCAGCGTAATTTCGAGGGAATCCAGACACAGCTGCGCCAGATGATACCCAAGCAGAAGCAAGTAGAGCAGCTGCGTGCAGAGAATGTTGCCCTCCAGAGTCGCTTGGATGATATGACAGTGGCTAACAAAGCCAATGGCGGCAGCGCTGCAGCAGGACAACACGACAAGAGAGCAGACCAGGCGGAACAGGAGCGATACAGCCTACAATCTGAAATCGCAGTAGAAGGGACAGAGAAGTCACGTAAATCGTCCTCTAACTCGCTAGATTCGTGTGGCAGTGGTACTGGATTGCATACGCTACAGGAGGAGAATAATGTGCTGAGAGAAGAGCTATCGTCCAGAAAAGAGAAGTACGACAAGACGCTTAGCGAAATTACTGGTGAGATTGTGAGCACATTGACAAAGTACCAAACAGCGTGTCAGGAGAAGAGAGAGTTGCAGGAAAAGTTTGATCAGCAGAAGCAATACAATGTGTCTCTGGAACGCAAGAACCAGACGCTTGTGAAGCTGCTGTGCCGCATCAAAAGCAAGCAGCCGACTTTGCCGTCAGTTCCCGGTGAAGACGATTCACTCGTGGATGAAGCCGAACTTGCTGCTATGCAGAATGGCGGTGGTGCTGCTACAACTGCTGCTGGTATCCTTGGAAAGGGCAGTAGCCTCAGCAATCTGGATATGGAGCCAGCTGCTCCGCGTGCTGTTGGTCATTTGCCGACCCGCAGCGCTTCCCTGCGAAGTAGCGTTCACCCGCTGCGTCGTGTAGGGTTGCGGCGGTCAGCGTCTGGTGAGGTGAGCCACCAAGAGGACAACATGGCCGTGCGCAGTGCCAGTGATCTGGCGTCATCTGACTATAGCATCTCTACAAACTATAACAGAAGTGCTACCGGCGGGGGCAATGGCGACTCTCAGCTGAGTACCAGTAATCTGGTGATCGGAGATGTACACCGACATCGTGCTCTCCACAGTGCACAGAGCAAGACAGACGTCATCCGTGAACAGTCTTCTTCTGGCGAGAGCCGCCCGCCCAGTATGCAGGACCTGCACTCTTCATCAACGTCGAGCACAATGGTGACTGTGGCAGCAGCGGGATCTTATCCTTCCTTCAGCCGCGTGAGCAGAACACCCGATGCTCTTCTCTTACAACAGCAGCACCCGCCGGGCATGGGCAGTAAAGCGGCGGCCCTCTCAGCCACTTCATTGAACAAGCTGGAGGCTCAGCTATCTCGCTGCACCAACCGCTCCATCGACTCTGCCACTGCAGACCAGCTACGGCGCATGAAGAGAGATGGTCTTCTCGCTGCACAGATACGAAACCAAGCCAATGAGAACCACATACTACCAGCAACTCCATCACCACCGAGCCGTGGGAGCCTCATCGAGAGTGACTCCTCTGACGAGGAAGAAGATCACATCAACTTTGTCGAGATGTGGAAGAAACGAGCCACGGCGCCCGACACGGCAAGGTCTCGACTCGGCAACAAAGGCAGACCCTTGTCACACGTTGAGCCTTCCATGGCACAAAAGATGGCGGGAAACGAGAAAGCCCTGGACCCCAAAACGTCCTCCTTGCCCCGTAATGTGTCTCTGTCCACGGCAACCATCAATGAAGAAAACAGCAACATCAGTAGTCGTGTTTGCTCAGCCGGTACCGTCGGTAGCTCGAATCATGATCAGCCCCCTAGAGCCAAGCGCTCTTCTGTCGTCTCGAGTGGAGAGAATGTGCAATCGGAGTTGGAGGCTTCAGCGCGGGCAAACCTGCTCGACAACTTGGTGACGCGCCGCGGCACTCGAACTGAGATCAGCCCACCTCAATCTCCTGGCCGAGTGCCAAGCCTAGCTGAAGCCAAGGACTATTTGCGCTGCCTTCGCCGGCGAAACGTCGACAATGAGAAGCCGCTGCGTGGACCCATGACCATAATCAAGTTCCATGACATGAACTTCTACAACCGCTTTGATACGCCAGAGCAAACGGCAATCGCTGGCTTTGACTTCCTGGATACGTTTTCCTTCATAGAGCCGTCGGAGGCGGAAGCTCCCAAGGCTGTTGCAGCAGCAACAGTCGCGGCCAAGCCTAGAGCAAAGTCTCCGGTGAAAAAGTCGACCGGCAAATCAACACCTGAAACCACAACCAGAACAGGCACCAAACCGACAGGTGGAAAGTCTCCTGCAGAGCGAAAGCCTCCGACTCCAACGCGACTGCGTTCAGGTACACCGACAGGCGGCTCATCCCGCACTTTACCCAGTGCCGGCGCTGAGAGGAAGACCCCGAATTTATCCACGAAGCGCACTAGCTCCGGTGGCTCAATAGGCATGGCTACCTCCTCGGCCAGTAGCTCCAGAGCTCCAAGTCCGCAGGTTTCTGATAAGCGGCGAACTGTTGCCTCTGCTACCTCCTCGTCATCGACTCCTGCTACGCGGACGAAGAGTTCTGCACCGTCGACATCAAAGACGGCCTCGCCGAAGGTGCCAGCCAGCAAGACAACCAGCTCTCCTCTTCGCAGTTCTCCTGCAAGCTCTACCAGTACGGGCGCAACGTCGTCGACGACGAAAAGCAGTTCGTCCGGTGGCCGGCGACTGGGTGCCTTGCTTGGCCACCATGGCTCTAGCAGCAGCAAGTCTTCAAGCGCAACTAGCAGCAGCAGCTCGAGCAGATTGTCAGCAGCTGTGAGACAGAAGAAGTAGGAACAGTTACTGCTCTTGCACTTGATTTCTGAAACAGTTATTACACACCGGGGACAGCACCTCGGTACATTTTCCTTTTTGAATTTTACTGCTACCGACACTTACTCTTGAAATTGTCCGACCTCGGTTTCCTATGTGGCAAGGATATTTTCTCAAGATGAAATAGGCAGATGTCCTACGTATACTCACCTTGATGTTGAGGTACTCTATTTACACCGCTGCTGAATTGCCATCATTTTTAGGCAACACTATGCCGTGTTTATGTAAAGAATACTTTTTTAGCGATTACTATTATGGTTTCTTGTATCCTGAATCCTATCCCCTCTTCTTGAGCATACTTGTCAAGGTCAATGGTGTGATAATTATTGATTGCACTGGAAATGAGATATTGACTTGCTTCCCATCTGTGCTTGTTGCGAGATGCAGGGTCGTATTCAGCTGCATACCCTGATAGTAACGGCCTGTTTGCTGGCTTCGATCACGGTCTTCAGAGAAGTAACCTTACACAACAGTCTCTGGTGGTCCTGCTAGACAGCTAGACTACAGTATACAGAGTTTGGCAAAAAAATTCAGTAAAAGTTAGTTACTCCTCATGAACATGTATTGGCATTGTGACGTTCTAACTATGGGACATGTTTCACCTGTTGTTTCATCTGTTCATTTATAGTGAACAGAAAAACAGTATTGATGATTGCAGTATGAATGGGTGTATCCCCAACAAGTCCACACAGAGTTTGGGGATTTCAGGGGCGTTGCCTGTTGGCCGTTGGGCGGTTCAATAGCCTTTTGTCTTGAATCTCTCCAGGGAGACCCACGTGACCAGTTTAGCAGTGAGCAAGACAAGTGCAATACAGTATAGACTATAGTACATCAGCATGCAGTGTCAGTGGCAACTACAGTCATGTAGTGTCCTCCTAGTAGTACATAGCACTTAGGTCTTCAGTAGCACAGCTGGACTACATAATCATTGTAAGTGTCCACCTGTAGTGCATGCCTGAACATGAGGAGACATGTGTATGGATTGTATAGCATGCATGAATCAAATTGTCACAAGAAGCCTAGTGCAAGCCGGTCACTGGTTTCAGTTCTGAAGTAAGAGAAAGAGAATCCCCCCCCCCCCCCCCCCCCTCAGATGGACTGTGTCACACAGGCCACACAGTGAGAATACCTGAACAAAGTTCTTGTGGTTGTTTGTAATGCTATTTGCCACATCCACAACTAAATCAAGTTTTCCAACATCACTGTCTAACTCTTGTCATTAGCTAGTGGAGGGGTTCAGGTCCCATTAGCATGCCAGTTTTATTCCTTTCTACCTGAGGCTGGAGTTTTTAAAGGGAAAGTTAAGGCCAAAATCAAAATTTCACCATTTGTAGTCTTCGGGGTGCTGAGTCGAATGGTCGTGGTCCGAGGAAGCTGAGACGCTCCCTTCCTACTTGAATCCCAAATCGAACTCGCGCACTTCCACCGAAACTGGGTGACTGCGCCCTACTAGATGGGGATTTGTATGCAAAATGTCACTAAAAGCACCATTTCGTTCTTTAAGAACACGGATGACCGCGATTTGCCCATCTGTTGTAGTCTTTTGGACGCTGAGTCAACTGGTTTTGGTCCGAAAAGGCTGCGATGCAGCGTTCCTCCTTTATTCCCAATCAAACATGGTTGAACAAGCGGTCACGTGCTCCTGCGTACACCAGTCACCTGGCCACTGTGCCGCAGGGTACAACTTACTAGCCTGTTTGACCTTTTTTGGGTGCAGTCCTGTCACTCGAGTTGAACCTTGGTGTGAAAGTTGTCGCCTGCTGGCGTGGTGACCAGGTGATTTGGGCACCCAGGAGCACGTGACCGCTTCTTCAACCATGTTCGATTGGGAATAAAGGAGGAACGCTGCATCGCAGCCTTTTCGGACCAAAACCAGTCGACTCAGCGGCCAAAAGACTACTACAACATATGGGTCAATCGCGGTCATCCGTGCTTTTATAAGAACGAAATGGCGCTTTTAGTGACATTTTGCATACAAATCCCCATCTAGTAGGGCGCAGTCACCCAGTTTCGGTGGAAGTGCGCGAGTTCGATTGGGATTCAAGTAGGAAGGGAGCGTCTCAGCTTTCTCGGACCAAGACCATTCGACTCAGCACCCCGAAGACTACAACTGGTGAAATTTTGATTTTAGCCTTAACTTCCCCTTTAACACTGCCAGGGTTCTTGCCAAGTGGGCCAGTTGTGCAAAGAGCCATGTCCAGGGTTGTAGTATCGCAGGCAGGGAGGCATGATTACACAATCAGTGGGCAGAATTGTCAGTTTCATCCTTCCGGGACCTAGCAGTGTAGAACAGAGAAAACAGGGCGAACCTGGTGGCAGTGAGAATTGTATTTCTGGTATCGAGCTTGAGCAGCTATTAAGTACATGCACAAGTCATGGCTTCTTTGGGAGTGCAAGTCGGCAGTGGAAATTTCCTGGACATGGCTCATGACAATTCATTTTCATAGGCTTACCTGTACCCAACGGTTGCAGAATACCAGCGGCCCATGTTCAATCCTAACTGAAGACATGAGCAATGACTCACACTGTTGTCCTACAGATGCAAGAGGTAACAACCTCCTACACGGGCTGTGTGGACCACAGACAGGAGGTATTAGTACTAGAAGTGATAGCACTAGGACTGGGCCGTGGAAACCAACTGTATTGTACGAATGCAGAGAATCACAGGCACTCATACTATGTTCAATAACTGACAAGATAAGAAGAGGAATATAAATCGAATGCATTGCTCTGAAAATAGTTTAAACTTAAAAACATGGCATGGTGGAGATATCTACAGGAAGACAGCAGTAGCAGCGGTAGCAGCAATGAAAACACTCTGCAGACAATGTCTTGTCCAGCCAGAGAGTCCTGAATTCGGCAAAAGTGAGACCCAATTAAATCCATTCGCAGCTAAAGAATACTGAGTACGTCAAAATCAAAATTTAATCTTACAAAAGCGAAATGTCAATCGGCAACAGTCCCAGAATCCTCCGGATCGGCAAGGGCAGCAGGAGAGGAAGAGACAACAGTCAACACTGACAGCAGAATAAAATAACAAAGCAGGCACAGGAAAGCAGGGCCTAATGATACAGGAATTGCCCTATAGACTCAGACCAAATGGTAATGGCAATGGTAATGGTAATGGGCATCATCTGCACACTGGCTTACGTGTCAGCTGGTCATCACGAAAGAGTGAGGTGAGTCTCTTCGGGCGCAGGCGGCTGCGATGGCAGGAAGGGCGCAGGATTGTCGTTGCCGTAGAGGTGGCGCAGGATGTGCAGTGAGCTGTCTTCAGAAGTCCTGTAATAAAACAACAAAACATCCAAATACATGCGATATGAGCACACAATAAATGCATCGTTTATTACGTTACTCCATGTCGACATGCTTGCACATCAGAACAGCAATGGCGGTTCGCTCCAAATAAACTGCAAGCAGGAGGTTTCACCATGATGAAGCCCACAAGCATTTGACAGGGTAACAAGTGACAAGACAGATGTTCTCATGCACCACCAAGAATTGCACAAAAAGAAGTTAGAATAAGCAGGTCAATATCGTGTTTCGAATACACGTGTACCACCGTACACTAGCAAACGATCTCTACTTTACTCATATCATTGTCTCACCAATAGCAAAGATGACTCTGCATGGCAAACAGGTACTCATTGAAGCTTTCCAATGGGTGCTCCTGAAGAACAAAGTCAATACGTTCTCCGTTGTTCAGCTTGCCCAGGTCCAGTGCTGTAGAACACAAGCACACGCACACACAAGCACACACCACACATACAATACACGATGCTCACCATAAAAGCTATTGCTCACTCGGATACTACTTCGAATGGAGAAGAGGACTACAAGAGCATCGTGTTAGTGAAGTATAAAGGTCATTGATCTAACGATTTAAAAAAATTGACGGCTTTTAAAAGATATAGCCCATTGTGGTGTCAAATTGTTCGTATACTCATAATAGTGCCCAGGAATCATCTGACTCGGTAAGATTGCATTATCCAAGTGGCTGCTATGAGCTTGCAAAGACCGAATGTAAACTTGCATTTTTGGGGGAAAGTGGAAATCGCTCTTTTCACGGTAAATATTTGTGGATTCCGTTCACATTTTCTGTGCTTGTCAGAAATACCACTGCTGACTCGTTTGGTTGGCTTCTCTGCCGCCCTCTCCGCCGCTACGGTTTCGTGCTCCACAAGCAAGCTGTCCGTGACGCACTTCACTTGCGCTATGGCTGGATCCCATCTGGACTCCCCTTGACCTGCGCTTGCAGCGCTTCACTCACAGCAGAACACGCTCTGTCCTGTCCCATTGGTGGCTACCCCTCCATGCGTCGCAATGACCTCCGTGATCTGACTGCATCCCTCCTGAAAGACGTGGCCCATGATGTGAGCACTGAAACTTCCCTGCAACCTCACACCGGTGAGACCCTGCATCTTCGCACAGCGATCTCAGCCGATGGCGCTCGCCTGGACATGGCAGCACCCGGCATATGAGGTGGGCGTTTTGAGAAGACGTTCCTCGACATCCGTGTTCCAACCGCCACTTCCGGTAACATACCGTTAACACAAAGCCGAGAAGAAATGCGGGACTGTCCGGGACTGAAGTCCGGGACTGAACCGAGCACGCGTCATTTATGCCGGTAGTCTTGAGTGCATCAGGAGGATGCGGGACAGCGGCTTCCGCGCTCTACAACAGAGTGGCCTTTATGCTCTCGGATAAGAGAAAGGGGCCCTATTCTACCGTACTGGCCTGGATCAGGTCGAGGGTCTCTTTCTCTCTTGTCCGCTCAGCAAAGACTAGCTCCCGTGGACACCACGCCGCTCAGCCAAAGTCCAACCGAGCTTTGGCTGAAATTCCCGCTGTGCTGGCGGCCGCAGCAAAATGCCACTTTTGGTGCTCTTGTTTTGGCAATCTAGCCCAGTGTCTCATTATTTTATCGTTTTACAATACCTGCAAAGCGCAGGCAAAAAAATTCCTTGCCAGTTACGAGACATACATGTAATTATAGGGGGTTTCCTGTGGTCCGTTGCATATGGGAAGTCAGCAGGCCTGTATTTAGTATGAACTGAATTCATCACCGCTAGTGAAGCTTTGCACAGTTTTCAATATTCTACCGCCTATTTGTACGAAGACCTACAGTAGCAGAGGATGGTTTTAGGTTTAGTTTAGTTGTACTGTAGTATACTCCAAAAAAGAAGTAGTATACGATTGTATCAATTCTAGTTTCAGTAAGGACACACTGCGATCGGTGAAGATTCGGGTGAAATCGAATTTCACAAACACGAAAAGAGGGATACTCACAAGACTACACAGTGACACCACTCCCGTCGATGCAAGAGATTACTTCAGAAGCAGACATGTGAAACGCTACGCAGGACCTGAGGCAAAATGTATCGATGTGGCAGTGCTGCACTGAACGACATGGCATCGCCGTCATGCATGACGGAGTCGACATGGCTGCACCCTGGATATGCATCATTCATCGGCACGTTTATTGCTACACCCTTGGAGAGTGGGCCACCAGGGAAGGCTGGGCTTGAGACTTGGTTTTGCCTGCAATGCTCATGATTGAACAAGCTCTCAGAGCAGAAATGTAGACTCCAACTGAACATTGAAACCAGATAGCATCGTGTTCCTGCTCGGCACCTCAATAAGTAACACCGTTGTGATAAAACCTAGAAGAGTTAGGAACTTGTGGGAACTGGGAAGCGACAAAGAAGTCAAGGAAGAAGTGAAGAAGATTGAAGAAGAGCATAAGTAATCATCAAGGAGACGAAAAAGAGGTCACCTATGAGCGGACGGCTTCTGACGTGAACATTTGTAGGCAGGTATGCTGGAATTGGATAGACCTTCTTTGTGTGTGTTTTGGTCACTTTTTAGCCTATCCCGCATTTTCTACCACGATAGCGCCAAAGTGGTGGGTGCTATACACCTAAACCCATACATTTTCTGACCTCTGTGACACATTAGCTAGTTCGTGATTATCTTCTTTTAGCCATTCATCGTAGGGAAATTTCAGTATTTTGGCTCTCCATTGTCCCAAAGAAGTCGGATCTTTTTCAAACTTTGGCATGGGACACATGGCACCTTACCGGTATCTCGACTGGAAAAAATCTAGTATGAAATTCTTTGTTGCAGAGAAACAAGAAAGAAATTGTTTTTTCCCCATCTACTCCCATACAAAGTCTATCCCTCTGACATCCTAAATCCGGCCTACTCCGGGCAAGTTAATGACGTCATCACAATGTCACCAAATTTAGTGCAAACGTCAAGCAGGTATAACTCGGGAACGGCTGCTCCGATCAACCTGGGACCATCACCATTGGAATTAGTACATTTTTCGCTACAACAGTACAAGTTGCGGGAAGTTTTCATTGTAGGGTGTTTATTATTCATGGCTTCTATTACACACAATAACATGGCTGTATACGAGCAGACTAGCCACCACTGTAGTACAAGGACAAAGGGTTAAAATTCGTGATATGTTGCATGGAAAGTTTAAAAGTAGACCTTTTTAGCACTAGCTAGAGACGGATTGTTCTATCAAACGCAGGTGCAGTGCAAGTGCATTGGCTACTTACAAGGCGGTGGCTCCACTGGAGGTTCATCCGTCTCTTGGTCTTGGTCACTGCTGACAGCCTCCAGCTCAGCCTGTACTTTCTCTTGCTGCTCCAGTTGCTCTTTGGCCACCTGCTCCTGCCATGCTGACACGTTGTGACTGGCTGCAAACTGCTGCACCGCTTGCCACGTGTAGCGCATCGACTCCAGGAAATTCTTCTTCAGGTTAGCACCTACACGACCAAGGTTCTCGCGAAGTTCTGCAGGCAGGGAAAAAAATTCAGCAATTAAGAACAAAAATGCAAAGCTGTTAGAAGCCGGCGAAAGGTAGAGAGGTTTTGAGAAAACTGATAGAGAGTGGTGCTGGAAAACTGATAGAGAGTGGTGCTGGAAAACTGATAGAGAGTGGTGCTGGAAAACTGATAGAGAGTGGTGCCGGAAAACTGATAGAGAGTGGTGCAGGTTGGGAGTATCCAGTAGAGTGCTGCTCAATGAAATCCGATTGGGTGAGCTAGCTGCGCGCCCCTACGCCAGTGTACATCCCAGTGTTTGCAGGTCTAGAGCTGCACGGGGCCCCCCCGGCATGGCGTACTTGACTCACGCGATCAGATTTCATTGAGCAGCACTGTACGCGTGACAGTAAAACACCTTACCTAGATGCAGGCGCTTTCGGCCCTTGTGGTGCGGCACTAGCGATGGCGGGACACTGTTTGCTGCGAGGTTGACCAGCGGCTCGATTCGATACGCTACCGGATCAAACTGTGACCAAAGATAAAAAGAAACACAGCACAAGCACACGCACAAGCACAAGCACACACACACACACATGCAACAGGACTCCTCAGGGTTGGAGATGGTACAGAATCAACACACTGCACTGAATATTATGACTGAACCTCAGCCAACCCTTGCCGCAAACTTCATGATTTTTTTACCTCATCTACACGAGCGTAAATGTGCACCAGAGACAGTCCAAGTTGTTCACATTGATAGCTGCTAGCTGGTGCTGTTCGCAGGAACGTGGGATATAGCAGAAACTACAAGTGAGTTGGCCTTGCTATAAAATGTATTTTTCGTTACTCATTTCCCTCACTCTGATGATTCTTGAGACAAGATGAAACCGGTCAGTCAATTTATCGAGTAACTGTTGTCTTGGTGGGTAGGTGGTTCTACTTTCCAAAGAAGTATTGTAAGGCGAGACCAAAATAAAATCGAGATTCCCGGGCAGGACCCATCTGAAATTGGTGCGGGCGGGCGAATTTAGATTTTTTATTTTTTTTCCTATGTGTGTATGAATGGCATGCTGAACTTTTTTTTACAGTATTTTCCGGTATTTATTTTTTATTTTTTACAGACAACAGGTATATGGTCCGTGGTTTACCGGTACCCGTACAATTTCTTTTGTATTTCGGCCAACGACAGCCCTGAGTCGTACACCAGGGAGTCGTACAAGCCCAGGTTTGTGTGACACCATGTCACAGATCTACTCGCACGATCAGTACTGAACAGAATACGACTGTTCAAAAAAAAAAAAAAAAATTGCCTTCGGCTCGATTTTGGTGCGGGAGGGCCCGGGAATCTTTACTTTTTTTTGGTCTCGCCTAATCACCCTAGACTTCCTACACCTCCACCATGAGTACTGCAAATGTAGTTGAGACAGCTCCATCTGTAGTCGCTGCCCATAGCATATTCCAGTGCCCGCCTTCTTCCAAAAGAAGAAAGGAGAGCGACGCTGAAGATGGCACCATCGCTCCAGTCGATCCGCCAACCACACCAGCTGACTCGTTAACTGCTGCTTCATCCCAGACTCTCCCTACATCTCCAACATCATCACCTCGAAGCGATCCGACTCTGCATTCTCGAGCCTGTAATCCTCTGCCCGCAAGCGACCTGGAAAGGTTAGTGACGAAATTCATAAACCGTATGTGCTGAGCAGGAAGATAATAGATGATACCAAGCAAAAGATACCAATTACCTTGAGAAACAACGGGAGAGTGCTCAATCAATATTGGACAAGGCAATCAAGTTAGAGAATGATGCAGCTAACGATCTTGAAAACCTGGTCGAAGTCCGTAAGTCCGACGGCGTAGCTTGCCACTTGGTACCACTAGTTGAAGCAAGAGTTTGCCACATCCTAGCTGTGAAAAGTGCTAACGCCATTGCAAAACAACTTCAATCTGCCATCAACAATAGAATCAAGAAGAGCTCTACCACTAGTGTGCCTATGCCTGTTGTAACTGACGTATCAACACTTCCGCCCACAACCGAAGATATAGGACTGCTAGCCAAACGTGCTGTTGCCAATGCATTGAAAACCAGCAAGCCCAAGCCTCAGAAAAACCAACCAACAAAAGCCAAACCAAAAAACTTGAAACGCTAAGGCAGCAAACAGGCTCTCAAGAACCCCGACAATCAAACCAACTGCCCGAAGAAATCAGAAATAACTTTCTTAGATCTTCGTTTGAAATATATTTGGCACTTTCGTTTTTCTGCTCATTTCAAATACGGAATTAATTCAGGTGTTCATAATTTGTCTTCACTCAAATATTCAACCCTGTCGACACTCAGGAGTGATCGAACGAAGCAGCTCATTGCACCAGAGAGCTTGCCACGCATGCCATGTACGCAGGGTGCTCCGCAGGGGTCTGTTTTGGGACCTGTCCTATTCAGCCTCCATGTCCGTGGTCTTCCCTCATGTGTCAACACTTCCACAGTTCTGCAGTTTGCGGATGATGTGAATATGTACGCAGTTGGTGACTCTGGTGAGGAAGTCATAGGAACGTTGAACAGAGATCTACTCAAGTTGTCTGCCTACCTGAAAGGGAAGCGCATGACGCAGAACCCAGCAAAGACGAAGTTCCTCCTCCTTCACAGAAAGACAACAGCAGTGCCTGGTTCCGCCAGTGTCGTCATTGACGGCGTCAATGTTCTTAGAGCGCAGCCCGAACGCTATCTTGGCATTTTTATTGATGAGCACCTGACTTTTGGGCCACACATTGACAGCTTGATTGGGTCTGTCAACAGGAAACTCGGTGCCTACCGCATGGTGCCTACCGCATGTCAATGCATCTCTTGCCATTCCACGCACGGCGTAGCTTTTATCTTAGTGTCATTCAGTCGTCATTGGAGTATACAAGCAGCGCTTACGTCCACTCTCTTAGTTCTTACTATGTCGATAAGTATGTCCGGCTATTTAATAGGTGCCTAAGAATAGTTTTCGGTTTCGATAACTTTACCAGGGCCTCACATATTCTTAGCCTGTACAATCTCTCCCACATTTCCGTCCAAGTCAATTTGAAGCTTTTTATTCTTGTATTTCGCTCTGTCCATAGCGGCACATGCAGCTCTGTCCTAAAAGAAATTTCCATACCCGCTCCTCCAGTGCACACACTACTGCCGTCACTAGGTCCCAAATATCTTTTTCTCTGGCCTTGCCTTCTGCCCGCACTAAAGCTGGTTTTTCTCGTCTTGGCTACATAGGTTCTGATCGGCGGAACATGCTGCCTTCCACTGTTCGCTCTTGTACAGATCATCGCACATTTATTCGATCATGCTTAATCTTGGGGCTCCCGTAAGAAGACTACAGGTCTATGGGAAACACCCTAGTAAAAAGAAAAGAAAAAGTAAGTATTAAGCTACGGACCAAAATTCCATGTCTCTTCTGTCCTTCTGAGGTCAGAAAAGCTTAAATTTGATATTTGTAAACTTGAAAAGAAATCAGGTGGCAAGATTGTTTTGCACATAACATGTTTGGATCTAAAGTATCTAAAACTAAGTCTATTTACATTCCTGGCTTCCACCTGCAATCCGTGAAGGACCCTCCCGTTGGCATTCCCACACACCGAATGTGCTCTATTGGAATTTAGAAACACTTTACTTTCTCACCACAAATCTTGCTATAAAAACTTACAAATATTCACAACTGCAATTTGACCATTCATAAAACATCTTCACACGGACATTTCCAGACACGAATCATAATACATTTCGCATGCCACACTCACCTGGACGCAATGACACATTTCTAAAACACATTTCAATTATCCCTACCCCCATGCCTCTTTGGGCTCCCAGTGGCTTTAGTGGGTACACTTGTGATATACCGTACTGGCAATATATATGGTCGCAGTGAGGCCATGAAGCGTTACATTGGCACATGTTTACCGCACGCAGGGCGTTACATGCAAAGTCGCACAGGAGCCGTTACACAGGTTTCTATATTGCCGCAGTCCTTTTTTTGCTATTGCAGGACTTCCTGCTGCGTCCAGTTTTGAACTTTTCACCACGCGGTACACGTGCTTTCACAGTTTTCAGCCTTTTTTGCAATGAAAAGATCGCCGCACCCCGCCGGACGCGCATTACGAACGCAACGAAAATTTGTCGCACTAGCCTGGTCGCGCGTTACGCCGCACCCCCTGCGTTACGCGTTACGCGGCAACATATATTGCCAGTACGGTAGATACCTTTGGTCAAGCGAGTTGGCCTTGCTATAAAATGCATTTTTCGTTACTCATTTCCCTCACTCTGATGATTCTTGAAACAAGATGAAGCCGGTCCGTCAATTTATCGAGTAAGGGGCCGTCCATAATATTATCAATCTTTTACACAAAACGAAAAAGTTTCGTTTATGGGTGGGTGGGTCGAGGTGAGTTTCGCTATGAAAAATATTGATAGCTGAAAAATCAATCCAATCTAGCTGTCAAGTTGATGTATTTTTCGTTCAGGGGGGTGGGTGGGTGGGGGAGGGTCATATCTAAACTTTTTTTCGTTTCGTGAAAATTATCGATAATGCTGGGTGGCCCCTAATTGTTGTCTTGGTGTGTAGGTGGTTCTATTTTCGAAAGAACTATGAATGTATGTAGCAACAATAAGCCGTACTGCAAACCCGGAAACCTTTTTTTATCCAGAATCCTTCGCGGTTTTCACGATGGGCGTGAAATCGCAAAAGTAAAGCCGGCGCGAAAAGTAGACCATGGTAAAGAAACTGAGGAAATGGACTCCAATCGCGAACATCTCCAGGTGCAAATGTGTCTGTGCTGGTGTCATGTCCTGGACATGGACCATATGTATGTAGTGCACATGCTCGCACGTGAGCTGGGTCTTTTTCGGATATGGAGTTTGAGATGTACTGAAATCTGTAATGGCCTCGAGTGTGTGTGTGTGTGTGATCGAGCTGGATGAGTCCGAGTAGAACCCCCTGGGGTAGGACACAACAACTAGCGACGAAGATGGGATGTCGTCCTGAAGAAGGTACTCCATTTCAAGATTAATGGTTGGGAGGAAGTGTCAGAGCCAGAGCTCTTTCCTTACTTCGCTAAACGGTGGGAACTGTCAGTGGAGGACAACATCCTTTTATGGAATGGAAGGGTGGTCATGCCTGTCTCCCTGAGATTAATCCTACTCAACGACCTACACTCAGAACACTCTGGGGTAGTGAGAATGAAACGGTTGGCTCGGAGATACGTTTGGTGGCCTAAAATCGACGAAGATATCAAGTCGACGGTCCAGCAGTGTGCCCTATGTCAACTCAATGCCAAGAATCCCCCGAAAGAGTTTGCAACTTGGACATGGCCGGCAGGACCGTGGCAGAGACGGCATGTCGACTTTGCAGGACCGTTTCTCGGCAAAATGTTCCTGGTATTGGTGGATGCTTACTCCAAGTACATTGACGTTATTCCGTCGTCCCATGCTACGTCAGCGTCAACAATAATGGCTTTGCAACGCGTGTTTGCTATTTTCGGCCTGCCAAACCATATCGTCACGGATAATGGGTCACAGTTCACAAGCGACGAATTTCAAACGTTCTTGCGGAAGAATGGAATTCATCACACGTGTACCGCTCCTGGCCATCCGGCCACCAATGGAATGGCAGAACGGTACGTGGGGTTTTTCAAGAGCAAAATGAAAGTCATGGATGAGGAACCAGGGCAACTTCACTCAAAGTTGCAGAGGTTTTTGCTCTCGCATCGTACTACCCCACAGGCGAATGGAAAAACACTGGCCGAGATGTTGATGGGGCGACAACCTCGCATCAAATATGATCGTTTGAAAATGGAAGGGCGTAAGGGCGTGGAGGTTTACGAGAACAATATGGAGCACATGCCGGAATTTCAGTGCGGCCAAGCTGTCCTGGCTTTGAATTTCGGCAAAGGAGGAGATAAGTGGGCCCCAGCCGTGGTCACGGTTGTTCTCAGTCCGATGACGTATCAGATACAAGTCGGTGATGCAATGTGGAAACGCCATCGCAACCAGCTCCGTCCTCGGCAAATCCCTCAGTTCGATGCAGGGGTGTCTGAGCAGAGTGGAGCAAGTTTAACAGCTCAGGTTCCGTCACAGCCGTCACTCAGCAACAACGACGCCAGAGCTAGGCGCGCCGGTCTCAGCAACAACCGGTACTAGTGAGTCTGCGTCGGTTAGCACTTCACGTGCCAGCTACAGCAAGACGTCGTCACCGCAAGCTGAACGACGGTCAAGCCGCGCTACTGTTCGGCCAGTTCGTTTCAAGGATTGACGTTCAGAACACACAGTTCAGATAGACCTATTCTAGTCTGTGGAGTTTAGATGACATATTTTGGACTCTGCTGGATATTGTATATAATTATATATTTATGGTGTATATATGGTGTATAGTGTATCATGAAATATTATGTCTCGGCAGTTGTGAGTTTTGAGATTGCATGTTGATATGTTAACTATTGCATAGTTCTAGATGCTTCGCCTCAACTAGTGAGGGGGAAATTGTCATGTCCTGGACATGGACCATATGTATGTAGTGCGCATGCTCGCACGTGAGCTGGGTCTTTTTCGGATATGGAGTTTGAGATGTACTGAAATCTGTAATGGCCTCGAGTGTGTGTGTGTGATCGAGCTGGATGAGTCCGAGTAGAACCCCCTGGGGTAGGACACAACAGCTGGCAAACCGTGAACTAAAAAAAACGAGCGCAAAGGTTTCCGGGTTTACAGAAGGTCAGAAAATTTTCAAAGGCAACAGCAAGCTCAAAGCAAACAGTGCCAGCATAGTTACCGGATGAAAGATGTTGACCACACGGCTACAAGTAGGCAAGGAGAAGTCTGGGCCCAGTCTACCTCCTCTGGAGAGCAGAACATCATCACAATTTAAAAAAGAAAAGAAGAGAACAGAGCAGAAATAACTTCAAATAAGCAAGAGGTAAAGGGTCACAGCCTCCTCCACTCTGCACTGCAATGCACAATACTCTAATCCCTTCACCGCATTGAAATCGAAGACATGTGTTTTTTAAAAGTACTTCTTGGAGTGAAAGATCTTTTAAATAGTGCTGTCCAAAGATCACCATCACAATTGAAGAATAAGATAGCATACCAGAAGAAAGTTAAGCAGCAGAACCAGGTCTGTCAGATTTGACTACAGTTGTTCGGTGATCGAAGTGGACTCTAGTACACCAGAGATGCCATTTTACATGCTGTATTTGATTATTCGTCCGATAGATGAAAAAGAGAAGAAAAACCCGTGTGCAAAACAGCATAGTCAACACAAAAGCTCAGTTGCGCATGCCACAAGAACACTGCTAACACTGCCAACACTTGGTGTTCAGCAACTGTGTGATAGCGTGCACAGTGCGCACACAGCATGTGTAGCATATCAGCAGTGCGACTGGCTGAGCGAAGAAACCCTAGCCGAGCACAGGCAGTGCAATGTAACTGCAGTGTAACTACAGTGCTGCTCAAAGACATCCAATTGCACGAGGCAAGAAGACGCCGCGCAGCCCCAGACCTGTGAACACTGTGTGCTGCGCTGGTGCAGAGCGCTCGCTTGGCTTTTGTGATCGTGTTTTCTAGAGCAGCACATGACATACTGTACGGTGACGGAGCAGCAGTTTACTTACCGCACGGTGACAAACATGCCAATGGGAGAGCCCAGGCAGTAGAGACTCTTCACCTTGAAAGAAAGCTGTGGGTAGCGTACCAGTGGCTGACCGATGCCGGCACATCCATGCTGGAAAGCAATGCGATGAATGCCTGGACAGCAGAAATGCATGGGCCGCACACAGCAATTAACAAAACAACAAAGGGCGCGTTTGATTGGTCGGATCCGGAACAGGATTGTTTAGAACAGGGGCGCTTGATTGGTCTGCACTGCTTTTAGAGTATTTGGAACATATTCTGGCCACTACGTAGAATCCCGCGGATAAGCCCACCCGGCGCGTATTGAGTGGCACGACTGGATTTCATTGAGTAGTACTGTAGTAGCCACAGTACATAATGTTACTGTATGGCACTTCACCCACACACTCCTTTTGGGCAGTGATTGTGTTACACTATGCTATCGATTGACATTGGTAAATCCATGATCATTTAATGACCCTGATCACAGTACAGTACAGAGTATGATGTGTGCAATGCTGACCAGCAAGTTCTCTTACCTTCTGCGGCTTCACGCGCAGCACTCGTTTCCTTCTCCTTTTCCGCTTGCTTCCGCCGAAGTTCCCTTTCTTCGCGAGCTGCCAGTGCGACTTTCTTACGGGCCTCTGCGTCGGCAACCCGGCGTTTGTATGCCTGAGCAGTATAGTATACACAACGACACGGTGCCCAGCAGCGCATTGAATGACTGTAGCTTGCCATACTGCATACAACGGTTGCCCACACACAATTCATACAGTCAAATTCCCTGTAGCATTGCAATCTCCAACCCAGTGCCACGGAAAGTGCTTGCACAGATTCCAGTACATAAAAACAAATTCTACTTCGCAGTCCATCACGGTGATGTAAATATTTCCTGTAAGCCATATTCCAGAAGAGAAGTACATAGTACCAAGAGTACATAACCCCCCAGAGTGTGCAACGCCTGATCCAGCTCTGCATAGGGTCTTGGTCGAGCGGAATCGGATCTTTGCGTCATCGTACCGTACACATCTGAGGGGAACCCGGGGAGTCGCGGGTACACTCGGATCAAAAACAACGGCGCCCTGCCTCGAGACCGGCCTTGCGCTGGTGCGGAGTGTACGCGTGACATCAGAAGATCCGATTCCGCTCGACCAAGACCCTATGCAGAGCTGGATCGTCGTTGCACACTCTGGGGGGTTATGTACTCTTGCTGGTACCAGTGGTTACCTCCTGTGCATCGTTGTGCTCTCGCAGATAGCCGATGAGCTTCTTACGCGGTCCCATGGGTATTCCTAACTCTTTGAAATCGTCGCTTCCCATCAATTGCTGCACAAGGGAACGAGACAGCATGCAAACACAACAGCACAAGGCCAGAGTCATCACCAGCATCAGCGTTTGTACAGGCGAAACCTGGAGAAGAGATCATCTAGTATAAGCAACCACTTGGTCGGCAAGACCAATGTTCTTTGGCACCTAATGTGTTGAATGTGCAAGGACCGTGCTGGTGTTGCCATAGATAGAGTGTTCCATTTGGTATGCGTTCAAACATGTACAAAGTGTATACACATTTCCCAACACCGTCTGTGCTTCGCTTAAACATCTTTTTTACTGCAACACAACACATCATAAATATCTCCATGTGTATAACAAAAATGGGAGTAAGCCGCATATTCAAAGTTGTTCAAACGCTTACGAAGCTCTCAAGGTCAATCTTCTCTTCCTCAAACTTCTCAATGAAAGAATCAAGCTCGAACATGGTGAGTGCGGATTCCACCGTGATGGGCTCTGGCGGCTTGATGGACAACTTCTCCTCGGTGAGCTCATCATCAACTGACTCCAAGTTCTGCTCTTCTGGTGCTTCATGAGAGTTTGGTCTAGATTGCGTACAGGTCAAACACAACAGGAAGTTGAAAAAAGCTTTGCAATCTTGACTTTCGAATTCTATTCAAATAACCATCACAATGACAAGCCTTTTGCATTTACACATATAAAAATCGAAAGCAAGTCTTTAGAATATGCGCATCATGCATTGCTAACTTCTTACTCAGTACGGCACATGCACATGTAGATATACTTACGCCTGTGGAGTTGCAGGAACACCCTGGCAATGCACAGAACACAAAAAAAAACAGTACAACAAGACCAGAAAACACGTTTTATTTGAGGTAAATCCAGAAGAAGAAGAAGAAGAAGAAGAAAATATGAATCATCTACATCACACTGAAGTGACACAGTCACTCAGGAAACACAAGGCAGTAAAATCTGCCACAAGAGACCACCTGTCTGTACGGACAAGTCACCTGGGGTACAAGTAATATACAACTGCATCTGAGCACCAATTGTCTATGAAGACCGATTTCCAGTGCACAATGGGTTGATCGCAAAGGATACCGGTGAGAGTATGATTTTCTGAAGGAAAAAAACCCCATTCACATCACATTCAAGCACATGCTTGCTCAAGAAATCACAATACATGCAGTAAAAAAGATGTTTAAGCGAAGCACAGACGATGCAGTGCTGGCCAGAAATCTGGCAACGCGTGCACAGCGCTTTTCTTAAAAGTGCCCCGAGCCCTGCAGGTCCTGACACTCTTGCAAAGCAGCTCAGTTTGCACAGTAAGTCGTGCAATTTGTGGTGTACAGTCCATTCAGAAAAAGATGGACTACTAGCTTTTGGCCATAGATGGGTCAAACTTTGGGTTTTTTTAGAATTATTTTCTGCAATCCCCTATGGAATCCTCTTCCAATTATGTTTCTGAAGTCTATTTCTCCAAAAAGCAAGCCGTGGCAAGAATAGGATTTCGGCCAGGTTTTGCTCGAAGAGCACTGAATTGGGAAAAACCATCAAAATCCAGGCCGTTTGACCCTGCCTGCAACAGTGCATTGTACGGTTCGAACCCCAGTTCAGGTACCCTTTTGGACCCTTTTTCAAATTTCGCAGCACTGCACTGTGTACGATAAAATCTTCAAATATCGCCAAATACGGGAGCTCGCCAGAGCCAGGGCCCATCTTTTTGTGAATGGACTGTAGTTCTTGAGCGAGTGGTCGGACTTCTCTGGCCAGCACCGGCTGCACTGTAGTACCACAGACAGTGCACATGTACGGCAGTGCAGAGTGGGCATTGTCAAAGCAGTCAGCTGCTACCCTTACCTGATGAGCTAGCAAGTCGAACAATATACAAGAGCCTGCACAAAAACAGCACAGTACATACATGTAGAAGCATCCATCAGGACCATGCAGCCACGTCAGGCCAACAAAAGAAAGAGACGAAAAGTTCAGAGAGAGAGAGAGAGAGCATGGGAATAAATTCAGAACATCACACCAGACTGCTGCATGAGATCAGCGTGCAAGAAAGCATTGCACCACTTCTATTCTCAAACTACCACAAGCAAGCCGCACTCACCAAGACTGTGCCCCATCACGGAAACGTCACCCTGGAAGGAAGGGTTGCGCGACAGGAAGAGGTTATGCATGCGCTCCATTTCTCCCGCCACTGTACTGTTGATGGTCTGAATGTCGCAACAGCCAACGACACGCACGCACATACACACAGACACACATACACAAACATGCCCATGCACACGCACAGCCAGCAAATACAGCCAGCACAAGCATAAGTAAACAATATACATGTACATACCAACAACGAATAGTTGTACTTTGAAAGGTCACACATTGGATGTGTAAGGTACTGAGTGGCATCACACGCCCTCACCAAGGTACTTTCAAGATCTACTCACAACAATACGATCCCGCTACAACTCCCTCGACCTTATGAAAACAATACAATCATGATGATTAAAGTATACGAGAGAGCTTGGAAGCTCAGGGCCCTACGCTATGCTTTTATGCTTTTTTGCCTAGCTCATCGTACATGTTATAAGAACTGATGGAATTGTCTTTTTCCGTTCATTGGCCATATCACTGTATTGCAAAAACGTTTCAATCGGTTTGAATATTATGAGTTAGGCAAAAGTATTTGCAGAATTTATTGCGGATTGTTGTTTCTCTAATAATCATCTACTTTTGTTTTGCTCCTTCTTTAATTTTTATCTCCTTATATTGTAAATCAACAAATTTTGGCCGATGAGAAATAGAAACCTCTCGATTAGAGAGGTTAAGATGCACGTTATTTCCGACGTGACGCGCAGTTTCACGTCAAATTTGTGAAATCGATCGGTATTTTTGCTCTCACATGCATCCATTGCTCAATCATGCATCATTTGCCTATATGACAAACGTTGGCCTGCGATTTACTTTGTCCGGTTGGTACCAAGCGGCGAAATCAGCGAAATTAAATCGCCAGCGAACATTAGTTGATTTTAATACAGGAATCGGATTTTCTGGCCTTTTTGTAGTAATACATCTACATTGACCTGTTGAGCCAATGACGACGCCGAATGCATGGTTGCCTGTGGAGCACATTACATAACTTTACAGTCTCCTAAAATACGTATCCTGTCCGACGGCAAAAGAGGCTGCAGATTTAGTTTTTCTGCGCGTCCACGGGATGTCTGTGACGCGAAAGTTCAGCTCGCGTTATTTGGCTCGCACGTCGAAAAAATCAACGCAAGTGACCTGCTGCTCACGTCGAAATTTGGACATTACATAACTTTACAGTCTCCTATATAAATACGTATCCTGTTCGACGGCAAAAGAGGCTGCAGATTTAGTTTTTCTGCGCGTCGACGGGATGTCTGTCCTGACGTTTACTGGGACCGGCGCTGACTCTGCCGATCACGGCGTTCTGGACTCGACGGGATGTCTGTCCTGACGTTTCCTGGGACCGGCTTAGACTCTGCCGATCACGGGCGTTCTGGACTCAACGGGTTGTCTGTCCTGACGTTGCCTGGTACCGCCGGACTCTACCGATCACGGGCGTTCTGGAGTCGACGGGATCTCTCTTCCGACGTTTCCTGTGACCGGCACTGAATCGCTCGTTCACGCTTATTTTGGAGACGACGGGATCTCTCTTCCAAAGTATGTTTATGCTGACGCATCCTATCACCTAATCGGCGTCTATTCTAATTTAATTTCCTCCTCGTCTCCCTATTTCTTTCCAAATCCCACTCTACATCAGGGAGTCGTATGCATAATACGACGAATATTGGTACGGTACGGGACAGATACGGGATAGCGCCAGGCGTGACACAAACAAACAAACAAACACACAAACAAACAAATACCAAATTAAAGCTGTGTGGACCCTGGCTAGCGCCAGACGTTACTGAAGTAACGTCTTCTGCATAGCTACGGGAATAATATACAATGTACAAGTAGTTATGTATGTGGATATACTTCGAAGAAGGCACTGACCTGGCAGTATGCAGGGCTCATGTAGAAAAGGATGTCTAGTAGAAAGTCGTTGATGAAGTCCCGCAGTCGACCACAGCTGCGTAGCGTGATATCATGAAGCTTACTGCAGACAGACGGTGGCCATTGCACAGACAGCACACACCATCAACCAAAATGAACATACATGGCTACATACAGGTACATGCAATACAAAACAAGCAGAATGAAGGAACTGACTGCTTGACCTGCAGTGCACTTTACAGCAGAACTGTGATACATGTACACAGCAAACACCGGACCCTGGCAATCAAAACGGTGTGACTGCATCATGTGTCACTATTACATGTACTAACCTATGCTGACAATTCATACATTGCGTGAGCAAGTACACGGACCCACCAGATCCACCTCCATCTTGCACAACATACAAGTGTATTGCACGTATACATGTCACCGCTGAACAAGTCACCTACCTGCTACACACACTCGTACTCGTGATCGAACAGCAAATGAAACGCAAACACTTGCCATATTCAAAACTCCCATTCTCAGCCAAACCAAGATCTTGCCTAGCTGTGTTATTATTGCTGCTGCTGCTACAACAGGCACCACTACTAGTACTGCCGGTACATGATTGTACTACGTACCGGTTCACGCCGGTCGTGTCGCCATGCAGAGACTCATGCCAGGCCACAGGCAGGAACTCGACGCGGTGGTTCCGCCGGTGCGGGAAGTGCTGCTGCATCATTTCTTGCGAGATCTGCCGCCAGTCATCAACTGGGCAGCAGGAACAGCAGGAGCAGCGACCACCATGGCATGACATACATAACACCAAACACAAGAACAAGCGCATTAGGATAACAACAGCAGTAAGAGAATTCAAACTCAAATCAATGTGTACCAGCTGATCAAACAATCTACTGATTAACGCAGGTGCACTCGAGGTAAAAATCAGCACAGCTGGGAAACCTGCACAGTGTTGATAACATCAACCCACTACAGCAGTAGGTAATGGCAGCCAACAATGCACCAATGAGCTATCAGCAAAACTGCATGCAAAGTACGGAGCAGAATTGGCAGGTTCACTCATTCACACGTTGACATGCTTCAAAAATCCCCGCAATGTATCATGTAGCTTCAACTAACAAGACAGTGGGTAGTCACAGCAACACCAATGACAAAGCTATCACAAGCCGGTCTAGTCATGCACACTTGCTCACCAGCTCTGAAGATGCTCCTGAACGCGAGATCAGCGACAGGACCAACGCCGTGTACCACAAACACAAGGTGGTCAACTTCACTGGGCTCTCCTATAGAAGACAAGAGAGAAAAAAACAGCCAGATATTAAAATATGACTTTCAATGGTCATTCCTCTTCCAGTCGGCGAAATAGTCTGTCCAGTGGCTGCCTTTCTTTCGTACATGTATTACAAACATACGGAGCCTCTCAAATATGGACACTGCGGGGGACCATACACAACATATAGGGTGTGCAGGAGTGTGTACCCGCGCGTTTGCCTGTTACAAACACCCGTGACCCGGCCATAACGCACCTTCATCAAGGGACTCAGCTGGATCCAGACCTCGCCGCACTGGCCCGGGTACGGCAGGCAGTGGCGGCAGGTGAACGATTGCCGTGGCATTGTGCAGGTGAATGGTAGAGCCCTTGAAGTCAAAACGAGCTGGCCATACATTGGCAATGCACAGCTTCTGGTAGTGTTTCTGTAACAGAAACAAAAATAATGTGAGCACCACCTCAGTAAGCACTCTCACGAAGAAGTTCTCCTAAAGCCAATGAGGCTAAAATGCAGTTGAACCATCGCACTGATGCTCAGCATAATTCAAGCACACAATGAGCGTTCCTTTTGCGGAAAAGCATCAGCTGCTGGTGTTGCACGCCACCACTCACAATGACAAGCATCCATGTGTACTGCCACAACTGTACCACATGTACACTCGACACATACAACGTATGTGTTCACTGTTCAGGCAAGGGAAAGGCTGAATTGAATTTTATAAACCTCTTAGAATGGACAGTAGCCGACACAACTACACCCGAAGGATAGCACCAGTGCACAGCTTCATGTTTTCAGTGTCACCGTGCATTAAAACACATGCACAACGACAACATTGAGTGTATGGGTCAGCTTAAAATGATTGTAAGTACGCAATTGACACATGCCATACGCTGCTCATCATGTACACAAGCCGCAAGAGAAGCGCACACATTTGCAAGTGCAAAGGCAATGCTGCACGCCCCGTTGATTTCTCTTATCATGCAATAGCAGACTAGATCCGAATGAGACAGGCCAAGACTTGTACACGCCTAGCACACACACACACAAACAAACAAACACACACGCACACACTCTCTCTCTCTCTCTCTCTCTCTCTCTAATATGTGCATTTGTTTCGCACTACAAATAGAAGCTATCGGCATGAGGAAACTTACCTCCAGCATTTCCGATTCATCCTCTTTGTACGGTACAAAGTCTGATGCAGGGTCCGGCTTGAAAAACCAGGAACACCGACGCACTTCGCATGATTCTTCATCCCAGTAAACTGAGTGGCGCTGTCGAGATTCCAGCTCCACATCATAACGACCACCTTCAGTGGGCACGAAAGATGAGAAATCTACTGAGTTAGCCAGCAACGAGTTGGAATGAGCCTGTTCCAGACTAGTCGAGTCAGCGAGTGAAAACGGAGTCCATTTGTCCTGGCGATAGTAAAACCAGTGGTGCTCCATTGGCGGAATGTAGCTCTCCACCATACGCTGCTGCTCGCGCCACTCTTGCTCAATGGGCAACTCTCGCATCTGTGATGGCTGTTGAAAAGACGGATAGGCTCCAATGCCCGGCACGCCAGTAGATGCGGGCTGGACTTGCGCTGAGACCTGCGGCGGTCCGACCAAACTCGCCGCATCCATGCCAAGTTGTTGCTGTTGGTGAGAGGCGGTGGTGCTAGTTAGTGGTTGGCCAAGCTGCTGCTGTTGCATGGGGAAACCCCCATCACCGAATCCCGCCAGACTAGCAGCAGTAGTCGGTGAGCTGATATCAAGTGGCTCCATGACTGAGCTCTGATTGTGCTGCTGCTGTTGTGTGCTACTGTAAACATTTGATGTTGGCATGCCTGTGGTGGATACGGGGCCTACTAGATTGGTCGGCGCCACTGCGAATCCTGCCATCGGGCCGGCGAGGTTGACTGCTTGCGAACTAAGCTGTGTGGCGGGCATCGTAGCTGCTGGTCCTGCAAGTGCTGTTTGTGCAGCTGAAGAGTGCTGTGAGCCGCCAACAGTAAACATTGCAGGTCCTGCCAGCTGCTGTAGATGCGCTGTGCTGGAAATGCTAGAAACTGGCGCAATAGGTCCGATCCTGGTATGAGCAGCACCAGTGTCTGGGACAGCAGCAGCTGTATGATAGTGCGATGGAACCGGCGCACCTCCTGTACTACCTGCAGAATTGTCCAATTGAGGTGCATTGCCATAAGCAAGCTGCTGCTGTGGCAGAGTCGTTGGAACAAGTTCTGCAGGCGCAGCCTCTCGCTGCACGGCTGCAGGCGAAGCTCCTACATCTACTGAACCTCTGCCATCAACAGAGGCTGCAGTGCCCGGAGCTTGGAATGCATTGCTGATCTCCTGGGCTGTGTTACTGTTCGAGTTTGAAGAGTTTGGTGTAGCAGATGTAAGGGAAGCAAAAGGATCAACAGCAGAAGCTCCTGAAGGTGCGCCTGCAAAGAGAATGGGTGCTGAAGGAAGAGCACCGCTAGAATCTCCGAAGCCAAACGGCTCTGCTCCTCCTGAACCCGATGTGGTAAATAGATTTGCTGAGAACAGCTCAGGCTGCTGCCTGTTCGCCATTGTCCTGAACAATCTTTTTGATTTTGGAGATTTTTGAAGCGTCTTATTTTGTGTACGGTGCCAGAGTACAAGTACGTGGCGTTTTAGTGACGTGACAGTCATGACATCAAAGAGGGAAATCTCCATGGGGATAAAAAATGGCGTCCCCCAGCGTACGGTACATATGCAGCGACTCCCTGACATGACCATGATGACACTGACAGGCAGTATGATGTTTGAATGGTGGTGTTGTAGCCTAATGAGTATTGTAATGATTATGGAGGTGCTACGATTTCAAAATCGTCTGGAAAAATACTGTCATGATGTAGTTAGTTAGTTGACCTGACTTGATGCATGGCTAGCTGATCCGGGGTTGTCGAATCTTCAGAAATAGCCGAGCATTGTTTGTCAGGAAATAATACGAGATACATGTACTACTAATAGACATTGTAGTTTGCGTATTAAAAGTACCAGAAGTAAGCCGATCATTTTGCATAGCCGAATGGAGCAAAGTTACCAGCAATTTCTATTGTCACTGAAGTTTCTGGTGTCAAAGTCCGATGAATACGGCGATGGCTGGCAGAAGAAAATATCGGTAGGTTTAGTATTGTGTGCTCTGTTCAGGCGGGATGCACACAGTGACAATGTCTATAAAAAAGTAAGAAAAAGTAAAGGGAGAATTTGGGGTTTTCAGTTTAGGTGGCTGCTGATGCATGTACATTCTATAGCCCTATTCAGCAGTGTTCTGCGCAGTGCCGGTTTTAATTCTGAAATTATTCTTTGGTACATGCACCCCACGTAGAATGCTTTTCAGGGGGGCAAACTGCTCGTTTGTTAAAGGAGGGTATGGGCACTGCAGAACAGGGATGTGGTAGAGTTATTTTTTTAAAGAGTTAAAAAAAATACACGAGTCACAAAGTACCACGCGTCTAGTTTGTTGTAACTAATAGTTTCATGGCAGATGGCAATCTTCAGACAACTGAGATCGCGTGGTACTCTGTGACTCGTGTGTTACTGTTCTGCTCCTGCATTGAGCACTCTATCGAACCGGAGGACTCCGCTCTCTATGAGTGTTAAAATAGATATATGCGTCAATTTTTTAAATGTGGATACATGCACCGTAAAATGCCGTTCGCCCCCTGGCTACCCCTGAAACGATTTCAGCGTATACGGATGCGATACGGTATTGAACTGACGCGTGCACCGCTGTACACAAGACCTGCCAGTGCAGGTATGCCTGGGGATGAAACTGTACACAATCCAGTCGGGCAAGTCTGTGCTTTTGCGCTGTTGCACGCTGTACTGCACTTGACAACCTGGATCATGCTTCTATTCTAGCCACAATTATGTGCATAACAATAACTGATTACCGGTATGCACACAAACATGCTCATGTGTCAATACAGTCAGACCTCGCTTATCCGGTCCTCGTTTATCCGGTCCTCGTTTATCCGGATCCCTCGCCATCCGGTAGAAAATCGTTGGTTACCGATTTACAGCATATGCCATGCACATATACAGTATGTTCGATTATCCGGTTCCCTCGCCTATCCGGATTTTTTCTGGAAAACGGATCATGTGTGCGGTTATGCGAGGTCTGACTGTACACTACTCCACTTTTTTATGCTTCTATACAAATCATTCTTTTATTCCAGGCTCTGTAGTATCACGTGAAGCTGTGTCTACTGCACTGTCTCGTATACACACCTGTGTCATACAGAAGCTTGTTCTGAGTACAAGCCTGATTCTGTGTTGACATACATGGAGAAACAAGGGCATAGCTGGGGTGGCGGTATAGAGCGATTGGAGGGATTTCTAGACGCACGCCCCAATGAACTGGCTATGCAGCAGCAGCATACACGCTGATGCCGAAACCAACCGATCCTTGTAGTTATAGTCTCAAGTCTTCAGTTCTTTGCTTTAATAGGTAGGTACTCATATTCTATGGCATTGGTTGACTCCAGTTCGACTGGACGAGGATAAGCCCGGCCTTTACTAGTACACAGGACATTTCAGTATGACTGTATCTACTTGTTGGTTTGCAGGTCTATCTATGGGATTTTCTACCATGGTTGCTGTTGTTGACTTGTTTGTTCTGTTTTTTAGGCTCGCTCGGAAGTATATGCAATGAAAGAGATTATTCAGAACATGACGGTCACAGGAAGCAGTAGCCGCCGACATGACCCTGTGCTGGAGTTGAATGACACGGTACAGTGCCCCCCCCCCCCCCACACACACACTGCTTTGCTTTTACTGCAGCGGACATGGACATCCAGTCGATTGACCAGGGCCGGCGCCCTCAGCGCGTACAGAACTCTGCGTGCAGTGTAGTTGATGCGAAGCGACCAGCGCGCTGCAGCGCATAATTGCATGTGTGTACGAGTACCGCTTATCCACGGCTGCATGGCCAGCGCCCTACGGCCGCTAGACGTGCGACCGGACTTCCATGTCCACGGCAGTAGCAATGATACCAGACTGTGTGCATGATACATGCAGGGCAGAAGTCGCACACGCATACAGTATGTGGGACATGAGTCGGTCTCCTAATGTTCACATCATTGTGTGCAGCTTTGGAGTAGAGACTGTTTAGCCTGATATTCTACTGGGCCCTGTGTATTGACAGGAGTTTACGATGCATGTATATATTCCGCTCTGCTACAGTGCCAGCATATTGTATTCTGATATTGAAAATACACAGCAAACCGGAAGTCCAGCGTGAAAGTCTTTCCCTTCTAATGAAATGCGGTGCGGAGAATTTACTCAAAAAGGAAGTTAGCCCTTGCATGCGATTTTTCTGAACACATCTCTTCCTTTTTAGATAGATGGTGGTTTGTCGGACGATGATGATGAGGAGGAGGATGCGTCCACGCTTTGCTCGGCCAGTCCAGATTTGGCGACGGCTGTGAAAACTGTTCGCTATATCTACCACGTCGTGTATAGCACTAGTTATCAGGTTCCTGTCCTTTATTTCAATGCCTACACTCTGGGTAAGTCTTCTTACACACACGTGAGTCATGGTTGTGCATGCACACAGTCAGCTCCAGTAGCAGACGCTGTTCGGTTAGGGCTGTTGCCAATGTGTCTCTTGTATTTGTGTTGTCTTGGTCCCTATGTTAACTGTTCGTCCCGTGTACTGTAAAAAATGCCCCCAATATTTGTAAATTTTCGGTATTTTTCTGAACCAACAAGTTACGGTGGCAAATGTTAGCGGAGCACTGTGGCCACACACACACACACACACACACCCACTGTTGAAGTTCGCTTTCATGCTTTTTAGCATTACGCTGTTCCCCCCGAAATAGCGAACAAATAGACAGTTTATAGTACTTCGCCGGAGATATGCGTTTGCGCTCTTCAAAGTACTACTACTAGTATATCTTGTCCTGCTCCATCTCAGTTTTCTGTCAGCAATACACTGGTAGAAAGATAGGCATGTACATGTACACATAATATGGTAAGTATGCTGAACACTGCTAAGAAAGTACAGCCAGACCTTGCTTGTTTGCTTCTCTTTCATCCTGTTCCCTTGTCTGCTAGTGGGAAGTTGGTTGGATCAGATTAAAATGAACAGCAGGGATTGCAATGTAGCATGTTATAATAGCTATCCAGTTCCCTTGCCTATCCGAAATTTTGAGAAAAGCGGTCTGGTAATGGGTAATTGCTCTGGGTTTTCTTGCAGAGCTATCAAGACGAAAATTGATTCATCATTTCGTTTTGTGCGCACCTCCAGAGGGAAAGCTCCTGTCTTTGGACGAAATCTGGGCTGCTGTTCCTGATCACTTTCAAGCACGTCTGAAAGATGAACGGTGGACTTTTTTGACTCAACAGGTACTGCTTGTGCATAACATGCGTAGTGGCAGTTGCTTAGTCTCTGAGCATGTGTCAATCTGCATCTAGATGTGGTGATGTTGAGTGCTAGTTTGCACTAAGGTCATTCGCTGATTGGTGTGTGGGAATGACCGAGTATGCACATGGTGCGTAAATTAATGATAGGACACCTGGAGAAAACAGTCTAATAGGGCTAGCTGCTGTTTCTGTTGCTTGCCCAGGAGCATCCGTATCTTGGCAGGCCCTTCTTTCAACTGCACCCGTGTAAGACAGCGTCACTGATGCAGTCCTTGCAGTGCGAACCATCCAGGTAACCACTACTAGTAGTTGACACGTGCTTGTTTCTGGCAGGGGTCACTTTTGCAATTGCGTATGCAACTATGTAGAAGTCCTGTTGAGGAGAAGCCATTCAGCTGGTGATGTTGGCAAGTAGGTACAGTAAAACCTGCCCAAGCCAGACGCGTCGACGCCCTTCGTGCGGCGGAAACTGTCCTGAAATGACAGGATTCTGCTTGATCCAGGGATGCACGTTCGATCCACGGGACTCTGTTGCATGAAAATGTGTGCGTCCAAAACAGGATTCCGCTTGGTACAGAGTCCGGCAAGCACAGGTTTTACTGTTGGTCTTCAAGGTGGGGGGGGGGGGGGGGGGGTGCTTTCCCAGTGCTTGTGAGCAGAATCTCTTTCTGTTTGCACAACGTGTACTCACAGTGCATTGTGCGTTTGTGTATGGGCGGTGATTGTGTTTTTCTGCTAGTGAGCACTACGTGTGTTCGTGGCTGAGCGCCATCGGTTCAGTCGTTGGTCTCAGCATGGGCTCAGCGTACTTTTTACCATCTGGACGGGAAGCAGCCAGTGATGCGGTGGCAACGCAGAGTAGTGATGTTACGTAGGTTACGTAGCCAAGAGTACTGTGTGATGCTGTCACAAAGAATTGATTGGGAGCGGAGCGGATGCCCGGAATACGTGTAACGTCATGCCCACGCGCTGACATCTTTTGATCAGTGTCTGAATGCATCAACGCTGTCACTGGGATCGAACAACTTCGCCCAGTACATGGTAGGGCCTCCAGCAGTAGTTGCTTGCCATCCTACTGTGCAGCAGCATGGTCACTACTCAGTCTTGCAGCGTATAGAGAGTTGTGAAAGACGTGTTTGGAAACAACGCAACAGCTGCCAACACACTCTCTTTTCGAAAGTTTCTTCAAAGTACTAGAACCTAGTTTAGAGTGCGAGAAAGTGCAAGGAAGTGCTCGTGCTCGATGAAGCAAATCCGCAGCAGCTGGGATATGATCCCGGGGTAACTGTTGTTTTGCTTTAGCAGCTTTACTCTCATTCACATGATAACTACATTGTAAGTCTCCGCTTGCCAGCATGCAATACGTTTCCATCACCCATGTCACCATAATGGGCATCAGTGCGCTTTGGATATGATGACTCCTTCATCGAAGCCCACAATTCCACACTCATTGTGCTTGTGCTTGCTGTAGTATCATTCAAAGGATCTTGCAACTGGATACAATATTTGTAGAGAGTTTAAAAACAAACAAATTAATAATGATAATAGTTGAGGGACCTGGTTGATTGTGCGCAATATTGAGAATTTGCATTGCTCTCCTTCCACAGGTGCATTCTGTCCTTCTGAGAATATTTAAAAAGCCGCCAGTGGAATCTGACAAGTAGTCTGCCAATTTATTTTATTTATAATATAACAAAATTATATCACAAGAGCTCAACAAATATCAATTCAACCTGAATAATAAAAATCTGATACGGAAAAGACTTGAAAAGCGGGTGGGAATATTTTGCTATAATTTTTTAAGCATGATGATGCGGAATTCAAGACAATCTCAAGCTAACAGACAAGGACAACTCAGACAGCTATGCCACTCGGTCAACATACTGGTAGATGTGTAGTCATTATGTACTGAAGAGTTCTTGTTATTTAGTTGGGTTACTCTCCGTGAGCAAGCGGAAAAGACTGAACATAGAGTAGCCAAGTACGCAAATCACCAGCACGAGGTAGCGGCGAGAAATCGGAATGCCAACCAAGCGAGGAAAGCGCTGGAACTTCTGCAGGAGCACGACGACCTGAGAACGTTCACGATCGCAATAACACCACCACCGCCAAACACACGCGCGCGCGCACACACACAACACAGCAAACAGCACAGGTTAATGGTTGCTGATAAGAGAACATTGAGAGCGGAATGATTTTTCATGAGGGTTGCTGGGCTGTACATGACATTATTCATTGTGACGGGTACTGTAAAGTGGAATGTGTGTGTAGCATTAACTCCATTCAAACGCAACACACATTCTCCTGTGCATGCCATCTACTACAATCTGGGCGTGTAACTACCTGAATACGGATTCCTTTCCGTGGATTCTTGATACCAGACAGAAGTTACTGCTAAGTGCTATTATGTACACCGTCACCTGGTTCATTTGTCAGGCCAGTCATATTTTGTGGTCAGCAGGATGACAGTTGCACCAATGCCTCACACATCGTGCACAACACACTCTATCACTTACCTCATCGATCAGTTGTCTCGACTGCTCTAGGGCACAGGCCCGCTGTTCACTAACAGAGGAGAGTGACAGCTCAAGCTTACGCATGCTCAGCAGCGCCTACACAGAGATTAGGAGACAAGCAATGCGCCGTCCGTCAAGGTCAGACACGTGTAGTAAGTATGATTGCATGCCCAGTGGTGCCAGTAACATTACAGTGTGCTAATACATTCAGTTTGACCGCACCTTACAATACATGATAGCAATTCAGCGCAAATATCCTGCTTCAATACCCTCAAATGTTTTTACAATCTCTCTGTCTGTCTGTTTCTCTCTCCCCCCCCCCCCCACACACACACACGGCACAACGACATGAGTGTAGGCACGGTGACATCAAGAGGCAAACTAAAAGCGACCGTGAATCAAGCACCACAACATAGGAGGTTAAAAAACTTACCGCATGTTGTACGAAGTAACTCTGCTGCTCCAGTGAAAGAACAAATATGGTGACAATGTACAGGCCAAACAGACCCAGGTCCACGATGAGATGCACCAACGCCTACAAAGACAGTAAAAGAAACAATCACATAATTATAACACTCTACATTGTACTAACATGGAGGTACACTAATAGAGGGACACCATGCATGTAGTACACAGAAACCTACGACCCACGGATCGATGGATCACTCTGAGCATGCTGAAAGCCTACATGACGAGCCGCCGACAGTGGCCACTCTATACAACAAAAACTGAGTGCAATCGGAGTCTTACCACATCCACAACGGTGCGCTGACTGAAAAAGACTTCGTACAGTGGTACACCGGCCATGCCAGCTGTGGCAACAACAATGATACTCAGCTTTCCAGTAATCCGCTTCAGGCGAGCATGGTTGTACTCCTGCAACGGTATCAAGAAAAACACCAGTGCCAACACATTCGATTAAAGCATGCGGGTACAGTCCAGCGGCAAACTACTATCCCATCACATGAGCCCACCTGGGCCATGCCCCATTTCAACTCAGCACAGGCATGTCATAGGAATGATAGGATCATGAATTTAAGCGAAGAAATGTTAGAAATAGGTTCTGAACATGTTTTCCGACCTCCCGACCCCCCCCCCCTCTCTCTCTCTCTCTATCCGTGCATTGAGAGCAACACATTGCCCCTGGTTTTGGGAACTTGGCCCAGCACTCCCTACGTACTAAGTGTACATTACGACTCCGGCAAGCAAGGCGGTCAGATATTGACTATACTGGACTGCTGCTGCGTGTGAACAATATAATAAGTCAAAATGGACATCACTGTGACTGGGCTTCAATCTTCAAAATTTATGTACATCTACATTGTATCAGGTACTATCCCCAAGACAGAATTCCTGGACACCAAAACGCTGATACCGGTAACTCACGTATAGCAGAGCACGCAGGCGAAGCCAGCGGCTGACGTCCGCCGGCACGGAGAAGTCAAAGATGCTCTGCTCGCACGTTTCCCCGCTCAAGTAGGTGAAGTTACGCACGCAGTCATACTGCATGCAGAGCACACTGTACGACTCCAGCGCTATGAACCAGAAGTACGACACAAGGATGTAGGAGCTGATGATGGTCAGCCATATTGCACATGTCTCTGACCAGTAGTAGCCAAAGCAGGGCACTCCAGTCCACCTAGTATAGGAGTAAAAGCAGACAATACACAGACTGGCTACAATAGGTTGTCAGAACACATGTGCTACAGGGTGCAGAGAATGCCCCATGAAAACACAGTTGCTCAAGTTTAGTTTACACCTGTAGTATATTGGTTAACAGTCATACAATTTAATTTATCCCCTAGCACTGATTATGTGAGTAATACTTCAGTAGTATAAGAAAGGGCATGTTTGGTGATACTTTTAAAATTCCACATAATCAATAGAACGGAAAAGTTCCCTTTTCCTCTTCTTGGTATTACTATTAGGGCGAATTCCCAGTAAGAATCAAATGCCAGAAACTTGTCGCCAGGTATGTGCACAGCCTAGTACTAGTACATTTCAATTTTCAAACACTCCTACAAGTTACGCACTTGAAAGATAAAGCTGAATAGTGGCCATTGAGAAACACTCTAGAGACTCTTACAACCTGTAATAGGTGGTGTCGTGTCAGATAATACTGACTGTCAGTGTACCCTGCCACGCCACAGACACATTCTGGAGTTGGGACAGGAACTGTTGTGAGCCACTTGTGGGAAGACTTCCTGCATGGGACTGCTCTTGAATTAACCCTTTGAGGCCCATAGTACGGATATATCCGTACCAGTGTACAGTGCATACTTTTCAAAGCGCAACCTGGCGTAACTCGGCTATCCCTTGACCAAATCGGACAATCGAAAGGGCTATCGACATTAGAATTGTCTCAGCTATCGGCTCAAAAAAAACCCGAACGCGATCCGAGTTCGGAGAGCGGAGATACGAGACTCGAACTAAATTCGCTCAGCAGAGACAACTCGAGCGCGTGCATTTTGAACTCGTTTTTAGGGGTTTTCCCTGACTCGCGGCCCACGCAGCTACAGATAGTTTACGTCATCGCAAAGGCATGTTTCTCAGCTCTCCAGGAAAAAAATTTGAGCGGTCTGCGATGCAATTTGTTGAAATGGCAGAGAATTTGAGTTGGGCGCTCGCAATGCTGGCTTTGGAGCGCCGTATCGCGCTGCGGCGCTGGTTCTGTGGATCGAGTTATGTATTGCTGGCTATCGCTGTGTTCCTCTGGCCAAGAGCTTTCCAGGAAGCCCAAGATCACCAAAATCGGCCAAAGGACACCAAAGTTACGACCAGATAAGTACCTGCGCTCGCGTATGCAGTGCATTTCTTGAAATAATTGTGGGCCCTAAAGGGTTAACCCTGGCTAATTTTAGTAGTGATAGCCCTGGGAAGGTTCCTCTGTCACTGAGTCAGTGCAGGCACCAGAAGCTGCTCACTCAGGTTACTAGCAATCCTAGTATACTGATTTGATAAGTGTTCCATTCACGTTACTGGAGGTCAGGAGCAGTACAGGGTATAGGAATGATTGTGTGTGGGGGTCACGTGCGAATGCATTCATAAATTCAGCAGTCCATTGAGCTCTTGACTGGGGGGATGACAGGAGAAATTTCGTCATTGATATACTGATAGTATAAGATCTTTTTTTTCTTCTAAAATGCACCAAATTGCGTACAATTGTACTTACCAGCGATGGAGAGGAAAGACCAGACTTTGTAGTAGGCCGATCAACAGGGCCTTCCGCATCCACATGTTGACAAAATGTGACCGTACTCTCTCCCGGTATTCGCTGATCTCGTGCTGCTTGGAGCTTCCCGCCTGGTACGTTAACTCCTTGGAATTGGGCACTACGCAGACAATGCGCTTCAGCACGATCGGACACTGATCCGGCGGCGGGAGAACGTGCTTTCGAAACGTGTCCCAGTCGTCCGGCCTCCAAGTTACGCACGTCGCCTCCACCAGGTTCGGGTCGTCAGAACTCACCGGTGTCGAGCCGTGCACACGCCAGATACTCAACGGCCGTCGGCGCCTGGCCAGCGGGCTGTCGGCATTGCGCAGCCCGTAAAACATGATGAACACGATGGACACCAGCACGTAATAGTAGGCCGGAAACAGGACCTCAGCCAAATGGATGACAGACTCCGGCGCCGCAGGAGATTGCTGTTGAGACGCCTTGCCGGCCGAGGCGCTGCCGTCCACCTGCTCCGATGCACTCCTGGTCAGCAACGCTGCGAAGAAAATCATCGGCCACGCCATCATGGCCAGTCGAAATCCGAACGTGAATTTCATGGTGTAAATATCCATTCTAGACCACACAGCGGATAGCCATAAGCAAGGTGGGAATATGAACGCAGCCGCACTGGCCAGACAGAAACTAGAGTTGTAGTTGGCTGCACGTAGGCCTTGAGAGGCCATGCCGAACGACGCTGGGCTGACTGGGTCACCGACCTGACACAGAGGGTGACGACTGTGCGTGTTGGAAACAGACGATGAGCGAGGTTCATCCGACCCACTGTCGTACATCTCTCCGTGCGACGACACGCTGCATGCGCCGTCCGTTTGCGATAGGGCAGAATAGTCCCCCGCACGTATCGCACCGTTTGTTGGCCTACCTCCATTACACTGCTCAGGGTGCTGCTGCAGAGAGTATTCGTGGTGACAAACGGCCATTTCTTTGACTATCTTCAGCAAGGAATGAGTCCGTCCACAAACAACCTACTGTCTAGTGTCGAGAAAAATCAACAACTACCGGTGCATCCGATCTTGGAACACGTCGACATTCCGGCGTTGCTACACGAGCGAGCGGCTGAGCTTGCAAGGACGAGACCACGACACTTCTTCTCCAGCTCAACGTCGACTAGATAGTCTTGGCATTGACGGAGAGATGGCTAGTGCTCGATTCTTTCGCAACAACTGTTCACCGACGGGCATTCTATCTCAGACCATGCTCCTTTTCCTGTACTTTGTCCCTAACTTAGTGTACTAGTAACTGTGTGCCAGGCGGCGATCAGTATTCATGGTATTGCCACACGCGGAAACCGCGTCAGCGCATTTTTCTTCGCACACAGAAACATGACAGCGCACATACGTGACATAGCGATCCCGAGACGGCGAAAGCATGCATGCAGTGCATGGCCGGCCTGACTGTATGTCGCGTATGTCTACAGTGCAGACTGTGCGTGCGTGCTCCAAATCCACTCATGCATGCTGTTATCCCGTAAACATGGTAAACGCGTAGCGTTTGAGCAAACAATGACCAAACGAGCCGAAGTCAAACTGTCTCATAGACTGTCTCAATGCCATTATCATGATTATGGTCTACACTAGAAAAGAGTGTGAACCGGGTTTGTTGGGGGTGTGTTGTGGGAAGGACACGACGAACTGGCCCCATTTGAAGCTAGTACTAGTACACTAGTATAGTAGGCGCCGGCGACAGAGGGACGAGGGGCCACTGTACTAGTAGTAGTAGTAGTAGTAGTACGGGCACTTGTACTAGTAGTAGTACTCGTACATCATTCACAACTCACTGAGTTCTTGACCACCCACATGCACAGCCTCTACCCAGAGGCCAGACTACCAGTTCGGATTCCGGAAACAGCACTCAGCAGACTGAGGACGCCCTTGTCCTCGGGTATGAGCGGAAAGACATAGGCGTAGCATTTGTTGACATGTCCAAATAAAAGCGTTCGACTCTGTCAAGCACACTGCTGGAAGAGCTCTCCAACATGGGTGTGACAAGCACCTGGCTTGCTAGTTACCTCAGCGATCTGTACCAGCGTGTAGTTAAAAAAAAATACTATTAGTTATTGGCGGAAGTACATGTATAGCTACACACAGTGCAATAAAATCGAGGCGTGCCACGGATCCGTTCTTGGCCCACTGCTCTTCACCCTGCGTGGTGGACAGCAGAGTGCAGAACCGCTCCAGATCCGTTGCGATGGGAAACTGCTAACGTGTGTCACAGGCTCGCTACCTTGGAGTTATTGCTGATAATGAGCTCTCCTCGGATGGCCACGTCGACCACACCATTCGCCAAGTTCGACGCTCCATTGGTGCGGCGCTATGGCGCTCATGTCAAAGCCTGACAGTCTCCTCGAAAAGCTATTAATCATGCAATGATTATATCCAGACGAACATACCCGTCCAATGCAATCTATCCGTCTCTGATGGCCAGAAACATGAACTTCCTCACTCGTATGACGAAAGCTGCACTTCTTTGGCTTTCCGCCGTGGACTTCCCCTGCAGGGTTCTTTGAGAGACTCTGTCTTCCTACCCTCGAGGACGCCCTGGCAGCGAAAGTAACTTAGTTCTAATATTCGATCGCTGCTGCATCCATGGGTCATGGCCGTTCAAGTGTCCTGTTTCGATTGCGTCAGAACTCAGGGTAATCGCACCCATGGAGCTGACCAAAACCTATTGCAGGTAGTGCCCTTCTGCCTGGCCCGGTCCTTCTGGTAGAGGTACACTGATCCAATTCATTGGTGCCATTCTCTGGAACAAGCTATACCGCCCATGATGTGCTGTGAACCTTGTCACGCCCACTTCTGTGCTCTCTCGAAAGCGTCGAAGTACCGTATTTCCACAAATAGTAGGCCGGTCTACTATTTTTTCAACCTCGTCCAAACCCGGCCTTATAATCGAGGACGGTCTTGTATTCGAGGACGGGTCTTTTATTCTTTCAACCCAGTTTGACCCCGGTCTTCTATTTCTCGATCTCGCCACACAGTTTTACCCCCGTTCTTCCATTTTCTTCTACACAGTTTGAGCACGGTCTTCTATTTTTCCCACAGTTTGAGCACGGTCTTCTATTTTTAACACAAGAACAAAGACTCATTTAGTAGGCCCGGTCTTCTAATCGGAGACGGTCTTTTATTTTTTCAATCGCCCCCTGCCCCGGCCTTGTATACGAGGAAGGCGTTGCGAGGACGGCCTTTTATTTGCGGAAATACGGTATTCAAAGTAGGTCACTTTTTTTTATCTGTTCGCCAATGGTCAATCCTTTCTAATTTTGTGTAAGATTTTATATGATCAAATCCCATCCTATTGTTCTGCAAGGATGTTAGGAAATGATCTTCTCGACATCAAATCGATCAGTGACACTCCGTGTTATCGGTTTTTCAACAGGGTTCGTTTTCCCGCAGCTCTATCTGCAACATATTCAGTTGCCTTCGGTGACTTTTTTCAGTTGTGATTTTTTCTCCTCCCCTCCCCATTTACTATTATTATTAAATTTGCCATGTCGTTCAGACTCTGAGAGGATGCGGTAGTGATGGCATCGGAGGCCTTTGCCAATGCCAAAGACTCCGGACTCTCAACTTGCGCTGCCTTTGTTGACATGTCCAAGGCATTAGACAAGGTTCAACGTGGCACCCTCATCTGCGACCTCTTCAGTATTGGTGTTGGTGGAAGTGTTGTTGTTGCAGAAGTTTATTTAACTTCTACAACAACAACAACAACAACAACAACAACAACAACAACAACAACAACAACAACAACAACAACAACAACAACAACAACAACAACAACAACAACAACAACAACAACAACAACAACAACAACAACAACAACAACAACAACAACAACAACAACAACAACAACAACAACAACAACAACAACAACAACAACAACAACAACAACAACAACAACAACAACAACAACAACAACAACAACAACAACAACAACACTTCCACCAACACCAAAGGTGTGCTGAAATGGTTGGCAGACTACCTAAGCGACCCGCGGCAGCAACGAGTTGTCATTGGGAACCAGCACAGCAAGCTATTTCAGCCCAGCAGTGGTATGCCCCAGGCCAGGATTCCGTACTTGGTCCCCTGCTGTTTGACGTTCAACTGCATGGCGTGCGGACAGTTCAGTTTGCAGATGACATCATGCTCTACATTAGGAGCAGGGACAAACATCAACTGGAACGTAATAATTATCACTGATAATTATGTCTTTTGCAGTTACACACCTGGCCAGATGGCTTGCCAGCAGGAGCCTGGTACTAAATGAGCCTGAGACCCAGATTTTGTTCATCCCTAGTAGTAGTACTGGACCCTAGGCCCTGCCCATCGTACTGTGAATCCTCGTGTCAATGTTATGTGTTCTGGAGCTCAACTGGAATAAGTAGAAGTGAGGGCTGCATCCCACTCACCTGTGTGGATTCACAGGAAGCGTGAGCTTCGAAGTCTGAAGAAAAATGTTGAACGGTCTCTGCTTGGGCCACGGGTAGGGGTAAGCGGATTATGCCGGCATAGCTTTTGGCATAATCAGGTCCTTTTTGAGAAGGAGCTTTTCAAAAGCATAATTGGCTGCTTTCTCCAGCATCCGCTAGAGCATCCGCTAGAGCATAATCTGGTCATTTTCCCAGCATAATCTGCTTACCCCTAGCCATGGGATGACAGCTACATTGTACGCCATGGCTCAGTGGTAAGAGCATCGCCGGCTTCAAACGAAGGCCCCTGGTTTGAGTCCTGGTGGTGACAGTCAATGTTCTCTTCAGACTTTTCCCGTTTGCATGTTTTCCCTCAGACTATTAAACTACTGCTTGTAAGTATTGGTGTTCACATGGACCAAGACCTCATGTCGTCCACCATGGTCAATTAGATCGCCAAGCGAGCTGCCTCGACGCCTCGTGCCTGTAAACTAGCGGTTCTGTTCAGAAACAGGCGCTGCATGCCCCTCCTGTAGCTGTGCCGCATCACGTACCTGAAGTCCCCAACCCTTCCTGACTTTGCGCCCGTGCTACACCATGTACACGCAGTCAGGAAAATCGCCAGTCACTTAGACATCCGGTGGTAGTCTACACACTCTGCCTCATTCCAATGCGTGACCATCGATTCATGCCATCCCTCCCAGCAAATATGCTGCTTTTCAGTAACCCAGCCGAATGGTGCGTAGCGTACTCATCATGCTTTTTTCTTTCCCTTTTCAACTTGTCTTCCTCATCTCAACCTTCCAGTATCGTTTCCTTTTTACAATTTACCGGTACTCAGTCAGTTCGCTTCCAATACATTGGCTCCCTACATGTGCAAAGTACAAACATGGCCGACAACCACGTTCATGTACAATCATGCACATCAGGGAGTCGTAAAATACCGGTATTTTACGACTCTCTGATGCACATGGTATTATATAACCCAATACTAGTTCAAAACTAGTATTAGATAAACCTTGTTATAGTTCACGCATATTGTTAGATTGACAGCATGAAACGAGGTGGAGGACACTGTGTTCGGAAACAGTGACCTTACTACTTCGAAGTACAGCCTTCCGCGGTTGGCAGAGCCCCAGTCCCTGCGGACCATTTGAACCATAATTATGGGTGTTGAACCCGGTTCTGACCCTCATTATGCTAGGGGGTTGGAGACTACTCCTTTCGTCCGTCGTGTATTCTTTGATCGCTCCTGGATGTCGTCCTGGTAGTCATGTATCTACTTAAACCTCAACTTCTTTTCTTCCAACTTCTGCCCATGGCGTCCTTCTCTCAGCTCGTCAGCTGTCAACAGTTACTACCACCACCACCATGACACTGTCGCGAGAAGGTGCTCTCTATAGACGGGGTTGGTGATGTCCCGACGTGGCCATGGGTAGGCCTTCACCACGTCGGAACACCCCGAACACAGTGTCCTCCACCTTGTTTCATGCTGTTAATCTAACAATAATCATGTACATGTACCTGTATGTGACCATGATGTGCAGTGATATGGAAACCTCGCCAAGAATGCAAGCAATATGCTGAGTAAAAAGAAAGGACCAAAACTACATGTACATGTACATGCATGTGGCTTCAACACATCTACGAAGCGCAAACCAACAACCTTCCAACTTACTTGGAACTAACTTTACTTCAAGTAAGTTGGAAGGCTCAGGTGCGGAAAAGTTCCAATGAGGGAAGGGATGCGCCACGAAGATTGTGCACGAGCTACATGACTGTAATTACTGTATGTCCCTCAGCAACAAAGTATGTCCACGGCCAAGGGCTACCGCCCCCCCCCCTCCCCCCGGTCCCCCTCCCCCCGGTCCCCCTCCCTCCCTGCACACGCAGTTGACCCATCGTTCTAGGCTGAGAGTATACAATCATGTGCATGACTGTACTCTTGCAACGATGGGTCAACTACACACGTACTGAAAATCTGAAATGCACATGTAGGAATTGCCGACACGCCTAGCATACACACAAGTCTAGCATGCGTAGCATGGCAAGAGTAGGCAATGAACATGATGAAAGAGAAGAGTAGAAGAAAAACACCATGATTAGAAGGTGATAATAATATTGATATGAACGTGAGGGAGCCTAGGAGGGGGGGGGGGGGGGTGCGTGGAGACGCAATGGGGAAGTAATTTCTATAGACATCGGGCAATGATTCATGCAAGAAAGAACAGGAGCAAGGGCACTGCGGAGTGCAAACTGATTAGTAGCAGGAAAACTGCCTGAATGAGCGTTCCAAAAGGCCCGAGTGTTGCGAATGAAGTTGCCGCCATACTAGGGATCGTGGGAAAGGACTAGTGTGGGGCCGCACTGGGGCGTGACCTGCAAACATGGTCAGCTGCTGTGCAAACTAACTGTTACTTGACACATACATGTAGTGACATACGATCTTACATTGTGCAGCGCCCGTGGAGACCGGGCTAGCCTGGGGATTTGCCTTACCTTGCCCTTGAAAGCAGGGAGTCGACGCTTCCGAAGGTTTACCGCCGACTTACGGGCTAGCACCACCGACAGTCGATACAGTTCGTTGCGTTGCCATCACGAGCCACGGATAACATCACGCTCCCAGCAAACCCAGAATCACTCTTGCACTTATCGCTCAGCTGCAGTCTAGTCCAGTCTAACCCAGACTTGCCTCGTGGAAGCTTACATGCCATGACTGTATTCCCTCTTGTTATGTACATGTACACACTAGTCAGAACAACAGATGGCTTGATCAGTCACAACTTAAAGTTTCATGCCATCTCAGGCACTCACCAGGTGATACATGTACATTGGAAGTATTGTACTACAAACTACCATGTAGAGTATGCATCGCCCTCGGCTAAATGGCTGATCTGCCTCGCGAGAGAACAGGGAAGATGAAGGTGTTTAGCGCACCATACATGTAGATGTGTCTAGTGTAACCTTCGCTTGCCCTCTTTGATAATATCTTCACACCTTGATAAAGACCTGCCGAATGGCCTCGAGTGGAAATGATCCGGATGGTGTGGATGGCCGGCGGGAGGAGGATCTCCCGCTGTCCTGTCCCACTGACTATAATTGTCTCATCTCAATCTCTAAGTCAAGTGCCGCGGCTCGGCGCTCCATCTTTCGGCCATGTCGCGATTGCTGGTCACCGGGAGACCTCCTACTTCTCCGCGATACCAGAGCCATTCCTACAAATAATACAACACACAGGAAGGATAGGCTACAGACAGTATCTGACCTCTCTACTATCGATATCGGATCGCTATCAGGGCCATGACTCATGAGGTATCATCACGGCACAACGACTACAACTTAACGAAGTACAAGTATTAGTTAGTTCAACACTCAACAGTACTACTGTAGACGTCCATGGACCATGCCCATGGGCCAGGCCATGGTCATGATATGATGTAGCTGGATCGACTTGTAATCTACCAAGACGGCAAGAGTAGATACACAGTAGATCTACTGATACGAGTCTACTGACCGTCTGTATACTACTACACGATTTATGGTGGATTGGTAGATACTGACAGTCATTACTGTACTGGCATCTACCATAAATGGTGTAGCCCTTACGTAACCTTGGTAACGCGTCGACTCCTGTACCCTTGTCCTGTACTTCGAACCTTCTCATTTTTCAACTGACTGAAAATGTGTAGATAGCACGGCTGCAGCGGCTGCGGCGAGCTGACAAGGTTGCAACAGAAACGTGAGTTGGTCGGCTGAGAATTCATTCCGTTTCTACAGAGAACTCGTGCAAGCAGTGGTCTTTTATTGTCTGAAAAGCTTGGACCTGTGGAGGGAAACACCTACTTCATTGATATCTTTGGCTCAGAAATTTCCGTTCTTGCAAGGAGTGAATAGCGATACCTTTTCGAAATGGCTGAGGCTGATGCCACCGCGGTGGCTGATATCCAAGAGCAAATCAAAGGAACACAGCGGGCAATGGTTGAAGGTCTAGTCGAAGAAGCAAAGAAGCTGGGTCTCAATTCCTCCCTCATACAATGCGGTGGCACTGAGACAAATGAAGCGTAAGTTGAGACATGATGCAATGTCCTATGTACGTGATTTCGGACGACTTATGGCGGGGCCGGGCGGCACTGTCTGTTTATGACTACGTAGTAGCACTTCATTCAGCAACGACTGGAGACCATGCACATGTACATGTAGGTGGCATGAACACACCGGTGTGAATAGGCATGTGGTGTGGTATGATCTACTAAAGAACTCTCTACACCAACTCACTTCTACGGTGGAGGGGAGGGAAATCCAGCCTCGTAGAAAGAACAACCCCGACGACTGCCAGCCCTAGCACCACACACGCAGAGGTCTCTGTGCACTGAGCGTAGCTCTGTGTCCTTCATGCAGTTGGATCTCTGTCACCTTCGCACCACCGTATGCGCTGTTCAGCTACACTGTTATTGGGCTGTTAGAAATGTACATGATTGTGCATCAGTGCACTGGGCACACCCGCGTGTGCCCTGCCCATGCATGTCTCACAATCTACGGCTCAAGCCATGCACATTTCTCGCTTTGGCTAGGCAGCCTGTGGCTATCACAGGTGGATATCCTATGGCTGCACGTATGGGTAGAGAGAGAGAGAGAGCACACACCATCGCACGTAGGTCATTTGAACAGCCATTGAAGAATAGTGTCATCGCTTGACTAGTGTCCCCTCTTGAATAGTGCCATCTCTTGGAGCAAACCCCTCTTTCCATGGTAGGGTTTGAAAAGGTAGCGCGACATGGCACCAAGAGCACACAATCCTGTTATTATTATTATCTGTCAATATTATTATCTGTTTGTGACTGTATGTACACTCGGTAGTACTAATTGTGCGAAGTGCTACAGTAACGGCTATCAGTACACAACTCTATGGCTTGGGCATGGAGTACATGTATACATGCACAGTAAAAGAGGGATATTTGGAACACCAGTTCGAGGGCGCATGCACAAGTAGCACATACACAGCTAGCAGTGGGCTAGAAGATTGGTTGTCGTAAGGCCTTGCTGACCTGTGCAGACTCCCAGCGGGGTTTTAATGCCCTGTGTTTGGGTCCTCCTCATCATGGAAAGGCAAGCCTGGCCATTATCTGACCTGGGCTGATCATGATGGTCTAGCACATTCAGACACGCGACTCGGCCATGGATAATTATGTCCATGCACAAAGTCAGCCGCAACCCGCTTCTGAGAGGATTGGCATCGCAAAGTTGGATCCCTGGTCCACTTCTTCTGAATGTTCAGCATTGGCTAGGACCAGTCCAGTATGAAATAAGAACATTTCATGTGACCTCGCCATCGGGTGACTTTGCACATGGCCATCTCTGCTTTCTTGCCCGAAGCAATGGGAGAATGATAACTTGCACATGCATGTCACATGACCAAAATATCGTAATTGGGATCCCATGATGGTTTATGTCACAAACTTCAGGGGAATTCGTAACTACAATGTACTTCTTCGAAGTACAGTCAACCTCGTGCATAATGACCTTGGTAATAACAAATCGTGAAGAGCGGCACTAGTAATCTTCAGACCTAGTCACCATTTGACCGAATACCGTTTTCAATCTCACGAATGGTGACACTTTTCTCATGCATGGCCGAGGGCTTTTAACTTTTTATTGTTCGCAAGGTTGACCGTAGTTACTACGCTTGTGTGACATGGTTGCGCAGATAGTCATTCTCATCGTATTGCTTGGACTAATTTCTCCAGCTCACGTGTTCATGAATGTTATTGTCATATTGATCCTATTTGCTCTGCTGTTCAAATTCCTGTTGTAGATTCTGGCGCTATCTCCGGCAGACTGACTGGAACTTGGAGAACTCCCTGGAGCTAATCAAGGCGGCGTGTGAGTGGCATGAGCGTAACGGGTCACAGTTAGCCAGCCTGCTACAGGAGACGTTTTCCAAGCAGCCTGGTCTGTTTAGCTTGGTAAGTGGCTTTGGGATTATGAAACCATGCAGCTAACTTTGATGAAGTTGGTTGCTCTTATGTGAGAGGCAGCAAAAAGAGGGGATAACCCATTGCAACGCAGAGTTTCACATTTTCACGATGATCAGTATTACCAAGCGCTTTCCGGTCCCTTTGCGTACCGACAAGTGTCATTTGAGAGATGCTTCACAATTTACGTGTTCGACTTGGTTGTCAAATTATCCAACTAATTGATGGATCGATCGAATGTTTTCCACTGAGTCAATCATTGGTGACCCATAGCTTGTTCCGCAAAACTCTGCCTGCATGTGTTTTTGCCCCTCTGTGGCCAACTAGCAACGAGATGGGCTTGGCTGCATTGCAGTCTACAATGTAATACACATGGTTCAATGACCATTTATCAGGTCCCACGCCCCTGCACACGTTTCCATTCAGGGGATATTCCATGCCAAAATCCGTGAAAAACAAAATTCCATTTTCTGTAACAAAAATCAAGCAGCCTACAGTCCATTCAGAAAAAGATGGGCCCTGGCTCTGGCGAGCTTCCGTATTTGGCGATTTTTCGTGATTTCATTGTACACAGTGCAGTGCTGCGAAATTTGAACTTTGAAAAAGAGTCCAAAAAGGGTACCTGAACTGGGGTTCGAACCCCACAATGCACTGTTGCAGGCAGGGTCAAACGGCCTGGATTTTGATGGTTTTTTCCAATTCAATGCTTCTGGGGCAAAACCTGGCCGATATCCTATTCTTGTTATGGCTTGCTTTTTGGACAAATAGACTTCAGAAACATAATTGGAAGAGGATTCCATAGGGGATTGCAGAAAAATATTCTAAAAAAACTCAAAGTTTGACCCATTTATGGCCAAAAGCTAGAAGTCCATCTTTTTCTGAATGGACTGTAGCTTTGGTTCATGTAGTAGCACTTACTTGCAGTTCATAAGTATATGCCATAAGGCCCGCAGCAACCATGCGATAACAAATTTATCATATGGCCCACAGAGCAGACCATTGGGCTGCTGAAATTAGCCCAAATGCCAACACATTATGACCACAATGTATATTGATGTGCTATCATTATCAAAACAGGAAAAATGAAGATATTTCTCCTACACCCTAACAAAAAGTCTGCTACAGGCCATCAGAGAGTATACAGTACTGAAAGACGGAGACAGAAAAAAGTGCCGGCACCGCATCGTCATAGCAATAGACATGGCAACGACAATAAAATACAGCAGAATCATAATTTCAGTTGAAAAATTAAGAGTGCTACCACAAAGAGTTTCTTCATGTTTACATGTGTATCAGGAAGTTGTCAAATACAGTACTGCAACAAGTGCAAGTATTTGACGACTCCCTGGTATGTAATTCTGAGGACAATTTTTCTTCTTTTTTTCAGGTCCAGATAGCTGTATTCAATGTTTCATTGCAAAACCTTCCTGAATTGTTGTGTTTGTTGTTCAAGCAAAGGTGAAGGCAGAGGACATATGAGCCTGGTAAGAGTTTTGCGTGGCACATGAAGACCACACACAGGCAGTGACTTTGCGAGGATCTGAAAACGCACGACGCTGAGTTGAATTTGTGTTATTTCAAATAATTGTTTGTGATCACAGTACCACTTCGAGCAGAACTGAATCTTATCCACAAGCTTACCGACGGTCAGGCTGCCAACATGACTGAACAAATGATCCCTGGAAGCACCACACGGCAGACGTCCGAGGCCATGTCCATTGCCAGGATGTCCATCTCCAAAAAGAATTCCATCTTCTCAATGCTACACTGCGACTCGTCGTAGAGTCGTACAGTCTACAGACTTCGTAGTCACGCGATCACTGAAATAAACTATTTTTTTGCGGGCAATATCGCTTATTATTGCCCGCGGCGCGAAAGGTGCTGATTCGCTGGAGTACGGGCAACAAGCACGTGCCATGTGATAATAAATATTATGGATGGCTCCTAATTTGTAAAATTACAATTCTAGAGCTGAGCATAATTATGGTGTTATTCCCCAACATGCTGCCACGTGTGGTTTGCTGAAGTCCTCAGCCATTTTCGGTGTTACTCACTTTACGCATACATATTTTGTGCTTTTGCTTTCTTCTTCTTCTTCTTCTTCTTCTTCTTCTTCTTCTTCTTCTTCTTCTTCTTCTTCTTCTTCTTCTTCTTCTTCTTCTTCTTCTTCTTCTTCTTCTTCTTCTTCTTCTTCTTCTTCTTCTTCTTCTTCTTCTTCTTCTTCTTCTTCTTCTTCTTCTTCGTGCATAGCGTCAAATTGGACATGACAAGCAAGGCCGCCCCGTCCTCTTCGTCTGCTTTGCGCAGAGTAGCGCCACCGTAGCAGAGCACACTGTCGACTCTGTCATCAGCTTTGCGCAGAGTGTCGTTGAGAATGCGTGCCGGACAAACAAGCAGGAAGCAAGCGGAGAGGAGGGGAAGTCATGCATTCTCATTGTCGACTGCAGTGGACTTCAGCCGAAAGCAGTCCTAAAGCCAACGATGCTGGTTAAAACGCACCAGACGCTGACAATGCTGTATCCGAACACCATCGAGAGCATTCTCCTGTTCAACTACAATCAAGAGACGCGTAATACGTGGAAGGAGCTGAAAGGCTACATCGACGAGGGCCTTGCGAGCAAGGTGAAGTTCGTAGCGATGCAGAATGTGTCGCCAACGCTGATCACAAAGTTCCCGGCTGACGTGGGCCAATGGCTCAGGGAGGAAATTGCAGCGAACAAATCCAAACCAGTGCCGGAGGAGCAGGTGCATTTTTGGCAGACGCACAGTCCGCATGACCCACGGGCTGCACCGTCCTACATCGCTGACTACATTGATATGAAGAACGCGGATCACAAGCCCCATCCCGGAATCCTTTACGGTGGACAGTAGAAGGTTGAACTTGGGCCAGAATGGTACAAAGAGAGATGAGCATGCAATTAATAGTTGATGTCAAGTGCAATCCACGTCCACCATCGGTGGTGGTACAAGTACACTGGACTGCACGCACCACTGTTCAACACAATACACATGTAGGCAATGACAGTGGCACCGATGTACGATTGGCTCTAACAGCACAACATGCACTTGACTCACCGCCCAGTACTAGTTATCGTCAGACTCTCCATACTCCCTCCCTAGCTCTTTATTTCTCACGAGCATATCCTAAGCTAAGGAGTACAGCTATTTCCAGGATACTTATCAATAATATTTCACATTAAGGTTTTTAGAGATTACTTACATGTAGGATTGTCCACAGATACAGTCTCGGTGTAACACAAAACTTCTAATATACTTACTTCTAAATGCTGCTAAATACAGTACAGATTACATCACTAACTTACATAATTATACAAGTCCACTATTGCCAGACACCACCGATTTTAGTCATCACGACATTTGCCGCATTCTGTGTACTGCCTTTTTTTGTGAGAAAATCGTCCCGAGAGTGCTCTTGCATGTTGCACCGAAGTAACAGCCTGCATTAACCCTTACATAATATTATTATGGGTCTCACATAAGCGTAAGGGTCGTATGTGACCCTTACAGTAAAATCGCATTTTCTGTGAGTTTTGTTGCTAGGAGACAAGTAAAATGGTGCTCCACGCGTACCTAGAGGTTCAAGGCTTTCCAACGGTGTAAACAACAACCATACTTACCATACAAATTTTTGCAGTATCGATCGACTGAAGTCTGGTGAAATTGGAAAAGACGACCATCCGCCATGCGCGCATTTCGAGAATGGGAGTGCGTCTCGTAAGGCCGTGTCAGAAAAGCTTTCTGAGGACCCTGACGGAACCAGTCTAGGCTGGATGTCCCTGGAGGATTTCCAGTGTAATGTGGTGAGAAAGAGAGCTGCGTTGAGGGCTCCTAGCTCAAATAAATCGTCCCCGAATGAAGAAATCAAATTTACCAACCAGCGAGCAAGCACAGCAACAGCAACTCTTACAAGGACTTGTCAGGTGCGATCAGCTGATTCGCCTGGCCGTGAGATTCACGGCATGTGTGACATCGCGCCTGAGTACTCAGCTGAGCGAGAGTGAATCTGACGCAAGCGGCGCTGAGGTGAACGAACCAAAATTGTGATATTGTGGAACTGTTGCTGCTGGTGCATCGCCGATGGCGAGGTATTGGAGTTCAAGGACGGAATTAGGAGCATATATTCTTCACCAAGACGTAGCGCTTACCTGATTGTTTATCATAGCACTTCAGCTCCATCACGAACTTGGTATGCACTTCGTGCTGTGACTTTTGTGTTTTTTGTTCGCAATTGTATTTTCTCTCAACTTGAAGGGCTACCACGGGTCATACCCTTACCTGTACATAGTCATATTTGTGTTTTCTGGACTCGTCCAGGCATACAGATTTTGAAAATATATAGTTTACCCATACCTACAACTTACAGAACTTGAGTTATGGCTGGTTGTTTGTACGCGTGTTTGCGTGACCACCCCTCACATACATTGAGTAAGACCAAGAGTACATAACCCCCCAGAGTGTGCAACTCCCACATACCCTGTTGTCCCGACAGAATTTCAAGTTGACGTCATTATTTATGACGCAATGCTCCTTGCAGCAGTGATTTACAACATGTGTACGGGTGTCAACGCATCACACGTTTTTCTTTGCAATAATTTGTACAGGATCGATCGGCTTCGGTCAACCACAGGTTCCGGATTCGTCTGATAATCCGTGTACAGTGCGCATTGCATCATCAAAATGACGTCAACTTGAAATTCTGTCGGGACAGCACCCATAGTGGAGTTGCACACTCTGGGGGGTTATGTACTCTTGGTAAGACCCACAAAGGGTTAACTTAAAACTGGTGCTAGCATTCTTTTACACAGTTACCCCCCCCCCCTCCCCCGTCCCTCAAGATCTGCTGCTGCACAGAGTAAATCTATCTAGGAGAGCAGTGCTCTACCTGTGATGACATCACGAGTAAAGCACTCAGGTGCCATTCCTGCTGCAGGAGCAGGATGGATGATCAGCGGCAAGAAATCTGGAGGGCAAGCTTTTCTATTCGAAACGAACAGCATTGTCCCTGTCCCTGGACAAGCATCAGAAGAAAATTAGCACTGCAATAGTAAAAACAAACAAAATGAAAAGAAGCAAGAACAACATAATTGCGACAGGGGGACAAAGGATCTAAATGAGTTTAAAAGCTATGTTCAATGGAAGCAGAAAAACCGCAACAGAATGCAAAAAAAACCAGGCTGATGAAAACGCATGGGAATAATGTACAATGGGAGAGTGGGCAGGAATTGGGAACGCTGCCCAACTGGATAGCAGCACGCCAGGCACATAATGGCAAGCGCTTGATACAGCTAGGTTTTGAAGTGCACTTCTTCTGCCTGGGCCTTGGCCATCAACAAGACACGAAGGCAACATGATGGCAGACAGTGCACGTGAATTCTAGTAGATACGGTGGAGCAGTTCTAGTGCTAGAACAACAACACAAACATCTTGATAAAACCTCATTTTTTCCAACAACAACGATGATTATGAGGATGCTGCTGCCGTCGCTGCCTCTGGCTTTTCCTTTTCAACCTTCTCCGGGTAGCGCATAGCCTGCGCAAGGATAGCAAACCCAAACCAAGCAGAATTGTCGCAGGGTTCCCTCCTTACTATTAAAAAGTTAGTTAGTTAGTCGTCTATATCTATCCGCATATCACAATTATGTGAACTTTGAAAGGAGAGAAGCAGTGGTCTAGAGGATATGGCAAAGTGTAGCAATATCCATACAGTATCTCAATGGAATCCTCTAAACCTGGCTTGGAAATGTTATATTTCATTGCTATCAGGTTCGGCCTCATTTCCTCTGTGCTGTGCTGATGAGTCCACAAAGGACGAAACAGTTCTGTCCGCAGATTGAGGAATCCTCCATATGTGTGTTAGAAACAAAAAGGCTGGCGCAAAAGTGAATTAGACCCCCCCCCCCCCTTGTAACGGAGCCTTGAGACTACTGTACGTGATTTGGACTGTGATGTCATTTAATTTCAAGCTGTGGCACAAAAATGTTGCGTCACACCGGGTCGGTGCAAGAGTCCTAGAACTGAATGATTTTTAGCACGAACTTCCAGAAAGTGGCACTGCAGTAAAAAAAAAAAAGTGGCATCAGAAATACGTCCGCCATACACGGTGGCCATGTTCTTCTTTGCATGCTAATACGGAGGATTGTCCTCGCCGTAATGGCGATGTGCAAACGCATACGATAGCAAGCTTCTCCTTACAGGCTACAGAAAACATTCAAAAGAATCAAAAGAGAAAGGCGAAGGAGTACTCACCTTTACAGACTGGTTGTGAAGGTTCAGGCAGAAGCTGATGCGCTTGTGGAACTCGGCCTGAGGCTCAGTAGTGCTGTACTGATCCTGTGTGTCCTGTACAATATAAAAGGAAAGGGAAAGGAAAAGGAAAGGCACACATTTGCATTCTTGTTACTTTGCTGTCCGTCTTTCAATTTCTTTCCACATCAGTGTAGTGAGCAAATGAATGGTGTAAGTTGCAGCACAGTACATGTACACAAGTTCAGTTGAGTTTGCATGTCTATCAAGCACCTTTTTCATGCCATTGGTAAGAGTGAAATTCATCGGTTCTGTGAAAGAAAAAAGCCCAAATACGTCCCAACTGATCTTGAACTGTGAAAGTAGTGTGACAGACAAGTAGTGACATGCACACAGATGCATCAATCCGGCAGCCCTCTCACCTTGCTCTGCATGAAGCCACCTTTGTGATCGATGCAAGCCTCTATTACGCCATCTCTGATTGCCTGTCAGAAGTAGAAAAATGCACCAAAAAAAATGGGTTTTCATTCGAGATAAGCACACATGTTCTACCAACTAGCAACTGCCCTACACACAGTAGATAGGCAACAACAACATAATTAACGGCAAACACTACAATATGAAGCAGGGTGGCAACACAGCTTGGGGCATACCTTTGCCACAATGAACTCAGCATCCACTGCACTACCCAGACGCAGGCGGTCAGCAACGTCGGCCAGGGATATGCGCGAGTAGGACAGGCTGATCTTTCGAATTCCTGCTTTGATGACATTCTGCCGTAACCTGTCGCAACAACACAAGCACCACGGACATCAAGATGTACACACAACACAAGTCTCACTACATGTGTTATGTGTCACGTACAGGCTTGCAATCTGTGGTTTCGGCAGACTGCAGTTTATATCCCGCGTGCCCCAAGGCTACTATGCAAGTCACTGACGTGGCCACCGACAGTTTCAACGCACCTGATGATGAGGTTGATTGTCTTGTCTGCCTCAAACTTCTCATGGAACTTGGAGCAAACTTCGGTGAACTGCTGTAGATCACCTCCACGGACGGCTACAAGTCACACAACAAAGCAGGGAACAAAAAGACCATGACTTTATTACTGCAGTGGTGTTTTTCAAGTGAAAGAACACAGGTTCACTCCAACTCCATGTGAGAGGTAAGGCTACAACAGGCCACAACATCCTATGATCAGGTTATTAGCCACACCAAACGAGTGCTACAACGTGTCACTTACCCTGTGTGAGCTCAAAGTATGGCTGGAGAGGCTTCTTCAGCACACTCTGCCGGAAAAGTGCTCTATCCGGAATGAGACCGAGAAGCAACTGAACAACAATGGAAAATCTATTTACCTGCACACAGACAAACAGCAACAAGCATGGTTAGCCCTGCGAAATTTGCACAAGCAAAAAGACGAGCGGCAAAGGTGACAAAACATTTCTGAAGACATGCTTGCCCTCTTCCAAATTGCAAAACATGCCTGCTTATAACATAAAAAAGGTCTCGTATATGAATGACTGTCTTGTTCATCCAGTGTAACGGCAACACATACGGTATTGGGGAGAGAAAGTAACGAATATTGTCACCAATATTCGTGTGAAGATGTGAATATCATTGGCTGAGCGCAACACACACTGAGTGAAACCAGTTCTGGTTATAAGAACTTCAATGCAACACCATGCACTGGTACGCTAACAAATACATGTTCAGTAGGAACTTACAGTTTGCCTAAAACCAATGGCTGTGTTCTGAGGCGCCTTTTGCAGAGCCTGCAACCAAGAAAAAGCAAAAGCAGGAAGAGAATAAGTAAGAACGTTGACGATATGCATTACCAATAGTGGTGAAACGAATGTCAAAACCTAGTAGCCGAATATTCTTTGGCTTAAAGGGGAAGTCCGGTGAAAAATTTAAATTTCACAGTCCGTAGAGTTCGGGGCGCTGAGTCGAATGGTCTTTGTCCGAGGAGGCTGCGGCTTATGGTTCATCAGATACGCCCAATCGAACATGTGCGAATTTGAGCGCGCATCACCCAGATCCAGGTGATGACGTCACAGCGTGCAGCCAGGTAGCCACACCATCTAGTTGTGTACAAAAATGGCCATATTCGGAGCGCGTTCGATTGGGGAACCGTTTATCGCAGCTTCTTCGGACCAAGACCATTCGATTCAGTGTTACAAACACTACGTACCCTGTGATTTTCAGCTCGGTAAACCTGGAGGTTATACCGTATTTTAGCCGTTTCCGAGTTGGACTTTCCCGTTGGCCCATCTACATCATGGTCTATGCGCTCTGCGCTGCGTGCATGCAGTGCGTGCAGTGTCTTATCTAGCTAGCTGTAGTGCATGCAGTCAACAAACTCATGTCACAACTGACACAAGACTCAGAAAACTAGTCAACACACGGACTGTCGACTTGTCATGTACTACACTCGTATCAGTCGTATTGTACAGTCATGTAGGCAGAGAACGTGCGTTTCTCCTTGCCGGTGCGGGTGGTTGTGCTTTGAGAAAGAAAATTTTAGTTTTCCGCACCCGCGGCGCCTCATTATTTTATGCTACAGCGATGAGTGCACAACCGTGACAAGTGACAAAACAGCGAACAGCTCTCGGACCTAGAACTTTCAGATTCCATAGCGTTGCGAGCGAAGAGTCGTGCCCGTGGTTCAAAGAGCCTGCACTGTTCTCCAATTGAGTAGTCCGAAATATTCCAAGTTCGCACCAAAACATCACCATGTGGCAGGCTACTGGAGTCTAAGCGAATCTAATCGGTATGGAACAACATTTAGAGCACTCGCATCACTCTTCTCCATTTTGGCGACCCTGCTCTCCAGCGATCTGATAATTACATCAGCCTCGTCTGCAATAGCTGCTGCTTCTTCATCAGTCGGAAACTCAGTAGCGCTCACTCTTGACCAGCCCGCGCGGCCATTCCTTCAGCTGACTACCGAGGTTCTCAGCCCCAGACCGAACTCATGAAGGTCAGCCATGGCTGTATCCTCACTCTCACAAGGAGTTACATGTCTTCGGGGTCGCTTGCACCACCTAATATCAGTCGCCAAATCATTTGAAATAGCACTGACACTATTGCTTTCACGCACTCCTTTTGACCTAGCTGCACGCTATGACGTTGCAGAGGGTGTGGCGCGGCCGCATGACGTCATGGCGCAGCCCCCGAAACTCAGTTTTTCAAACGGAAATATCTCGAGAACGCTTTGTCGGAGACACGTGGGACCAACACCATTCGACTCAGCGGCCGAAACTCTACCGACCCTGAAATTTAAATTTTTCACCGGACTTCCCCTTTAACGAACGGACGTACAAATATTCTTTTGGTAACACGGATGACATCACATGCCCTCCTCTCAGTCATATTGTCATTACTATTAGGTATGCCAAACGGTAGTGACACATAAAATGCACTGCCACGTAAGGCTACTTCGAAGTTCAAACATGTTATGTGCAACATTGGCAGTCCGGTATGCACATACATGTGCAAGCATGCAGTGCAAAGTCACAGGCAGGCTGTACGCACTGTCTGTACTGTGTTTGGCGTGCATGTATGTACATGCACACATACATGCACTGCACTCGAAGTGACGTCACGAATACTCAAATGCGACTTAAAGAATATTCGAATGTGACCAACCGAACGAATGTTCGAATATTCGTTTCACCACTAATTACCAAGTTGAACAAAGCACGACAATCTTGCAACCTACAGTACTTCCAGGTACATGTACCAGCACCGGCATCGTTCAGAATCCAAGCCACATAAGCACTGCCGCATGGCTGGTCTACATACCTGCAGCAGGAAGTTATTAGCCTCAGTGTACTCCAACATCACCGCTTTGATTACACCTGCATAATTGAGAGACAACAGATATGTGGACAGAAAAATAGCACACGATTGAGTGCCAGAAAGGAAAGACCACAGTGATGGCATGATCAACAATATCACTACCTGCGAGTTGACCAGATGCCAAACCAAAGCAACTAAAGGGCATGCAGGAAGGTGTACATGTACGCAAGTGCAACATGTACTTGGTAGCGTACTGGGCTCCATCAAATGCAGAGGGATTGACACAGAATCTAAGTGAGCCAATGGATGTAAACACAACTAACCAGCCACGAAGAGCAAAACAGGGCACACTTAAATACGTACCACAATAGTACATGAATCGTGCACATTCACTGTTCGGTGCAGATGGAGGGAACACTATCTTTAGAATCAGCTTATTTGCCTAATGATGCACACAAAAATCACAAAAGAGGACACAGTGTTAGTCAAGTATTTGCAAAACGCAGCAGGGAATAGTCACGCTACCTTGGGAACAGGGTGGTAGCACTCAAGAGAGAGAGGGAGATAAGAGAGAGAAAGAAAGAGAGAGAGGTGTGTGTGTGTGTGTGTGTGTGTGTGAGAGAGAGAGAGAGAGAGAGTGAGAGAAAGAGTGAGACAGAGAGAAAGAGAGAGAGAGAGTGAGTGAGAGAAAGAGATAGAGAGACACCCACACACACCCACACACGCACACACACACAGACAGACAGAGCGACAGACAGACAGAGAGAGGGAGAGAGAGAATACTGTTCTTATAGTCTTGCATACAAATCAACATAAGCAATGCACCAAAGTGGCTTACCTGGTCATAGAGGCGGAAATGGAGCAGGTTTCGCAGAATAAGGTTGGTAACGGTAGCCTACAGTAATACAAGCAGCAACAACGCAGGTAAAACAACTGATCACAAAACAAACTGGTTACCCGGACCACCCGGCACGGTTGCACAAAACAACAACAAAGCGGCCTAGTGCTTCCCCAAACTAATTGATGACGTTCACATGCATGCCCTGTAGAAGGAGCAGCTGTACAGATTAAAATCTGGTCCACCAACTGTTTTCAGTATTCACATGGTCTGTGTGAATGTCTTCGGAATTCAATGTGTTGAGCATGCATACCGGTAGTTCATCCTACTTCAGAGACCATATGGATGGAAAAACGACTGGGAAAGGCTGGACCTACGGGCGATTGCTCAAACCAGGTGTTATTCGTATATGGCTTCGGAGTAAACGAAACTCTGCAGACAACATAGACAAACTGTTGCCAGGCAAATAGTTTTCCTAGCAGAGATGTGCTCAGATCTTACCTGGCCCTCGGCATCGAAATGGAGAGTTGAAGTGCGAAGGCGAGCCAGCAGAGCACTGCAGTGGCAGGAGATAAAGAAAACAAAACAAACTCATAGTACCAAACTAGTGAATATCATAGTGTTTTGTTCCAAGTATGCAGTACAGTAACTCTATTATGAAGGCCAGATGAAAAAGCAAACATGCAAGCAGTCATTCAAACAATGACAAGCTACTGGCGCATAAGCTTGTCTGAAGCATTGAAAGACAACACAGTAGTAACTAGGGACCAGCACAAAAAAATCAGCTAGACAAAGACAAGGAATCGCTAGCCATTCGCAAACACAACTGGCTATGCCTAACACCCAACACTTGCCACAGAAGCTGAGAACAGGGACAAAAGAAAAAAAAATCTCGACACTCACCTTCTGATTTCCTGCATTCGATCGACAAGCTCATACGCACGGCCATAGTAGAAGTAGCACCGCGCTCCAATGGCATCCAGCGAGCGTCGATTGAATGTGTTCACCTTCTCTACGAGTGAAGTCGCACAGCTAACCGCCTGGGTAGAACACAAGTACAATGGTCATGATATCACAGTCATAAGGAATGCGCTAACTGCTCATGATTCGCTCTACACGACAAGTGACACACTTGTACTGCTGCCCAATGCTCAAGGAAAATCCGGGTTTCCTTTAACGATGTTCTATCTCGGTGGTGATTTTCGAAATGACGCAGCGCCCAACACTTCTCCCCAGCCGGCCTCCACCTACATTCTTATGGGAAACAGATCTGTAGGTGCATGTATGAAGACTTCAGGTGAGATGTCTCTTTAAAGTGCTTTTAACATAACCAGACTTGAGAAAGGTGCTACGCAAAAGCACTCGGTGCATGCACATACCTGCTCCTTTTGGTCTCCATCCAGCAAGAAGATGAGAACTAGCAGATGCAGATAGCAGGTCAGCTCTGGTATCGCCAATGTCAGCGCTACTTCTCCAGGCACGGCCACTGTGTCTTCGGCATTGGACTCTTCAGCAGCACTGGACTCATCCTCCATAGGCTACACAGACATTTGGCACACAGGTACAGTTAGTCAGAAAAAGTACAGCCAGACAAGCATACCTCAAAGTGAAACAAAAAAAGAAGATGGCAAATTGAATTAGAATGCTGGGCCCACTCTGACGTTTCTGGAACCAGTGGGGATGATTCACAAACTTGAATTTACAAGTAGACAATACAGCCACACACATCCCCATGCAAACTTGCTATAATACACAGTCAACACAGCCATCCAGTTCAGACCCTGATAAAAAAAACCTTCCCCATTCCTACCACAACTTGTCTAGCTAGAGAAAAAGAAGAGGGTAAAAACAAAAACAAAAACAAGGAACTCTAAAGTTGGGATGTCCGACATTTGAGAATCTGTGATTTCTTGGCGGAGACAACGGGTCGCATGCAACTGGTCTCACAACTAATGCTGTGGCACGGGTCAGAGCTCGATATGTGTGAGCAACTTATTGCCAACATGACAAGCTGGGGCCACACAGACATTCTTCGAAGTAATTTTTTTAGGGTGTTTTCGAAAGTCAGTAAGTAGCTTTCAATACGCACATCTACGGTTGAAGATAATAGGGAGGTTCCGGAGTACTATTTTTCGTGCCAAAATCCGTAGAGGCGCTACGGATTTTTTATACGTCGTTTTCGAGCAGTGAAATGTTCCGGAGTACGGAACTTATGTGTTTGTCGTCATTGCCTAGGTTACGATCGCAAACACGTCACATTCCCGCGCTATGCCTTTTTATTTTGAAAATTTGTACCGAAATCAAAACTTCCCGCGGAAAATCCATGTTTCTTGTACCAAATTTGTACGCGAAAAATCTTTCTGCACCCGATGACGCAAAATCTCCATACGAAACATGGTTCGTGTGAAAGCCAGTCCACACGGATTCTCCGTGCCGAAAAATCGTATGGAGCACGCCTGGAAAATATCCGTAGCGCCCACACGGATTTTGGCACGGAAAATCGTACCCCGGAACCTCTCTATTGCTACAATGTAGTGCTGTTCCTTTTGGACAATTGGGCAACGTCCAGAAGTTTTTCTGCATCGCAGCAGTCATTCACCCCTGAAATAGATAAATAGTAGTAGCTGACCCACACTGCCTGCATGTGATTGATCCATCAGCTTCACATTGATTACAGTGCAGGTCAGCTGTAGTGATCGTGTAGTATTATGCAATAGACAGGTTTGAGTTTTATGACTACCGGTAATTTCTGACGCCCAGGTCTTGTAGCAACTTCTTTCCCAAGATTGGGTTAAGTGACAGATCGAATATGGTGATTTATCTCCCGAAGGAGTTTTGTTTATCTCCCCCGTGTTCGAATCCCTGCGGTAAACTCGAAATAAATGAACCACATACGAAGTTGATAGTTGAAAGTAGAAACTCCAAATTTATCCTGAGAGGAGCATACTAACCTCAACAAGAAACTTCAGCAATGGTGCGTTTTCTGACGCTGAGCACATTCCACACAGAGAAAACACGAAAAGAGCATTGCTTTCAGGCTGGTGAAGCCTACTTCAAAAGCTACGAAATCGAACTTGATCACATGACTCATTGAGATGGTATACAGACCGTCCTAGGTAAATGGAATACAACAGAAAGGACAGCATTAGGAATCGTCATTCCTCTATCTAAATTTCACGTGAAAAGTATGCCAGGAATGCCTATATACCAGCTACAAGTGTTGTGTAGACTCACATTTAGGAAGGTATTCAAGTATCACTTTTCTCAAGACGCCATCTGATAATTTGCTTCTCGTAGACGCAATCGCACGCAGGACACGAGTTGTGTATCGGTGCTCTTTCAAGGAAACAGCTTTGTGGATGTTATTAAGATGTCGTCTGAGTTCTGCACGACCAAGACCAGAGTAAATTCACGCAGAATATAGTAACAACTTTCAAATAAAAACGTATGTGTTGATTTCAAATTTCTCACCATCGGCGGGGGACAGTGGTTTTGCTTCTTTCTTAGCAGCATCTCCATCAGTTTCCGAAACTGGCTTCGGCTCCTCGGAAGCCTTTTCATCAGCCATAACTTGATGTCTGAGGAATTCAAGCACTCTAATAAGTAATGGGAGACTTGATAGGAAATACCACAATGAGGATTCAACCACTACACTTTGAAACCAACTTTTTATTTTGGACTCTCTCCACGACTCGCAAAGCTTGCACTTTTGCAGCTTGTTGAGTGCACATATTTTTTTTGCAGTTTTTTCGAGAAAACCAGCGGATTCCATCATGAAGTCCATGTCTTCAAGCCGGTTGTACTTTGCGTCTAGAAAACACTTTGGGATTTCACTAAATGTCACTAGAATTTAGCGAAGTTCGACGGGTTTTCTGATGCTAGCACATCTTGTCGACATTATAATGTACATGTCACCAGCAGAATCATGAATGTTTGTTTTGCTTGGCAGTTTGCGACACAATTTATTTCATGTGAAAGGAGTGGAAAGTGGGTAAATGAATATGAAACAATATTGGAGAATATTGGAATAGACTGGACTTTTGAATGTTCGTGGCGAGATGGCCATTTACGCGGTGTATATTATCAACAAGGCTGGCAGTTTGATTTTTCACTACGACAATGTGCCAAGTCGTGAGCCAGTTCAAAAGACGTTTACTTACCCAATAGACATAAAATTCCGTGATGGTGAACGGCTGATTGTTCATTATGGAGAGCAGGCGGATATCAAGGTCGGCTATGCCTTGATATCTGTAAATGGTACACCCGTCAATGGAAAGCTTATGCCAGACGGGCAGAAAATCCTTGACTTTTTGGAAGTGGCCAGCAATTATCCAGTAACACTACAATTTCAGCTGCCACGTCCTTCAGCCAATGAAAGGATTATGTTAGCCAGTATGTTTCATTCACTGTGGGCGATAGCATCGAAATTATCACCTGAGAAGAACTCCTCTGGAATAGAAGTACTGGAAGCAGAGTCATTCCATCTTCATTGCTTGCATACGCTCACCGGTCTCAAGTTTTTGCTGATGGCCGATCCTGGACAGGCTGGTGTTGGTAGCTTGCTGAGGAAAGTGTATGAGGTCTACGCGGACTACGCATTGAAGAACCCATTCTACTCTCTGGAGATGCCAATTCGATGTGAGCTGTTTGACTATCACCTGCAGAAAGTTATCGAACAAGCCGGCAATTCATTGGGATCATTATAGTAGATGGTAGTGAGGCTTACGTGCTATGCAAGAGCTGTATCTATTCTGTGTTTCCAAGTATTGGATTATCTATCCTTCTGAGACGGTCTAGTGATCGTTCTAGCTATCCGCCCGTTGGTCGGTCGCTTTCTGTCTCTCTCTCCGTCCCTCTCTCCTTCCCTCTCTCCTTCCCTCTCTCCTTCCATCTCTCCGTCTCTCTCTCTTGTGTGTGTGTGTGTGTGTGTGTGTGTGTGTGTGTGTGTTGTGTGTGTATGTATGTGCGCACGCGTGTGCACACCCACATGCACACCTACTCGCACTCTCTCTCTTCCTGTTTGTACAGTGAATCGGTTCCTCCTATAGTTTAGACAATCTCCTTTTCTGTTGCCTGTATGTATATGTCGCCTGTAAATACCGTAGTGTACATATTGTCGTTTTTCTTGTATGATTCACTTATTTTCTCTTTAGTTTAGCGAACTTGCATCTCTCTTCGGCTTTCATTGTTTTACCAACTTCTCTATGATTTCAATGCTAACGCCCATGAAATGAAACAGGCAAAAGCCAGCATCGATGATGCTTCTGGACTCGTCAAATGTGTGCATATTTCACTATTGAATCGTGTTTGACTCCATTCATACTCGGAACAGTCAAGTGCTCTAGAAGTATGTGTGTGCACTCGTTCGTGTGTGCATGTGTTCATGTGTGTGTGTGTGTGTGCTGAATGGTGTAATCCCGGCACAAGTTGCTATGTCTACTTGTTCGCTATCATCACTCCGGTGATAGGCAGGTGTGGCGTGCGTGCACGCGCGCGCGTGTGTATATGTGTGTGCACGTGGCGTGGTTGTGTGTGCTTCCTAGTTCCTAGCATGCATTTTATGCGTCCCTGGTGTTGAAAAAAATAAGGACCTCCGTAGATCTATACAAACAAAGGAGGATGATCGGCCTGCTTCATAGAAGTTTGGGTTGGTTAGTAGGAGAACGTCCAGGGCTATTTTGGCGACTTGCTGTCATGAATCGGTGCCCGCTTGCGCTTCCGAGCTAGCAGTAGCAGGTCGACCATGTTCGACGTGTAAACCATGGTAAACACTGAAATAATATTAATAATGTGACAGACTCAGTGCATGTGTACGCGTGACGCTGCTGCAGTAAGTAGCCTACTTACCAGTGGTGGCCAAAAGTTTTGACCCACCCCATGGAATCGTCAGTACAGCTCAGCCTGGCTCCTAAACACGTCGTTTTTGACTTCTTTGAGGCCAAAGCCGACTGAAACTTGGCAAGGACACTAAAATTTGCAAGAATCCGTTGTCAACTGAGATTTGTGATGGATCACCATACATTTGGGTGGGTCAAAACTTATGGCCACGTGACCAAATTTTGCTCTACCGTACCGTACGGTTTCAAAAAAGTTGTCAGGCTGATGCACGTGCCGGGAAAGTTGAAAATCAACACTTGACTGCTCACTTCGAGAGTTTGCGATATCAAACTTGACAATTTTGACGATGGAGATGGTATTTTCAGCCAGGATAGTGAACCGAGGTCAGATTAGCAAGGATGTGAGGGAAATGGTCGTGAAGCTGAGTGTTGACGGTCTCTTTTGGCGTGGTATCGCTCCTCTGTTGGATTTGAGTGATCCTACGATACGTAGAATTGTCAGGAAACAAAAATTGACTACATTTCACCACGATCAGACCGACCAAGAGAGACCAGTGCAAGACAAGATCACCACCATATCATGAAATCAATGGCGAATCGCCTCAAATCCGTCACTGCCTGCGAGCTGAGATGGTGAGCGACGGTGAGAACGCGATTTCTGTGCGTTCTGTGAGACGCAGGTTGCAGAGAGCAGGCCTACGTGGCTATATGGCCATCAAATGGCCCTTCATCAGTGCTGTGAATAAGGCAAAACGCCTTAAATTTGTATAGACGCACAAGGACTGGAGCAGTGATGACTGGTGGTAATTTCTGTGGACTGATGAGTCTAAAATCAACCTCAAGGGCTCTGGTGATGCAGTTTACGTCAGGAGGTGGACAGGAAAGGCTCTGGCTGGCACATGCACACGCAAAACTGTGAAGCGCCGCGACAGCAATATCAATGTATGGGAGCCATGGCCAGCAACGGCGTAGCGCGCATTTGCCGGGTGATGGATACGATGAATGCGGACCAGTACCTCGCATCCTCCGAAAACATGATGTTGCTGAGCATGATGCAGCTTGTGGGTGGTGTGGGTGGTGTCTTATGGCCGCAAACGCTCCGCAAACAGAACGGAGGCGCGGCAGACGGTGAACGGCATCACCGTCCTGACATGGCCCCTGCAGCCACCTGACCTCAATCCAACTGAGAATCTCTGCAAAATTGCTGGGCTGAAGCAGCACGATGTCGAAATAACCCCCAGAAACCAGTATGAGCTGTGGCGAGTGTGCCAGGAGGTATAGAAGTTGATTTCTCCTCACGAGCGCAAGAAGATCGTCGAGTCAATGCGGCAGCGTATGCAAGCGATCATCAAGGCCAAGGGAGGAGTTACAAAGTGGTGGATGTATCTGGAATAGGCCGGGACTGACTTCTAGACTTTAGCTTAGTTGAATACTTTTTAGAAATCACACTATTCCGTGTATCCTGTGGGCGGTTTATGATAGTGCGGGCGTTGGCCATAAGTTTTGACCCACCTTTTACATATACTTGACCACAGTAGTCCCCAGATGACTCCGTGTTTCAGCATTTTTCATTTCTATTTCACTATTCTGCCTGATTCAGAGGTCCTCGACCAAAAATTTAGTAGCTTACAGCCCAAACCTTCAGAATTCGAAAAATCTGCATGGTGGGTCAAAACTTTTGACCACCACTGTATAGTACTATTAGTAGTGTAGTACTGTAGCGAGAGAGAGAGAGAGAGAGGGAGCTGCGCAGTAGTTGGGTTGGGTTCCTTTGCTGGTGGCGCTTGTTCAAGTAAACAATTATTAGTTGTTGACTCCATGGGGATCCAGTCCAGTCCTCATCATCACCATCCGTGTTCATGGTGTTTGCCTGCTCGCGAGTGCTCGGAGTGTTCCATTCATCAGTCATTTTCAATCATCACCCACGTAACCATGGTAACTCGTTACATGCTCATCCTACAAGTACAAGTACAACGACGTTACGTCTTCAATGCGAATAATTTTGAAATGAATGAACAAACGCCAGTCGCTACTGCATAACTGATGGATCGTACAGTAGCTAGCTAGCTGTCGCGAGCTAGGCTGTCCGATCCGGATCGCCTCCACCGCTGTAACAAGTGGGACAAGTAACTAATTATTTTACTAGCCTAGTGTAGTCAGTAAGCTATCGTTCGTGGATCTCCGGAGTTGCTCTACGCGATGGCTGAAACAGGCAATCCTATTCCAACCTGCCGCGACCAAGAAGGATGAGGCCGAGAATACTCTTGTGGGTGGTTGCTCTGATCGCTCAAGCTTACACTGGTTCTTCTGAGGAGACTGAAAGTCAGAGGACAGAGCCAGGACCTGCCGAGCGCCGCCACGTACAGCTGGTTATTCTGGGAGGTGGAATCGCCGGACTGTCGGCTGCTCGCAAGCTCAAGCAGCACGGTGTGACGGATTTTGCGCTTTTGGAGGGCCTGGACCACGTTGGTGGCAGGCTGCGCAATGGCAAAGTTGCCAACGTCACTGTGGAACTGGGGGCCAATTGGGTGCATGGGATAACCGGTAAGCCATCATCACATCATGACACCTGTAGCCTGGTAACTAATGCTTCAACGTGACTTACTTGCTAGTTCAAGTCCATGGCTCAATGGCACGGTGCTACTCTTGCCAGTTATGTACTGAGTTGGCACAAGAAAAGGCATAGATTGACACTCCTGGCACACAGACACAGCTGTTTGCTTCAGCTTGCTTGCGACGATAACTGTTGTGCCTATCTTGCAATGATAACTGTGCCTATCGGTGCTTGCCTGCGTTCACGGTGCCGCACATGCTCGAGCGCACATGCATGCAGGCGCACGCGCATGTGTGTGTGTGTGTGTGTGTGTGTGTGTGTGTGTGTGTGTGTGTGTGTGTGTGCGTGTGCGTGCGTGCATGTGTGTATTTTTGGCCCATGGGGGGGGGGGGGGAGAGCTACAAACACTAACATGCAGTGACACCGCGTGTCCTACGGTTGCAGCGGCGGAAATCCAACGTCTGATGTGAGTGCGGCAGTGACACGCTCAGTTCATTGTTGCACCGTCCGCTGGATGATATTCCCGTCCAATGGCAATGGTCCATGCGATGACGACCTGTCACAATACTTCCTCCGTGGAACTATTCTCTGCTGTGGTCTCTCACCAGGGTACTAGTAATACTGACATAGTACTGTACTTTGCCGCTGAGAAGGTTTAGCAGTGCTTTGCTGTGATGGTGATCCGGTGATGATTTCAGGCATTCCTCAATGTTTACAATCATTGTCTTTCCGGTGTTCTCGTTCACAGGAAATGCAATATGGCGCATGGCCCAGGAGTGCGGCTTGAAAGGCGTCTTTTCCGACTTTGACAATGTCACAATGCGATGGTCGAGTCGAGATACCAATTTGTACCGACGAACATTGCCAGTTTCACCCGGTGGCAAGCACACACAGGCAGACAACGACGACATGCCCGGCAATAGCAATCCTCGCAGGGTGCCCACCAGTCATCTGCATAGTCACAAGGTGAAGCGCGAGCAGGACGCAACGCTTCCCGTTGCACACTGCTACGTGGAGGAGGGCAGCAAGACGTGTGCAGGTGACTCCGGTTCTGACATGCTGGACAGGTGGAAGACACTGGAGTTCACCGAGGAGATGGTCAAGAGGCAACGCATGCAAGTGGACGACTCGGCCGACGACTACTCCCTGCGTGCGGCCATGCGCATGGAAGGTTGGGTGCCGGAGGATCATGCCGACCATGCTATCGAGTACTTCAACTATGACTTTGAGTATGCGCGGTCGCCGGATGAAACCTCCTTCATTGGCTCATCCCTGCACGTTTATGAAGATTTTGACAGTGAGAACTTCTTCGTGGCCGACCAACGTGGCTTCTCGACGATCATTCTGAAAACATGCCAAGACACCTTTGGCTCCGCTTGTGTTCTTTCAAGCGTGGGAGATGAGCCACACCGCCGAGACAGTCATGCTGCTGCTTTCGACACGTTGCCTGGTGATGGTGCGGGACCGTGGCTGATGCTGGGTAGAAACGTGACCCGTGTATCCACTAGCTGTGCTGCGGCAAAGCCTGCTTGGAATGACACGGGCACACGTTACTGTGTGACAATGGCCGATGGTTCGACCCTCACTGCTGACCACGTCATTATGACCTTTCCACTGGGTGTTCTGCAACACAATATTGTGCGGTTCGATCCTCCTCTGCCCAGGTGGAAGCTGAAGGCTCTGCACCGGATGGACATTGGGCTTTTCTCAAAGGTACTGGTGTGTACCTCATCGCCCTTATTCTATGCATTCAGCCATGCATGCTGCATTGCTGCTCAATGAAATCCGATCATGCGAGTCAATGTCACATCCCCAGACCTGTGAAAACACAGGTGTGTGTGTGTGTGTGTGTGTGTGCGCGTGTGTGTGTGTACAGGTGGCGTACGCTGACTTGACTCACATGATCGGATTTCAATGAGCAGCACTGTACATGTAGTACCATGTGGTTGAGGAAGAATATAGGAGAGAGGTCACTGTATTACATGTACATATTTCTGGAAGAAAAAATCAATAGCCCAGTGGTAGTATAGCCCAGTGATAGTATAGCCCAGTGATAGTATAGCCCAGTGATGGTATATCCCAGTGATAGTATGGCCCAGTGATAGTATAGCCCAGTGGTAGTATAGCCCAGTGGTAGTATGCCATCATGTAACTACACGCGCATACCATTCACCATTTGACGCCCATCGCCGGAGGCGATGATAGCGATGCTACAGCAGAAGCCATAGCAGCTTGTGCTGGGATTGCAACATTCAACAGCTTGCAAGGCTGAAGAATTGACCGCCACTATTCAGCCTGGTCTACACCACACAGCTATGAAGTGGCTATTTTTTGCACATACACACACACACACATACACACGTACACACACAGCAATTCACATACACACGTATCATCGACAAGCCACCTCCCTGTAACTAGTAACTTATGGCCCATCAGGGCAATCGAGTAGGCCACCTCACTATAATCACACCTTTGATTCTCTTTCCCTTCTTTTTCTTTGCTTGTTTTTGCAGGTGTTTGTAGCATTCCCTCGTCGGTTTTGGGACAACAGCCAGTTCTTGATCTACGTGTCCAGCCGGAGGCGCTTCATGGTACCCTGGGTAAACATAGACTATGCCGTGCCCGAGAATGCAACAAAATCACAGCACATCTTAGCTGTAATCTTGACTGGTGAGGAGGCAAGTCGTGTGGAGGAGCAGCCACTGGCTCAGACCCAATCCGAGGTGATGGAGACCCTGAGGGACATGTTTCCAAGCGAGGATATCCCCGGTAAGGCACAGATCTCAGGCCAGCTGACTTGAATACCGCTGCGCTGCTGCCGGAGATTACAAAGAGCTTTTATCTGTACATGCAAGGGACATGAGAAGACAAGCTGACCTTGTACTGACTAATGGCTATCACGAGAGAGCTTGGAAGCTCAGGGCCCTACGCTATGCTTCTTTGCCTTGATGACCTAGACAAAAAAAAGCATAGCGATGTTATAAATTCTTTAAAAAAATCCTTTTTTTTATAAGACATAACCTGGGATTCGAACCCGCACTATCGCGTGCCCTGCATGCATCCCCGATACACTTCGCATACATACTAATTCTTCCAAGTTGTTTCACATTGTGATCTTGCATTTGAAAGCCCTATTTGAATATGCATTGTGGCCAGCCGTCTTTGATGGCACGGTACGGTAGGGGATAGGTACGGGACAGGTACGATCGAGGGTAATACGACACCGTCTCCCGTACCGTACCGTACCATCAAACACAGCTGGCCACATACAGCTGCCCGCAATATTCAAATAGGGCTTTCAAACGCAAGATAATAACGTGAAGCAACTTGGAAGAATGGGTATGAATGCGAAGTGCATGGGGAAATGCATGTAGGGCGATAGTGTGGGTTCGAATCCCAGGATATGCCTGAAAAAAAAAATAGAAGAATTGAAAAATTTATAACATCCTATGCTTTTTTGCCGTCAGATACGGATAGCGCCAGGCGTGACACAAACAAACACACAAACAAACAAATACCAAATTAAAGCTGTGTGGACCCTGGCTAGCGCCAGACGTTACTGAAGTAACGTCTCCTGCATAGCTACGGGAATTAACATCTTTAGCTTACCATGGCAACACCTTTATGTGGAGCTTTAAAATAGGGTGAGCTGCAGTTTTATCATAGAACTTGCATACATGTACTTCAAATACAGTAACTACAGTTCACAATGCAGTAGTTGCCACGTCTTTCTGCCTGAAACTCACCCTGAGCGCAAGAAACGTGTGACAGTACCAACAGAAAAGCTAGTCATGACGGCTATGGTCGAGATGCCTACGTATGAAGTGGACTACCGGCTCATCACTTCGAGGGAATGAAAAGGAAGAAAAAAACAGTCCGAGGAAAAATGGCCGTCACTACCAGGACTCGAATCAGGAACCTTCGCTATAGGCCAGCGATGGTCTACCACTAAATTTTGGTGTGGTCGTCGTCTAAGCAGAGACTGTTCTACATTTTTCCAGACCTCAGACTACCTGGCAAGGTAGTCGCAGAATTTGAGCCCAAGTGGAGGATGGGGCCTATCTATCATCTCTGCATGCACTGTTTTCCAATCCTTAGTTAGTCCATCAGCCAAGAACTCAGAAGTCGTCAAATTCAAGCACCCTGTTGCACTTAGAAATCGAATACTTGATTTTGGCCTCAATGGGGAGTTTAGGTACCCTGTACACCGAATCCGCAAATAAAAAGAGTAAACGACTTGCACGCTCTGCAGGGGGAAGCCGACAAAGTGACCATTTTTGGCATTTCATCGACAGCCATTGTTGTGACCTAAACCCAATCTCCAATCAGTGCCATGCGCGTTTCAGGAATGAACTTTCAGATTTTGTGAATTACGGGAAAAATCTTGCAAATCGAGAAGATTTGCAGTGTAAACCATTGCAGTTTCCGTATTACACGTGTGCCTGGATTCAAATTACAATAAAATTGTTGTTCGCCTACTTGTAGAGTGTTGTTCCATTACACATCTCTTTCACTGTTCTATTTAATTGAGCATCCGAATACATACCTTCAGGAAGATTACAATGAGCTAGTATTGAACATCATCCACCTTCGGGTTTCCGAAGTATGCACCCCGAGTCATGTCAAGCAGGTTTGAAGCGTAGTTTTTACTGTTTGGCAAAAGTGATCTACGCTTCCACCCTGAATGGAATCACCCCGGGAAGGTCCTGATCCCTGGAAAAATAAGGAACGTGGAGAGCTAAAAGTAAGGAATCTGCGGCGATGGATGTTGTACATCGAGTGAATGCCCTGCAGTTCTCTTCTCCATTACGACCAACTAGCAAACGCCATGGCTCTGGATGCTGACAGCAAACAGTTGAAATATAGGCAAGGCTGCTTTGAACATGTTGCAACCAGGTAGTAGTACAGTTACAGTTGTACTACTTCGAAGTACTATCTACCACACTCGAGATCACCCAAAGAATAAAGCGATTGAATTCAAAATCAAAAAAAATTGTTGGGGATCGTCTGAAGCATATTCAAGCGAGGTACAGTCGGGCTTGATGACTGATCAAAGCCCTCGGGCTGGTCCCTTGGGCTTTGATCAGCCATCAATCCCTCTGTACCTCGCTTGATTATCTTCTTCATACCATTGTAGTTGCAAACGAGTAACTACAACAATTGCAGTACAATAGTCATGTAGTTTTTTGAATTACAATATAGTTATTTGAAAATGGTGAGCATCTTCATCTTCTTCCCGGTGCGCATGTACACATATTATTTTTGAATCTGTACGTGCTCCAAGCCAACTCACCTCTTCAAATCGACTGCGATTTATTTCGCGATTTTAGGTCGATCGCCACGGAAAACCACACCAAACGTTGACAAAACTCCACGTTTTTCACTGAAGACGCATTGGATATCATGATAAAACGGATGGAAAACCTCGTAATGGCTGATGAAGAAGAAGAAATTTGTCGAACTTCCAAGGCGCACTGCAAAAGGAGTGCAAGAGTTTCGCCAGGGAAAGTAGGCAGGTCGGATTCAGTGATGCTTTTGCTGTCGATTGATGTCAGTTCCAGGTGTTCGATTTGTAAGTGCAACAGGGGACTCACTTTGGCACCACTGGCTGATGGACTAAGTGGAGGTGTTTTGACCATCGGGGTTTATTCAGCTGTTTATATGATTATGTGACACCGCTGTGTATGTGTGCATTTGTGTGTTCATCGGTTTTCTTGTTGTGCAGAGCCAATCGACATAATGAAAACGGACTGGGACATTCATCCGTTCTTTCACGGCAGCTACAGCAATAGACCGGTCGGTGTAACTGACAACGACCTGCATAACATCCGAGCTCCGGTGGGGCGTTTGTATTTCGCTGGTGAGGCGACAAGTGAACGCTACAATGGATTCTTACAGGTGGGCACAAATTCTTGTGTAGTACTGCTTGATGAACGTATGTCTCATGAATATGCTAACACCAATCAGTGTGATCATAGGTTTGGTGATAAATCATGATTGCTCGGCGCTAGTTATCTCAAACGACTGGGTTTTGTTGAGCAGCACTGTAGGATTGTCTCTTCGTCAATACAGGCGGTGATATGAGAAAGCACTTGGAGTTGATTAAACAATACTACCACTAGCTTGTGCAGCTTGGGTTGCCGTTGCATAACCTGACTAGTGAGCATGTGTGTCATGGTCATGGTATCTCAGGATATTGGTCTTTCAAGATTTCATACTGCCTCCATTTCTTTTGAAAAAGCAACTGCATAAGAAGCAACCTCCATGGGAGTAGTTTACAAGTTGAGACGATTGGATCCTCCAAACTGCATGCATGTCCTAATCATGTGTGCTGCCAAGCAGTGTTCCTTGTTTTTTTGTGCTGCATCGTATGCATATTTTGAAGTTGTAAGAAAAGGTCTTGTTGTGGTTGTTGTTGTTGTTGTTGTTGTTGTTGTTGTTGTTGTTGTTGTTTGAGTTCTTTATTCTCACGATGGCACCATCACCAATAAGAAAAAGGAGTTGTTGTGGTCGTCGTCGTTGGCGGTGGTGTTCATTGCTAAATGCTGTGTGGCGCTGTGTGTTGCCTTGCATTACAGGGTGGACTAGAGAGCGGGCTCCTTGCTGCTGGAGATGTCCTGGCAAGGCTCGGTCTGGCGGGTGACATGTGTGAGAGCGACCAGCCTAGACCGCATCGCTCCACGGACCATGGCCATGAGCAACACAGGCACAGTGGCAAGGGTGATGAGCTTTCGGCAGAGACGTGTGATTGTACTGAGAAAAGCACCCGGAAACCAATCAAGTCCGCAGCTCGCCGCCATGCTGCACGTTTCCTCGGTGCTATTTGGCCAAGGGGAAGAAGTCTCACTCATAACTGTACCTGTGCTGTATGCAGGAGCATGGACTGTGCTGGTAAACACTCCAGGTCTGCAATTGCCAATGATACTTGCCACTGTGACTCTTCGTACAGTGAAGGTGGCCACCACCGTGGTATGAAGTCGCCTCGATTACTAACGCCTGACATTCTGTGGCGTCATATCTGGCCACTTCAGAAGGCCAGGTTTTTGCTGCTAGTCATGTGGGGAGGGCTGGTGCTTCTAATCAGCATGTGCATGCGTTCATGGCAGTAGTCACAAGTACTTATTAAAAACTTGATCTTACTCGGCCACCCTAACATTCTGGCATTGGAATACAGCAACCCGCCCCATTCCTGGTTTTCAAGTGCCCTCTTGCAGACACGCTGTTGGTGATGACCATACAAATGAGTATTGCTCATTTTCATTTCTCTGTCTTACAACGTATACCTCCCGTTGCCTTTGTAACATTTGCGAATGTAATGGGATTGCTTTACTCTGAGTTTCCAAGTGCTATTTATTTATTTTTTGAGATTTGATGCTGAAGGGATTGCACCATTGCAGTAATATAATATTTACCGTCCTAGCTTGACACTCAGCGCCAGGAACATTCCTTCAGTTTTGATATGAAGTATACTGCACTTATCTACGGACATCTTCGTTTTCCAAATGTTTATATGCAGTCATGTACATGAAGTACATAGTGAGTCGTTTTAAAAGCGGTCTGAACATATCTATAATACATGACATTGTCCCTGCTGTTGTGGATCACCTGGTCACCGACTCCCACTACATCAGTGTACTGTGGAGTGGGAGTGATGCTGCTGCTTGGGTCAGAACCTGTAGTAAATGTAGACGTTGCTCAGAAAAAGGTCAATCGATGTCAAGTGTCCTGTAGTTTATGCTGGTCACTTGGAGAATATATAAGCTGAGCACGAGCAAAGACTTGTATGATCAGTCTACTCAGCCGGCGTGGTGCTCAGTTATAGGAAAGCACATGTGCTGCAAGATTGCCAGATAAGATGACGGCATATCACACGGTGGAGAACACACGCCGGTAAGGAATAGTGCTCCTGATTACAACCAGACAGGTTGGAGGGTCCGCTGTCCGCTGCACACGAAACGAATTACCGTATGGGATCGTGCCAAATTGACACGTCATAATCGCACAAACGCGCATGCGCGCACACACACACACATCATCAGTACACACACGCACACACACACACACACACACACACACACACACACACACACACACACACACACACACACACACACACACACACACACACTCTCTCTCTCTCTCTCTCTCTCTCTCTCTCTCTCTCTCTCTTTCACCTTCACCTGCACACCTGACTGGAGATCACACAAGCGGAGACATTCACTTCATCCCAACCCTTCACTATAATTCATTGCAAGCTGAGGCACCTTATGTTGTTAGATGTGGATTGTGGCAGCTTCAAGGAAGTTCTATCGCCTTTGTGAGATATTGTAGATAGTGCCTTGTACTTGTAGAATTATGTGATATGATCTGCAACATACTAACTAGTCCGCCCTGTCAGTCTTAGACCTAGTTATGTTACCACTTGATCTTTTCTAGTGTCATTATTCTGATATGCTCGCGGGAGTCACCATTTCTCGTATGATGCCGGGCCAGTCATGGGCAAAAATAATGAGGGAAGTATAGGCAAGGCCAAGGGTGCAGAGTAGTGTGTTCTCTGTAATTGTTTGCTATGCCATCTTATCTTACCTGGTAAACCCGCAACCAAGACATCATATCAGTCACCGAGCCAAACTGGTCCAAAGACCTGTCTGTGCCTCACGGTGGAGCTCCAGACGGACCAGACGTCCAGAGGCAGAGGTAGCCTGCCCAGATGCGCGAGATGGAGCCTGCTCCGGCCTGGTGATGGATGGTATATGGGGCATGGACCATGAGGCATGAAGCATGATGCCTGAGATGAGTGATCATGGTGATGACTGATGGACCTACTAGTACTAGTAGTGAGTAGTACGTGAAGATCCATGGCAACCGCCATTTTCATCATGCCTGTGCAGCTGTGCCGTGTTCGTTCCCGCATCACCATGATCACACGATCAGGTGCAGAGTTTGCAGGGATAGCTACTCTCTCTATCTCAGGAGTCAGGGCAGTGACGTGCGTAAACCGCCTACTGCAAACTAGTTCGTCTTCACATTGAAATTTTGTTAGTTCAATCAATGTCAACGAGTTGTGTCGGATGATAGGAACATCTAGTAGTAGTACGGTGTGCATTATGTCTGCAGCAACAATAGCTATTACCAGGCTTATTGTTGACTGATCGAAAACGCAGCACAGTCCCGCACGCTAGCTGTTGCGCTCGCTATGGAAATGCAGCAGTGACTACATTGTATGTGGTCTCGAAGATGAACATCAGCTGAAGACTTCTATCCGAATATTAGTTGTCGCTGCGTTATCCTGTCTGCTGACTCTGGGTTTGACCCGACCGTCCACCTGGCCCTCGCCATGGTCGACTTTCGCGCGCGATTGCATGGCATAGATGCCTGGGCCAACCTGAGGCTTTGTGCCGATGGCGGCGAACCAGCGGAACCTAACATTCTCAATGGCTTATTTCAAGGCTCGACCATGAAACGGTTTTTAGAGTGTGAGTGTTGAGTGCTGTTGTTTTTGGACAATCAAGTTTTCCATCCACTGGTGGCATGTACATAATTATGTTAGCAACGTGCACACCTTGTACCCGGCTGCAAAAGCAAATTAACGAGTACGGTATTTTCCGGAGTATAAGCCGCACCCCCCATTTTGCCACGCAATGCAGACATTTATCCTGTTTATCACCGTTAATTCGATCATCCGAGTACGAGCCACGCCCTCGCTTTTTGGGTGATCAAAGTGGGGCTTAAATGTGATACGACAGCGGGTATCACATTGGGTGAGATTGCAATAGGTTATACCAAGAGTACATAACCCCCCAGAGTGTGCAACGCCGATCCAGCTCTGTGTAGGGTCTTGGTCGAGCGGAATCGGATCTTCTGATGTCATGCGTACACTTCACACCAGCGCAAGGCCGGTCTCGAGGCAGGGCACCATTGTTTTTGATCCAAGAGTACCCGCGACTCCCCGGGTTCCCCTCAGATGTGTACGGTATTATGACGCAAAGATCCGATTCCGCTCGACCAAGACCCTATGCAGAGCTGGATCAGGCGTTGCACACTCTGGGGGGTTATGTACTCTTGGTTATACCAGAATGGGAACCCGGCTGTGCCTTGGCGGGTAGGCTAAAATTAATGATATTGCTAGGGTCACTTGGCTTGGAAAATGGAAATACACTAGTGATGTCCGTGATATCTACAGTAGCTAGCGCTCAGACCATCCATTGCCTGTTTCTGGATCAAATGAAACAGCCCCACCGGCCCCGGGTGACGGTAGGCTTAGGCACAGAGGAACCAGATGATTCCTTCTCCCATGCGCGGCGTCTCAAGCTATTGATTCCGCTGTTGTAAAGCTCAGAATTAGTCTAGACATTATTGGGGGGGGGGGGGGGGCTCACATCATTTCAATATTCAAGCATGTTGCTGCATTGTTTGCATTGTTTGTTCCTGCCTTTCTCTCTCTCTCTCTCTCTCTCTCTCTCTCTCTCTCTCTCTCTCTCTCTCTCTCTCTCTCTCTCTCTCTCTCTCTCTCTCTCTCTCTCTCTCTCTCTCTCTCTCTCCGAGGCTCTCTCTCTCTCTCTCTCTTGCTCTCTTTCCCATCTTGTATCCTTTGTTTCTATCTAGTGATCATGGGCAAGCCAATGCGCAAGATGACGAGTTTTGATGGGTAAGTGCCAGTGATGCGTCAGTTGCGGCAACTATAATCCTACCCGATGAAAAAAATGAAATGACATGTAAACCACTCCATCCGGGGGCTCTGAGGAAACAGTATAGTTTACAGTCGTAGATACTTTAGTATTGTTCCTTAAGGTTTCCTTGCATCATTTCATACTTCTACATGTACATTGCTGGGGTTATACCGTAAAGTACCGTTGATCCGCCTCGCCCCCCTCGCGCCATGTTGCTTCCCAGCTGGTTTTTCGGCAGGGGGTGGGAATTAGATCAAGGCTGTGAAGTGCAGGACGATGTACAACAGCGTGGAGGATCAGACTCGATGTGCTGGATTGTGCACACTTTCATCCTGGATTGGCACGTATTGTGTACAGCCGTGCAAGCGTCGGTTCAACATCGTATTTAGTTGTATACGCCGGAATTGCTTCACAGGTAGAAAATCGACAGGGGCGGGAATTAGAGAGGGGGCGGATCAACAGTACTTTACGGTAATAATAATTAATATTATTATTTGCAATAGCTCAGTGGATAGAGCATCGCTGGCCTCAAGCGAAGGTCCCTGGTTCGCCGGAGTCCAGGTGGTGGCAGTCAATTTTTTCTTCAGACTTTCCCGTTTGCGTATTTCCCTCAAACCAGTGAATTATTATTTGTTAATAGTTCTCAAATGCAGTTCCCACAGACCTATTTTATGATTTGAAAGGAAGGCAAACTGACAACTGTTCACAGGTTTTCAGACAGGATTGACTGTTAGCACAGGGTATGAAATCCAACTAAGCTACCCAGCTGATCTCCTAACACTGTCTGCCTTTTTTCGTCTCCACTTTCGTTTTTTTTTCAACTGCACCTCCGATACTCTCGCTGTGCTCCCTGCTACCATTCTGCCTGCACAGGCTGAGTAAACAACAGAAGGTGATGCGCGCAGACTGGTTTGTCAGTGGCCTGCAAGAATCGTAAGTTGTCCGGTAGCATGTGTAGCAGAAGCACTCTACATACTGAGGGATTACTGAGCTTGCAGACTGATGGGCCTCAGCAGATCATCACGAGAGCATTGAATTTTAGCCAAAGCTCAAGCAGCTCTGATGGCATTGTTGCAATGCACTAGTGTTCACAGGAGTTGGACAAGCCAGTGTACGTAGCTAGGCTTAATCGTAGCACCGCCTAATCATGAGGTTTTGCTGTATGGGAGTCTGGTACTGCCTGGATAGTGCGTGCAAAGCAGGGGCGTCACACACTTTACGACCAGTACGGCTATGGTCGCACCAGGATCGTCCACCCAGAGCGCCTGTTGGGTGCTGAAGCGTGTCCTGTTGGCCGAAAAATCGGATCCCCCCCCCCCCCCCCGGGAAACCCCTGACCCCCGGTCGTACCACACCTCACTGCCCTGTGACGCCCCTCAGCGGCAAAGCATACAGTGACATCTGTGTTGTCGCATGCCACCGCTGCCAGAACAACCACAAATTGGTTAGTGATTGGTCATTTCAGGCTACAAGCCAATGCTTCAATAGATTCATGTGTTGGATGTGTCGCTGTTGTCTGTTGCACTGGATTGCTACATTTGTTGCTAATTACACTGTCTTGCTGGAGCATACATGGCATACAGGGCATACAGAGCATACATGGCATACAGGGCATACATGGCATATGATACAGGGCACATTTGTTGCAAGATGGTTACGGTGATGCTTTGCTCTTCCACGTGTCATGCAGTGGCTTCCTCTCCAAGAACCATCGGGTCGACAAGGAGTACTTTATATCGTCGTTTGGTGATGAGGTATGTTCCGCAGAGACAAGACTGGTGCTAGTAGGTGTTGCTGCGATGTATTATGGTATGGGTACCACTATAATTATTGTGTTTGGTGATGGTACTGCACGGTTGACTTGCGTTGTGCCTGTGGGCCGCGGACAGTGGCAGATGCTCTGCTGCAGTGTGTGCCATGGAACCAAACATGTCTGAGCGATCAGCTGTTTTAGAGACTTGAACACAGCATAAGAATATCTACAAACTACTCTGCCTCATTTCCTCAGTGCTAGCATTGTACACATGTGCTCAGTGCTAGCAGTGTACACATGTAGCCAAGTTCTACAGTAGAAACATCTTCGGCTTAGTGTGTAATTCTTGTGTTGTTGAAATCCACTGAACAGGTGTTCCCGGTGCTGTGGAGTGTTGTCAATTACGATATCAAGTATTCCTGGTGCGTATGTCCAGACATGATGTCCTCCAGTCCGGATGTTCTTCTGGCCAAACCGCTGACGGTAAGGTGACTTCACGTACAGTGAAACCTCGTTAAGAAGAACACTGATAAGACAAACTTTCACTAGAATTCCCAGCGCTATTGGATTCACCACTGTGTATTCATTGGGTAAGACATATGGATAAGAAGAACTCCCGTTATTGCGAACAAATACCGTCGGTCCCTTGGTGTTCGTCCTAAAGAGGTTCGACTGTAGTTTCTATGATACCCCTGGCACTCAGTATTCTGGCATTTCTGGGACCGGCATATTCCGGTGTATAGCAGCTGCATCAAACTACCATGCTCATCTTCTAGTATGCCATGCATGGACAATATGTAATGAAGTACAGATGGTTAGATGAGTGTGCGCTGGGAACACACATGTGTAGTGTTGCTCTACCAACTACGTATCGCTTTTTCTTGTCTCCGTGTATACCTATTGCACTCTTCTTCTCCTCCGATATGCTTGCAGTTAATGACAGGCGAATCACCTCATCCTGTGGTACAAGTAAGTTCTTCTCCCCTGCCCAACATCGACAGCGACCAGGGCCTTTGATTTCTGCACCTTCGGACTGATTGACACAGCCGAAGTCGCAGATCATGTTTTGCACAACAAAACAAAGCATACACTGCATTTTCATTTTTCAGTGATAGTCATAGAATAATGATGGTGAATGACCGCTACATCAGGCAGTCACCCTGGTCTCACTCTTGTCGGGTTCCTTGTGTCATAGGGCCTTTTGTGTCATAGGGCCTTTTGTGTCATAGGGCCTTTTGTGTGGTTGGTAGTGAAGTCCTGTCCCATAGACTCAGTCATCACAATTTGGCCAATCACCCTTTTGAACTCTGACGGTAGCATCAAACGTGATATGATGTGCTGCAGATGGTCATGCTGCAGAACCGGCGGAAACAGTTTTTGATTGGTCTGGCCATCCCACAGCCTTTCGTTCTCTGTTCCATATATGGCAGGCACATGGTATGACCCACTTAACATGAAATACCGAAGCGTTGGTCCGGGCATGGCCTGACCGACTGGACTGGTTGAGCTGGGCCTGTGCTAACGAGGCTGTGTGCAGCATAAGCACAAGCCATGTTTGGACACTACCATCCTCTTTGTTCCTATCTTTCCTGTTCTTCCATATCGCCTGACTTCGACGAATTTTGAAGACGTCATTAGCACAACGCCGTGTCAGCAGGTAAGCTGTGCGTGTGTGTGTGTGCACGCACGCACACGCGCACGCGCGCGCGCGTGTGTGTGTGTGTGTGTGTATGCGTCTGTGTGTGAGTGTGTATGTATATGTGTGTGTATGTGTGTATGTATGTGTGCGTTCATGCGTGTGCTTGCGTCTTTTACCGGTATGTTGGCCAAAAAGGCAAGAAACTCCATACTAGGTCACCAGATAACTTGAAAAACATTGCCGTTGATACTGAATTTGATGCTTCTCTGTGTTGTTTTGTTCGCCAAGGCCTGTGAAGCCAGATGCAGAAGACTGTCTCTTCTCCTTAGCCCGCAGTTTGCTGAAGGTACGGATGTGGATAGCCACACTGGTGAATTATGATTCTATCATTGAAAGTCCAAACATACGGTCATGCCCACAAAGGAAATGTTACGAATCGTTGTTGGTTTGAACAGTGGATATATTACTGTATAGAGCGGTGGAGGTCACCTGCTCTCAGACTGCTTACTGCTTACTGAGTCTGGCATGTATGACTGGGTAGTAGATGAACACATGCCAAATGTATCATGATGGTCATGCAGCACAATTAACTTGGGTACCGCATGTTTGATGGATCCCACGACCTTCCACCCCCCCCCCCCCCCTGTTTAGCCCTTATCCGGCCGTCAAAGTGGACAAATTCTCAGTCGAAGCGAGAGGCGCCGCGACTCATTTTGTTGATAACTTTAGTTTCCCTTGGGTGATATTGGCAAACTTGGGCTTTTTGGAAAGCTTGAGCCATGAGGAATTCTCTAGAAACAGTTTGTAGCTTTCATTTGAAAGAGGAACAAAACTCCATCTCCAATTCCATTTTTTGAAGAGAAGTACGGCTCATCGACATATGGACTATTTGTAGTCTTAATTTTGTACTTTCATGCTAACACATTTTGAATTATACCATCAGGGAAGCATCCAGGCAAAGTTTTAGGAGGACAATGTAATCATTGCCAAAGTTACACCATTTGAAAACTTGTTTTGTACGCGGTGTGAAAACAGACCTCGCTCAGAGACTTATAACTTCTCTTTGAAAGATGCTAACACGCTCTGGTCTTTTGCAAATGAATGGTGGGTCTTTCCAGCATCTTTTGAGACCAAAATGGTCCAAATTCGATCAAAACTAAGTGAGTTACAGCTTGTTAAAGTCATCTACGGATAGTCGTCGATATTTGACTGGCCGGTCGGATAAGGGTTAGGAACATACCTAATGACATTGTTAGGTCATTCCAGTTGTGTATTCGCCTTAAGCTCATCCCTGCCTTGTCTGAGATAGCTTCCTCGCCCTGCTATGTTGATTCCTGTTCGCACTGTTCTGGCTTGCTTGCTTTTGCCATTTGCAGGCCACCAGAGAAGGCTCAAAACTCAAAGTAGAGGTAAATACATTTACATGCACATGTGTACTTGAAAGTAGGAAACGTTTGGTGATAATTTGTTGCGGAGTTCAACTTCTGTGCGGCATGGAAAAATTGGCAGTGGACTATAAGCTTTTACAGTGCAGTGGTCTAAGCTATCTTTGAAGCACTCTCTGCCTTTTTGGGGTAACTTCCACAATGTAGCAATGTAATGTATGATACCAGAGTGTCTTGCCTATTTCCGTTCTGCAGGAGTTGTCTGATTTCAACGACTGCAGGTGAGTGTGGAGCCTCTGAGACGTCTAGCATTCTCCCTGTTGACTGCGTTTCCACTGCATGTCTGCACTGCCACACTTGGTTCATCTATTGATACTTGTTCGGGCAAAACAGTATTGGTATGTGTTGGAATCAAGTCAGCTTTCATGTAGGAACGTTTAGTGTACCACATTGCCAATGACACTTGAGTACTATGCCGTCCAGTGAAATTCGACTCCATGAATAAAATAACGCTAAAATAAAAAATATATGAATAAAATAACACTGGGTGCTACATTACCCAAGCACTGTTGTGGAAATGCCATTCTGTGCACTTGAATGCAGTGCCACTCCGTTCATGATGTCAAACTTCACTGGCCAGTACATTATTGTCATGCGCCGTGCTTTGCTGCATTGCAACACTGTTCTATTCTTGCTGTTTGCTGTTGCGGGCACAGGATTCTTTGTGCCCTGGTCAATGCTCTCGTTCCGGAAATGTTCACGTCAGAAATACTACTGAATGATCGGTAAGACTGTGCAGCGTCGTGATGGCACTGCCTATAGCACGCCGGCATGGCTGGAGAATCGGTTACAACACCTGTTCATCACATGTGTATTGTCTTGTTCGGTCATTGTGGTGACCGTTCATGTTTATTACAGGTAACCAGCAAGACTGACCAAAACACATGTAGCCCAAGGGCATGAAATGCTCCGTGAACATGTACATGTACAAAAGAGAATAGATCACACGAGAACGAGTTATGCAGCAACTATCCACGACTGTAACAATATGATAAACAGTCAGACAGTGCGATAGTAGGGCACAAAACTGACAGGCTACTGAGACATTCAGCGACCTGAGACCTAGCTCTTAAAACACATCTGTGTGTGTTGTTACAGTCGTGGATAGATGCTGCATAACTCGTTCTCATGTGATTTCTTCTCCTTTTTACGTTTATTACTGGCTCATTATCCGAGTTAAAATTTTGAACATGTACATGTATTTACTTTCTGCTTTACTGACTGGCTGACTGGCTGACTGGCTGACTTCAAGCAAATTGACGTGGTCATAGCGGGCTGGAGAAATATAGAATGACTTGTGCACAGTGAAGAGATCTACTATTGATATTCACTGTCTTGTTGCAGCTGGACTCTAAATCTCATCGTGAAGTGCCTGAGGTCACTCTTCCGGCTTGAAATAAGCTTTGACTCACAAGATTTCGCCGAGGTAGGTTCATGCAGTATAAATTTAAAAGTAGGATTAGAACATCTTCAGTGGAGGATTACAAAATCAAAACTTACTCTCACGGTTATATTTAGTGGAGCATCTCGCAACATGTACTGTACCCAGGGTTTTGACCCTAGTTTGCTATTTTAACTAACTATTCTTTTCAACACTCTCAGGTCACTAAAGTTATTAGAGAGGATGTCCTCAAACAATGTGACCCTGGTTTTCCACTCATCATCAGTGCGAATATGGCATTGCAGAATCACGGGGAGTCGAAGCACAGTGTAACATCTGCTGTCCGTTTGCTGTTTACAGGTCGATGAAATCGGCCTTTGCTCCTTCATGGCGGTCTTCTTCCTTCGGGGATTTCAGTTGCGACAGTCACTTGCGGTGATGGCCAAACTGGTTAGTGGATATTTGTACCCTGTATACTATTAGTAGTGAATCATTAATGTATTCATTATAACATACATTCAATAATCTGTGGAGACTGAGTGTGTTCAGTAAAACCTGGTTTAAGCGACCATCCCACGGTGCAAGCAAAAACGGTCCTTACAGCCAAGTGGTCCTTAGAACAAGTTCCCACACATTCGTGGCTTCTCGAATCGTGTACATACATGTACATGTGCATGACTCTCTGTCACTTCCATGTACTCTACTCGTATTGACGGGCGTGGAGCATAGAATACTTTCGTGTAGGGAAAGCACACCTCACCCAAGTGCATGCAGCGCATCCTGCGCTGTCACCTGTCACTTCTGTTGACTGCATGCACATGCTTCAGAGTGAACTTCAACCCTGTTGCAGTCAAGCCTGCCGGGCAAGATGGCACATTTGGCTAGTTTTGGTCCCTGTGTGCAGGTCCGATATGGCACTTGGTACGCTAAAAGTCAGTCGCTGGTTGCGCAAGGCAGGTGGTCGCTGTTTCCGGTGCAGCTAAAACCAGAGGTCGAATACACCAGATTTTACTGTAGTTGGAAATCGCTCTTGCTCAACTTTTGGTGTCATGTAATAGATTTTCAAGGATCTGGAGGATGCATATCACCTTTCGATTTATAAGTGAAGTGTTCTATTTGACTCACGGTGTCATCTACTGTCTACTCTCATCATTTCCGTGTGCTTTTAGGATCATTTTGAAAAGAAGATAACCAAGGCTGAAAGTGACCTGAAGGACATACCAAGCCCTCCGAAGACTGCAGCCCATATCAACAGGTAAGCTGGAGTGGGCCAGTTGCAGCACATATCAACAGATAAGCTGGAGTGGGGCAGTAGCTAAGAACGCCCATTCCCTCTTCTCGGTCAGATCAGAGCACTGATGTTTAATCATGATTCATGACCACTATAAGCCTATCTAATTGCAAGTACTGATAGCTTCCACAGTACTGTCGGATGCCGCAGAACGAATAGGCTAGGATTTCACCAAGCACAGCGTACCAGTGTATACACGGTGACTCAACTGTGCACAGACTGTAATACATTAAAATAAGAACGTCCCAGGCTAGGAGGCTGACCCCCCCCCCCCCCCCAGCCCTTCGGCACCCAACAGAACTGTATGTTGGCAGGTACTGACATGTCGTGTTCCGGATTCTTTCGGTGGCTTGCACAGGACGGCTGAGCTGAAAACTCTAGTGGAGGACTGCAAAGATGGTGTGTATTGTCCACTATAGTTCTGTGTGACGTACATTCAATGTTGCCCGCTCTAATTATGTGTGAATTGCATAATTGCCTCTTCGGCCATTGCCAATACGTTAACGTTATGACGGTTATGTACATATTTTTGTTCTGATTGGTAGTATTTTCTCTTGAAAGTGTTGTCATGTGACTAGCTATCATTGCCAAACCTATAGTTTGTGTACTGTAGGTATAGTCCCATGGCTGGGAGCCGACCCTAAATGTGATGTTGGCACTATGCTCTTTATGACTGCAGAAATATCTCGTCTTGGTCAGAAGTTCAACTTGAATGAATGCCGCTCCTGGTCAGAAAGCATTGAGGAGCTACAGCAAGAGGTACGCAGTTCAGTGCATGCGTTTGTGTTGTGTGTGTGTGTCATGGACCAGAACTTTCCATGGACGTGCTTTTTCTACCGACGATTACCACCATGTGTGTGTGTGTGTGTGTGCGTGCGTGCGCGCGCGCGTGCGTGCGTGCGTGCGTGTGCGTGTGTGTGTGTGTGTGTGTGTGCGCGTGTGTACCAGCGCTACATACACTGTACTTAGTTGCTGGGCTGGTACTACTTGTAGTTGTGGGATGAGTTCCGCGGCATTGGTACTGGTCAAGCACAGTTGAGGACATTGAAACCCATTGAAACCCATTGAAACCCATTGAAACCCATTGAAACCCATTGAAACCCATTGAAACCCATTGAGACATCAAGCGATTACGGGGCACTGGCCTTGCAACCTTGAGCATTGTCTATTTTTCACAGTGTTACAGCGTGTGTACGTGCCAAGCAAATAAGGGCGCCGGCCACGGTCACTCCGCTGCCGGGTTTCTATGTCCACAGCAGTACATGTACTTAAGTAGCATGATGTGTGACCATAGTTATAGCAGGGCTGGATTTATTCATGTACTATGTCTATGGACTATAAGAAGAAATGACACTGCAGTGAAACACTTTGGGCAAGCCAGAAAATAGTGACAGTTGCTGCTCTTCTATCTGCTTTCAGATCCGTGATGATGTTTCTCAGATGGTGGACCAGCGATTTGATGTAGTGGATGTAGCGGACGCACAAGGGTAAAGTAGGGTTAGGTAGCTCTCCTCGTGATTGAAATTGGAGATTGAGATCGGACTTCGGAACTTTCCTTTTCAATCTGATCACTGGTCAGGAAGTTACTGTATGGGATCTATGAGCGTACAAGTACATTGTACATTTAGGAGTTATGGATTGCCATTATTTACAATTGTAATGTATCATTGGCAGCACATCAGTACGTTGCGCAGTATAGACATTAGTGTTGTGATATATTTTTGTCGTGCATTTGGTGTTCTGCTGTATTTGTAGTCCTGGTATGACGATCAATGATTTTGTGGATGAACTTGGAATCAACTTGGTGAGTAGAGTCCTGTCCACCATGAATTTAGGTTCCGTCAGGGTGAAGTCTAGAAGGCATTTCTACTGTGAAATGCATTGTAAAATGCTATTGGGGATATGCAGGTAGTCACGGCTGGGCCAGTCATTTCTGTGTTTTGTTCCTTCCTCATTGATAATGCGTTGGTATATGTTCAGGTTCAAGGGGAGCCTCAGCACGTGTAGTGCCAGGTTACACATGATTTGCATGGTTACATGGTTACATGGTTACATGGTTACATGGTGAATTTTGGCATGAACAGTACTAGTATGTGGTTTGAATGATTTTTTCCGTTGCGTGCAGGTACTGACTGGCATGGTGGGATTCTACACGACTGGCACACAGGAGGTTGTCTACCCGGGCCGGCGGTTAGTCGTGCAAGATACCAAAACTGGTGAGTTGTCCTTGTTGGATGTGGCGTTCGTCTACCAAGCATTTCATTTTTGGGCTGTTTTGCTTTCTTACGTAAGTAGGTTGCTTCCAAAAGAAGCATGCAATATTGCTGGGACGTTTGTGCGTAAAACTATGCTACACGGATCTCGATTCGTGCACATGTATAGTGTAGTGCAGGCTTTACATACCACACTAAATCATTAAAAAGGTGTGTGTGTGGGGGGGGGGGGAGGCATAGTACTAAGTAAGCCCAGTCAGAAAAGTGTGACCATGCGTAACCGGGAACATGCTGGCACCCTCCCAGGTATCTACGGCACGCCAAACTGCATCAAGAAGCAAACTGCATCAAGAAGTATACCTCAAGAAGTATACCTCACCATAATGTACTGCTCAATCTCCCGACAGCTGCGGTTTCGACCGTGCTAGGTCTCATCAGTGAAGCTCAGACTTACTGGTCCGACCGCATTTCATTAAACCAGCTCAAAGCATCACCACCGTGTATGTATTCTATGCTTCTCCATGTCTTACAGGTGAATTCTACGATAATTTCACTGGCCATGAAAATTCCGATGGTAAGTGTCGCGTGTACCGACAATTTGGAAATTGAACCTCCAAAGCTATGCAGAGCTATGATCCACAATGAAAGCTACCACCTTATGAAATCAGTTTGTGTGAATTTTGCTCCCAAGAATTTGCATTGGCTTCAAGGATGTGCTTTGCTTTTGCTTTACAGTTAAAGTAGCAATAGGTGTTTTCATATTGTTTGCTTCATTGCAGGGCGTAGCGTGTATGATGTGCTGCACATCACTGCCGCGGCTGTCAGCACTGTGAGACCGGATGCGGTAGAGGGGTGTAAGGTAAAGATAACAACCGGAGTACGAACTGTTCTACTTGCATTCCTTATTCAGTGACCGGACATTGTGTGCAACAATGCCAAGTGTGGGTAAGGTGAATCAATGGGTAATACACTTTACAGCGACAAGAGATTTTGAACTTCTCCTAACTGATAGCCTTCGCCGGGCCTAATTGTTCATCATGAATTTTGTCGAACTTCTCCACTACGACTACGATGAACAGGGTAGCGGCATGCCAGCGAGTAGACCTGAATACTTAGAGGAATGTTTGCGCAGCTCTTTCTTGAATACATGGACAGAAGATTCCGAAGTCAATGTGGGTAGGAGACAATTCCATAAAAGGGAGGTTTTGAATAAGAAAAGTGATTTGGCTGTTGTCTGGGTGTGAGGTTTCTATCACCTCAGGTTCATTATAAGACTGTACGTTGGAGCAACGAAAGGCTAATCTTACTCGAGAACATCATGCAAGAAAGAACAACGAATAATACAGAACGCATCTACAAAAATGAAAATGCAGACACGGAAGAATCTCACCCCAAGTCCCGAAAGTGGACTTGAGGTGATGGAAAAGGCTACAGTATGCATAGTGCATAGTATAGTGATCAGTGCAAAGGTACAATGCATGTACAAAGGTGCCATAAAAGTGCGCGGATGCTGTAAGTGATCACAGGTGCCGCAAGAGTTCATGTGTGCTACAAAAGGTGCTCCTGAGTGCTGCAAATGGTGCAAGGGTGCAAAATCCTACTGTACAACGATGGTGTACAATAAAGCAAATATGGAATGAACAAGACAGGAAAGGACAAATCCTGCATCATTACACTGGGCTTTGGGCTTTTCAATAGCACAATTTTGGTGTCGGCGTATAAGCCCGTGTCTGTGTATAAGCCCATGTTCTTGCATAAGCCCACCGAAATGTCCTTGTGAAACAGATACGCCCGGGGGCTTATCCGCAGGATTCTACGGTATCACTATGAGTCGTATATTGAAACAATGCCAAAAACCATGAGGTGAAGAAGAGGCTGATTTGAATCATCCACAAATGCTGGACTCGCTTGGTGTGGCGCATCAGTGTCCAAGACTGTTCAGCTTGCAACACCACGTGTCAATGTCTGGACTCGCGGTCGAGATCTTGATCCCCAATGGATTTCAAGAAGATCAGATGAGGTTCCTGAAGTAGTATGGCACTGCCACATGTATTCGTATCCGATTGCAACACGTGTTGTAGGGAGAATAGCAGGTACAGTTGCCTGTGCTTTGTGATCAACAGCACGATGCTATCAGTATGTAGTGACATCGGCATGCAACATCTCATCGTCTGTGGAATCGTACAGCTACACAGCACCATATCACATTGTGATGTCCTGGTTATTTGTCCTCCCACTAAACCCTCCACCTACAGGTCTTCTTCGAAAGCAAATCTCGAAACAGAATTCTTCGAGAAGACACTCTGTAAGTCGCTGAATGGTGCAGCTCTGTTGCTTCAGAATGTGAGCAATTGTGCTATAGCGGCACATCAGAATGCCGAGATATACGTATAGTATTAGTATAGTTACTTGTATGCGTTGGCAACTTACCAATTAGTGGCAATTACTTTGCTTAACAACCTTAATTGATTAGAACAAAGCAAGAAAAAATGATGGATTTCATCATATTGCAAGTCCTACTGGTGCTTTGATTGTGTGTTTCCTGCACTTCTCTGAAAACCAGATTTCTTTACCAAGTATTCCCTGGAACGTTGAAGAGTTCGGAACACATCCTGCTGCATGCGGCACAGCTAGGCAATGAGGAGATCGTGAAGAAGCTGGTAAGTCACGAATGAAGTCGGCAGCGTGGTACTGTAAATAGCACACATTCTTACTTTGTATTTCCGGGAATAGGTCTGACCTGTAGTGCCCTCTGCCCCTCCCCCCCCCCACCCCGGCCCCAACCCCACACTGATATACCTATGAGCATCATACACGGTAAATGCTGTTGGCTGTTTCTGAGTGAAATGCAATTAAGGGATTTGCTTCTATTCAAGAATTATAAATATGGAATTCGTTAATCAAGCCAGGAGTGCAGGGTAGAATTCTTCAACATGTATACTATCAATGTGAAGTAGCCACCCGTATGAGAGATGGTGTTGCTGCGCTTTGTTACATACTGACAACTGGAACTGTACCTCGTGGCTAAATTGGCCATCATCTACTGAAAGTTCTCAAGATGATCACATGTACACATTCATCACGTGGATGACGTTAATGTGCCGTTTGTAGTTTGACGAGCCATGGCTGGTTGTTGTGGTTGATCTCAACTCCTCTTCCTAGGCCCTGTTCTTCAATTTTGAATCTCGCTTTCTGAACTGCCGAGATCCCAGTACTGGAAATACTCCACTTCACCTGGTCGCTCGGCATGGATATCAGGTAACACATCTTGTATCTCTGCTGTAGTTGTGCTTGTACTGAAGAATGCTACATAGCATGCAGTCTGGAGATATCAATATTTGTATTGAACAGTGAGATGCAGGTATGCAAAAATCGGTGTCTTTCAGACAGCTGAAATAGTTCTGACGGTGCAGTCTGTCTTGCACCACATGCCATATACACTGTAGTATCCGTGATACATTCCTGAGTGGCTATATGCCATGGTTGGTTTTAACACTCACTCTCTTCAAATTAGCTGGTGTTCCCAGGGCCACTGCGCCTTGAGATCATGTTGCAATAAAAAAAGACCCATCGTGTGGGTCTCCCTTGGGGAAAAGAGCACAAGTGTATAAGCCAAGGGAAATGAAACTGAAGAAGAAAACTGCTAATCGAAGTGAAGCCAAGTATGATTGCGACCTTAGGGGAAAGGAAAAGATGAGATAGTGGTGTACCCGCATAGCTGATGCTCATAGTGATTGTCACCTTTTTCTGCCGGCATACAGAGAGAATATATACGTCTACACTCTCCTCCATCCTCTGTTTGGTGTGGTAACAGGTCGTTGTATTGTGTGTGAACATCATTGTTTGCCACTTTCAGGATCTGGTTCTCTACTTCCTGGAGAATGGCGCCAAGGTGAACTCACTCAATGATTTCGGAAACACCGCTCTATTCCTGGCGGCTGAAAGAATCAATAAGCCCATATGTCAGGTGAGTGGATGCGCAGGAGGAGATTTAGTGTGATTTCCAGATCTCCAGATCTCCACCGCTGTACTGATTGGATGTGCAGCGTTGTTCCCCGCTCCCCTCTGGTTCGTCTTCGGCACACTGGTCTGCATCCTATTCTGATAACACCGTAGCTATATTCATGGCAGATATAACTACAGTAAAACCTGGTTTTTACAGCGACCACCACACGGTGCAAGCGAAGGTGGTCATTAAAACCAGGTGGTCTTTAGAACCAGGTCCCATACATTTGTGGCATATCGGATTGTGTACGTACATGTGCATGATTGTACATGTACTTCCACTTACTCGTATTGACAGGCGTGGAGCATAGTCTCTTTCGTGCCGGCAAAGCATGCACACCCCACTCAAGTGCATGCAGCGCATCCTGCACTGTCACTTGTCACTTCTGTTGACTGCATGCACATGCTTCAGAGTGCACTTCAACCCTGCCGCAGTCAAGCCTGCCGGGCAAGATGGCACATTTGCGGGCTAGTTTTGGTCCCTGTCACGGTGCAGGTCCGATATGGCACTTGGTACACTGAAAGTCGGTCGCCGGTCGCCCAAGGCAGGTGGTCGCTGTATCCGGTGCAGTTTCTGTGTAGAACTGTCCGTGCATGGAAAAACGGTCGTAAAAGCAGGTGGTCGCTAAAACAAGGTTTTATTGTTTTGGTATACAAGTAGTGGTATGGTATACATGTCCTTCTAAGTAATTTCACAAAGGAAAACAGAAACACGCACAAATACTAAGGAGATACAACGGGGTCTTGAACTTCTACCTGCCTCCCATTTGAAACTCACGGACTGTATCAAATGATAGCAGAACCTTGAAAGGCCAGTTGCTCGTAGTTTTTTAGGGGTGAAACGGTTACCCTTTAAGGTTGCAAACGGGTACGTGGCTTAACGGATGGGTTATCGGGTACCCTTTAGCAGCCAATAGTAACAGTTACGATACAATAGCCTTTCGCATTTCGTGCCAGGAGTACATGCGATGTCATGCAATTCACAGCAAGTACACTACATCGCGACAAGCACAGCATGTGCACTTACTGTGCTACATGCAAAAACAGTCCAAATTGTCATATGTAGGGAGGTTTAGTGCCCACGTAACGGAAACGCGTACGTGGGTGATCCACGTAAAGTGGATGAAGGGCGCCCACGTTACAATGTTGTGTTTAGTCACACGGAACAAACAACAGCCATAAAGCGAAAGGCCCAAACCTGGTCAAAGACGAAGCTACCCGGGCCTAAGAAGCTCATCCAATATTTTGATTTCGTGCTTCGGAAACTTCTTCAGCTGAGCACCCTCACAGCTCGCACAATGCGCTCCATTCTGATTTTCACCCACGTTCTGGCGGAACGTGGGTGAGCCTCCATACACGGTATGTCGTGAACCTGAAAACGTCTGTACGTGGGTCACTGAGTATCACGTGGTACACACACGTAAAGTACCCACGGATTACGTGGGACTAAACCTCCCTAGTAGCAGGATCGAACAACCAACATCACACTCAAACTGTACATCGAACTGTATGGCTATACAAGCCAGCTAAGAATACCGTACTGCACCGGCGTACACGACTAACGGGTACTCGTTTTCTAACGGATCAGCAGCTAAACAGACGGGTACCCGGGTACCCGGATCACCCCTTTCACCTCTAAATTTTTTCTGCTGGGCGGCCCATAATTTAGCGTGATATTTGATTGAGTCACGATTGCCATCCAGAGGGCACAGCAACCCCATCGAGCCTTCAACTTAGTCAGCGTGTAGGAAGTGTCACTGTCTACACTATACCCAGTGTTGCTCTGAGGAAGTCATGGAACATAACAGTCTAAGTGCTGCTTGAATGTGCAGCTTCTGCTTGAATGGGGCTGCAAGTCCACCATCAAGAATAACAACAGCAACACCGTCTGTGATGTCATCAACAATGTGTCTTTAAAGAGTCTCATCACGCGTAAGTACTGCAGCAACAATGCGTCGT